CCCCCCCCTACCTTTCCGCCCCTTCGTTCTCTTCGCTCTGTGTATCCTCCACACCTGCTTTTGTGAGCAGTAGCGGTATTTTGTTTGTTTGTTGACGCGTACAAATGCTATATTATTTACGTTCTATTTATACTTCCTCTACCACCAGTTGCTTTAAAAAAAAACTCGATATTTTCCAACTGTCTTCGCTTTTTCTCCTATTTTTGTTTTTCTTAATTTTGCAAACGAGCTAAGCGATTTAAACGGACAGAAAAACGAATGCGAAGCCATGCACAGCGCACAAGGAAGAAAAGGACGCGAACCCGTGCCCACGTTCAGCTGATTGTCAAGGATTCATCCGATCAACACGCTGCAGAGATGCACAGAATAGATGGTGAGGTAATACAAGGGAGCAGATGTTGATGTTTCAGCGTGCACACACTACAAGCAAAAAAGAAAGAAAAAGCCACCTCTGACACGAATGAAGAGCGTGAGAAATGCGGCAGAGATACGCACGTGCAGCAAGCGTGTTATTTTCATTTTCTCTTTTTGAGTCCACCTCCGACACCTTGTCATGAATCAACTTTTGAAGATTACGCATGCTGTACGATGCCACAACGATAAGGAAAAATACCTTTCTCACCTCTTTTCTCTTTTTCTCTTATCTCTCTCTCTCTCTCTCTCACCCGCTATCCAACAGGTTTTTGTTTGTTTTCTGAGTGGCGTTTTCCACGGCCTCTCGTATCTTTGTGGAGCTCTCTTGGTTGTGTTTTTCTTTCCATTCATGTAAATTAGTTGTCTGAAAGACACAATTGTTTTTTTCCCTTTCGTACGTTTCTTGGTTCTTCTGTTACTCTCGTTCACACATTGGTGCATATCTTCCTTTTAGCCTGGTTTCTGAAGGGGAAAGAGAAAGGACTATGTCTGTTGTTGCATCCCCCACAGCAGGGCCTCCGCCGTGCAGCTCGTACGAACTGCTGGGCCCCAAAGAGGCCGGTCTGTTTTACGAAGAGGCCTGCCGTCGTGAAGGGTTGCATATTCACTCCACCTTTCTCAAACAGCTGCTGCTCGGCTCTGTGCTGATCCAGTTTGAGAACGGCTACCTTGGCGGGAACGGCATTTCGCCCATTGTACAGACACTGCAGCGTATTCCTCTGCACGCGCTGCTCCTCAGCAAATGCGCGCTCAGCTCCGAAGATGTCAAGCTGCTGTGCGCCGGCCTCGCCACGCACCCGCAGCTGGAGAAGATCGATGTGCGCGGCGTGGAGCTCACCATTGGCGCCGTGAAGGAGTTGCTGCACTTGGCGACGCGCAACACCCACATTACGGAGATTCTGATGGACGAAGGGCTGCCAAAGTTTGTGGCAGTGCAGCAACAGTGTGAGCGGAACGCGCAGGCGGGCGGCGTGCAAATGAGCGCCTGTGTTGCCTGTAACGCTGGTGTGTCTGTTGAAGCGCGCTCTTCCTGTGAGACACTCGTTCTTCGTTTCGTGTTGGAGAATCTGAAGCCGCACACCCACTCCATCAGCGCCGCCTGTCTCACGATGCTGTGCGGGGCGCTGCAGCTGTGCATCGATCGCAATGACGGTGTGCTGAGTGTGTGCGGGGAGGCTTGCGCGGAGTCGCTGGCAAACGACCTGTGCCGGTGTGTGTGGAGCGTCCCAAAGGCGTTCGTGTGGAATGTGCCGTACGACCTTCCCAAGATATCTTTTCTACGCACCTTTCTGTCCCACAAGCAAGGGCTATTTCAGCGGGACAGGAGCGCACTGGAAGCTGCGTCGTCCACGCTGTCCAAGTCGTTCTTTCAGCCCGGTCCGGTCGACGCCCGGGCAGAGGAGTCGTGGCGCACGAGGAAGCCCCGCAGCGACATCGACGTCTTTTTCGACAACACCGCGGACCGCGATGTGGCGCGGTGCACCATCTGCGGACAGCCCGGCGTGTGTACGACGGACGGGCCCACGTGGCTACTGCGGACACTGCAGATCGACCTTGAAGAGCACGGCGCTGCCATCACCCCCGCTGCGTTGCTGCGGCTGTGTCGCCTGTTCACCGCGCACGCGTGCGTTCGCCCCTGTTCACGCCGCTGCCTGCGCCACCTCGTCCGCTACGCCCTTTACGGCTACGGCGGCGTGAACTGCAGCTATGTGGGCGGCTTCCCTCCGCTGTCCAGCGTTCTCGGCGGCGCGGCGGAGCTGCTGCGGCTGCCGCTTGTGGACTTCACCGTGGTGGACATCGCGGCGGAGTCGGTGGACGACGTGGCAAGCGAGGAGATCAACTGCGCCTTGACGGTGGCGAGTGCAGTGAGCGACACGGACGGTGTGGCCATGGACCCGTACCTCGTGTTCTCGATTGGTCGGCAGCTGCGGAAAATGTCGACCACGAGCATAGGAATGGACTTGGCGAGCGCGTGCGAGGCGGTGCGGTTGGTCGGCTGCTTGCCGGCGGAGGATGCCCCGTATAAACGCTCCGGTGGAGACGTGTCGGGCAGCACCACGGTTGAGACGGCTGCCCGACCGCCGCGTGACCTCGTGGCGGATTGGTCAGCCTGGAGCGCTGCGAGTGGGCAGACGACGGTGAGAAGGTGGCTGCACAGCGCCTTTGCCCACCGCCGTCAGCGGGTTTGCTCGATTGACGGGCCGCACCGCGACGTGTTCGACAACACCCGCGCCGCCTTGTGGGCGCTGCGGCAGCAAGGCCGCTCTGTCTTGGTCACACTGAAGATCGCCATGTGGTGGCTGTCGCTGAAGGACGGCGTGGTGCCCACGACCACCTCTGGCCACACCCACGGGTTCTTCACCACGGCGAAGATCATTGGGCAGTCAACCCGCGTCAGCACGGTGTACCTCATTTTGCAGTGCCCCTTCGGGAAGCATGTCGGAAACAATGGCCTCCTATATGTGCCGAAGCCGGTGTTTCTGCAGTGTGTGCGCGGCCTGGCGTTTGTCTTTGCCGACGCCCTCACCATGGAGTACCGTGCCGCCGGCTGGCGTGCGTCACTGTACGCGAACGAGCTGGTCGGCCCTGCCTTGGGTGTCCCAAACAGCACCTCCTTGCAGCGTCTTCGGCAGCTCTTTAGCTACATCAGCTCTCACGCTCACGGCCGCAAGCACATTGACGGCGCGGCGTGGCGACTCATTGGCTGCCGCGTGCCCGCCAGGCTGCTGCTGCAGCTGTTCGACAAGGAGCACCTGCCGGCGGCGCTCAGATTTCTCGGTGACGCTTTGGGGATTGCCGCAGAGGGCGGTGTTACCACTGCTTCAGCGACACACGGGAACGGCGCGTACGACGCACGCGACGCCCACCGCACCTACTGGGAACGCATTCTGCTGTCCAGCCGGTATCCGTCGCAGCTGCTCTTCTTTTTCAGTGAAGTGCTGGGAAGTGGGCGTTGGCTGCAGCAAGCCTTTGAGACCGCCGCCACCATCCGGCTCCAGACTGCGCCAGAATCATCACCGCCACCAAGCGAAGCCGCAACACAATCAATGGGGGCGGGTAGGAAGAGCCGCGACGCAATCGGAGCCACGCGTGCGTGGCTGACGCTCAGCACTGTGCCGGACCTGAACCTTCTCTCGCACGAACCAGCCACCATCGCAGAGGCGATCGCCACGAAAGCCGAAGCGCCATCTCCCTTGAAGGTCGGACGGGGAAGAGGGAGCTGGCCGAACACCTCCACAACTAGTACGGTGCCTGGCGACACGACCCGCACTTCTCGCTCTCCGAAACCGCCCAAGTCTCAGCCTCCTGCGCAGACGTCGTCGCGGGGTCGCGTCCGCGGTGCGCCGTTGGTCCCCAGCGAGTTCGCGCCGTCGTTGGTGAACTCTTCTCTGTCCGTCTCACGCACTGCGCTTACTGGGAAGTCCGCCCAGGCCACGGAAAAAGTCCCGGCCAACCCGACGGCGGTTGGCATGGCGTCCGCCCTGCAGCCCAGCTCGGTCAGCACATCGCAGAACAAGCTGCAGCATCAACTGCAGAAAGGGTGGAAGGTGGAGCGGACCGTGCGCAATGCGCTGTTGAAGGACGCCGCCCGTGTGGGTGTTGTCGAGTACCTTCGTACATGGATCCAGGCGTCCCGAGCAGGGGAATCGCCGTTCGGAGCGACGCAGCGTGGTGGTCTAGGGGATTTCGCCGCCGCCGCCGCTAGCAGCAGCAGCAGCAACGCTGGGCCAAGCTCCGGCATGCAAGATGCCGCCGACAACGATATTCCGGCCCATTTGTTCGGCAAACCGTGGTTTGCCATTCCCGTGCAAGTTGACGACAACGGTGACAACGGAGAGGCAGCGCCGCCTGACTTGCATCTACTCTTCATCGGGAACAGTGTATCGGTGTACAGCATGCACGCCTCTCGCCTGCTCTGCCGCCCTACGCTGATGAGCGCAGATGCCCTCACCGCCACCTTCCCCTTTGCGACCGGCGTGGACGCGGCAGCGGTGCACCCGACAAACGCGGATCTCGCTTTTTTCTTCTCTGGCCGGGAGTGGCTGCTGTTCCACTTGAGGCTACTAGAGTGCGTCGATGGCCCCTATCCACTGGGCACACACGGTCAGTTTCGCAAGCTCCCTGCCGCCTTCCACGAAAGCGTAGACAGCGTGATCGCCATCCCGAACTCGAGCAAGTTGGTGTTCTTCCGCGGCTACTCGTACGTCGTCTTCGATGCGCTGACACGGCGGTGCGTTGGTGGGGTGGGGCTGCTGCATCAACCGCTGTCCGACGACGCAGAGGGTGGTGCCCATGCCGAAGGTGCCGTGCGTAATATCAACGCACCCGCGCTCGCCGAGGCACTGCGTCGTAAGAAGGAAAAAGAAGACGCTTTCTTCAACGCTGTGCGTCCGTTCGCTGCTTCTCAACCGCTCGCTGCTCAGAGTTCTCGTGGTACGGCAGCCGCACCTCTGCGTGACGGGCGCGTCATGGAGCCCGACGGCGATACCGTGACCGGCGGAGACGTGCCGGCTTCTTCCTGTGCTCTGCACATCACACCGGAGCTGCAGCGACTTCTGGGAACGGCGCCGATGTCATCGTTAACGACGCGGAACGCCGTCACCGCCGGCTCCGCAGCGTCGTCTGTTTCGCACTGGCTCGTGAACCGCCGTGGCGACGTGGTGGCGGTGGAATGGGAGCTCCAGACAATCAACACCGGCGCTACTGCTAGGGCTGAAGGAACGGCGCGCACAGATGGCAAGCCGACCCCACAATGGGTGCTGCGTTGCCTCAACACAAAGCAGTGCCTATCTGCCTCAAAGCTACCGCTGGCTGATCTGCCACTTGTTTTCCGGCAGAGTTCACCCAGCGCGTTGCCTGCGCTGTGTGCGCTGGCGATGAGGACGGACTTTGTCTTGGAAGACGCTTACGGAGAGGCGGCAACCGTCTCCAATAGCAACGCTGAAAGCAGCGGTGCCTCCCCGTTCGCTTCGCGGTTGCAGCTTTTTGATCCGGAAGGCGGGAAGCAGGCACTCGTGTCTGCAGCACTGATCGCCGCTGCCGGCGGCGATCGCTCGCCCGGGTCCTCGCTGTCGAGTACCGTGGACTCCTCGACCGTCGCGGACCACCGTCACACACGCGGCAGCAACAACGGTGCTGTGGTCGGCGCTCCCGACGCGGCAGACCTGACGACCGCTGCGCCTTCCATCGAGCGCACCTATACCCCTGCTACGGTGATTACGTCGTCCCTTGCTTCCACCTCGGTGGCGCAGCGGATGCCGTTGGCGTTGTCGCGCAGTGGACCAGTTGTGGCGGCCCATGAGAAGAGCGCCGCCTCCTCTGCTGGTGCTGCTGTGGCGGCGCAGCCATCGTGTGGTGGCTGGGAGCGTGAGGTGTTCTTTTACGGAGATGGCGGTCCTGAAGACTTCGTTGCTTCACAGCGCGGTAACCGTGAGAACACAAGGGATGCGGTGACGAATACTGGACTAGGCACACCCTACCCGACAGACGACTCGCCAGGCAGGGCTTCTCCTCGGCGGCGCTACATCGAGTACGACCTTGGCCTTTCCGAACCGCGCCGCGCGTTTTCGGCGTTGCTGCTCGTCCTGGACACGTCTTTCCTACCGTCCGCGGTGCTGCAGTTGGCGCCATTGACCGCGTCTGTGGAGTGCAGCATGGAGGGGGAGATCTACTTTCCGCAGGCCGTCCTTCGCATTGCAGGGCCTGTGACGGCGGCGAAGTGGCGCGGCGGCCCGCTCGTGGTGGAGCCGCGTGCGGCACGTTTTTGGCGCCTGCGCTTTCACACGTCTGTCCCCGTGACGGTGGGCATCGTGCGTCTATTTTGGTTTGAGGCACCGTGCGGCTCACCTCGCCGCGTCGTCCCCTCCGTGCCGCTGTCAACGCGTGTTGCTCTCCCTCTCACAGTGCACACAGCACCCGGCTACGACGCGGTGTGCGAAAGCGGGGGTGCGAGTGGCAGTGGTGGTTTCCCGCCCATCAGGGTGGATGCGGACTGTGTGGTCGCTTCGCCGGAGCTGTTGCTGCGGAGTGAGAACATGCTGCCGGTGATTGTGGACGACCCGAGCGCGCACCCTCGCGGCTGGTACGGCCATCACACTGTTTTCCCGCTCCCGGCACCGCACAGCACGACCTGCCTGATATGCTGCGACGCGTCGTTTATTGAAGTTCACGTAGGACATAGCCGTACAAGTAGTAGTAGCGGGACCGAAAGCGGAGTGCCAGACGCTGGGCTTTGGCCATCGGCGGCAGCGCAGGACTTTGCCGATTATTCGAGGTTCCGCGGTCTTCCCTACCCCTTTGCGCTCGGGTGGGACGCCAATTTTTACCCGTCTCCCCAGGAACAGCCGGGATTGCTCTGCCTCATACGAGGGGACTTGATGCTGATGTGGGACATCGAGACCGGAAAGGCTCAGGGCGCTGCCGTGGCCTGGAGGCAGTCCGCACTTCTCGAGGGACTGCGTGCGACACCGATGGCCCGTGTCGTCGCAACAGTCAACTGCTGGTCAGGGGTTGACACAACCAGTGTCGTCGCCTTCTTCTACGAACCTTCGTCTCTCTCCCTATCGTGTGAAGTGGAGTACATCGAGTTCGACGTGATACGGCAGGAGGTGGTGTATGGTCCAGCAACGCTGGCATCACACCTGCGCACTCGCTACGGCGCGTCGCTTCCCTCGCCGTCCTCTGCGAACACATTGCTGACGGTGCTGTGCAGCCCGCAGGCACCCTCCACGCTGTTTTTGCTTTACGCGCAGGCGGTGTACGTGCTCTCCGTAAAAGGCGCCGGGGCCGCAGAAGCGTCGATGGGGAAGCCACCGAGCGCTATTGCGATGACGGAGTCGCCTGTGTTTTACACCGTGCCACTGCTGCTGCCCAAATGGGGCACGCGCCACCACCACTGCGATATCACGTTGGATCTGGCATCGCTCCTGCTGCCTCCGCGGCCGGATCAGAGCGAAAATGACGACGATGACATGGAGAATGAAGGGGCGCTCGTTGTCGGCATGCAGCTCATCAGCAGCGGCGGACGGAGCGGTTGTGCGACGGGCTGGCAGGTACAGTGCAGTGAGCACGGCCGTGTCTGGGAGGACGTCGCGGTTCACCGTCAGAACTCGGGTGAGGGAGTCGTGGGGGAGACGACGTGGACGCCGCGGGCTGCCGGGCGCTACAGCACAACTCGTTTTTGGCGCTTTAAACGTCTTTCCTGCAGCGGCGGCGCCGACGAGAGCTCGGAAGCGGTGAGGAACAACAGTGACGACTGCCTTCAAAGCTATTCACAGCTGCGTCTGCTGAGCATTCCGCGCAGGCGGTGCGTCGAGGTCCCTGTTCGCGTGTCCGGTACCGACATGAGCGCGTGCTCCACGGATGTCTGCAGCTCCTTCTTCGCGACGGGGGCGCGTGCTTCTACGCTCGCACTGATTCGACGCGCTGGCGACAACACGACGCCGCCTTCTGTCGCCACTGACGGTGACGCGTACGAGCTGGTGTGGGATTACGGGCTGTCGTTGATCGTCCTTAGCGGTGTCACCTTCACGACGGCAAACAAACCAGCGAATGCACAGCTGTCGTGGACCGTGTACGGGAGCGCCGCCGTCGATGCGGGCCACTGGACTCCACTGGCCACCACCGTCGTCACAAGTGACGCGGCGTACACCTCGCTTTCGTGGGTGCCGGGCGGGCCATATCGGTACTGGCGTTTGGCCTGCGCGGTGAACAGTATTTCTGGTCACACTGGCGACGGACGTGAATGGCCCGCGACGCTTCTTCTCTCGGCATTCCGCGTCTACGTCTACGAAGGGCCGCTAGTGGGTCTGCAGAGCGTCACCGGCGGTCACCTCCACGCCACCTCTTTGCTTTGGCCCTCCTCCCTTACAGCCGTCACAGCGCCCTGCAGCCTTCCCTGCAACGTAAACGGCAGCATTTTATTGAACCGAGTTGTGGAGGCGCTGACGTGGTGCAAACTGGACTTCTGCATCAGCAGCGACTGCACTGTCTGCGTGGCGATGGAGTGGAGCGCGGACGCGACGGAGTGGTGCACGGTGGCGCTCATCACCTTCAGCATCGGCAACGCCGTGAGGGACAAGGTGCACGAGGCGGTGCTGTCGTGGCAGAGCTGCGGTCCGCGGCGACTGTGGCGCATTCGCGTGCAGGACGTCACCTCCAACGTGACGTTCATGCCACTTCGCCTCCACCTCGGCACCTCGCCAGCGGAACACGTAATGAAGCTACCCTCGAAAGAGTTGTTGTTCGACGCAACGATGCCGCTCCAGCCGACATCCGCCACGCCCGCGCTGACGCGCAAAAGCTCAGTGCAGACGGTGGCAGATAAACGGCTTTCTGGCGGCACCGTTTTTTCTGCGGTGGCTGCCAACGACGCGACGACAAAGACGTCTCCCAACACTGCTGCTGCTGCTGCTGCCGCCGCCGTGGGTGTCGCTTCAGCAACAAGGGACTTACGGTTACAATCGCCTCAGCGCTTAATCGGCGTGCGTGCGGCCCTGCCCTCGCTTACGTCGCGCTACGCGGTCGAATACCTCGGCTTGGATGGCGTGTCGTGGATCTCTGCGTCTGTTTTGCAGGCTGGTGCGGTCTCTGACGAGGAGCGCCAGCGGATGGCGTTTCAGAGTTCCGGTTTGGCTACCGACGTCACGGCCGCAGCGACACCGCAGTCAATAATGGCGTCTGCGTGGTGGGACGGTGCCTCTGTTTCGCCGAGTACGCAGTGGCGACTGAAAAGCCTGACCATAGCCGGAGAAGCGTCTTCCGCACTGCCGCCAACGCAGCAAAGCGTGCGCGGCGTGGAGTGGTTTGCGGAGATTGGCATGGCGACGCAGACGGTGGACACCTCGGAAGTGCCGGGCGTTGTGGTGGGGACGACAGGCTTTAATGAGGTGCGGCCTCCGCTCTGCCTCAGCGGGAAGGAAAGAACAACGACAGTGACGGCTGGCAGGTCCGTTGTGACGGCAGCCCCGGTGCTTCAGTGCACCGTCGTGTCGTCCAGCTGCGGGTTCGTGGCGAGCAGTGACGTTGAGAGCACCGTCACTTGGTCGTTCGTCTCACCGGTCCTTCTCGATCAGCTCTCTCTGCACCTGCGCGCAACCCTCGAGGCGGTGGAGGAGAATGAGGAAGGAGCGGGCGGAGAGAACGGTGCCACCCCCGCTTCACCAGTGAACGGCGAGGCGGCGTTGCAGAGCCTGTGGGTGGAGACGAGCGACAACGGCGAGGACTTCGTCGCGGTGGCGCACTCCTTCTGGTGGCTGCCGGACACGACGGTGACCCTGTCGTGGGAGGAGGTCCCGCCGGCCCCGTTCTGGCGACTGCGGCTGTCGAAGGTGGCGGCTGCAGCGACGTCGCCACTGTCACCGCGGCAGCAGACGGTCAGTTGCTTGCTGGAGATCTTCGCTGCTTGCTGGGGCGTCCGGCGGTCCAGTCCAGCCCTCACCGCCCACGTGCGCATTCCAGCGCTGGGCAGTTTCACGAACACGGCCTACCGCACCTGGCTGAAGGACTGCTTCAACCACGAGGACGCCTTTATGCGGGAATGCCAGGATGCCCTGGACGAAGTCCGTAGCGTTGAGTCGAAGCTGCGCACGGCGGGGAGCATGAGCGCGCCTGCGATGGTGGCTGCGGTGGTGCAGAGGATGCGTGCGGAGTATCAGATGTTTATTCAAAAGACGGCGAAGGAAGCGGCCCGCCTGCTCCGCCTCAACGCCGAGGACGATAAAGCCACCGCGTCGCCGACGCCAGCGGCAACCTATAACATGAGTCCAATCAGCGACGACGCCCACCCGCGGTCGGCGTCTTGGCCTTCCGTACCGAACCGCGTGCACGCATCACTGCTGTCGCCGGAGCGTGCGTCCTCGGATGTGGTGTTGCTGCTCCACGAGTCCGCGACAAACCCGCTGCTTGGTGCGTCCAAGTGGACTCAACTGGCGGAGCTGCTCAATTACCCACTCGCCTTTCGCGAAGCGTATCGGTTCACGAAGAACTCCTTACGCTGGTTCTACCCCTGCCTCGAAATCGTCGGACAATCCGCACAGGAGTGGTATGGCTTTCCCCCCGAGAACGTCTGTGCGTCGTTCTGCGTCTACTGGTCTCTCTCGTCGGCGCTGCAGCGCAGAAAAGATGCGCTGCTCGCGTCAAACGATCTCATTCTCCCACTCAGCGAGCACGTCGCGAGCCCGATCGTGGTGGTGCAGATCAACGAGCTTGATTGGTCGCCGAGTCAGCACTTCCCGAACGTGCCGTTCCTGTGCGCGACAAACTTCAATGATCGGCCTACCACTGTCGTGTTCGCGCTGAACGACATCGTCTTCACACCGCCGTACGCACTGGGGGCACCGTCCGCGAAGGACTCGCAGGCGCTCACCTCTGCCTACCCGTACACGATCTCCGCAGGCGTGAACTTCGTACAGGCGCGCCGGCTGGACAGCTGCCCGGCCCCGGTCTTCGACGTCTTGCGCTACATCCTGGCGCCATCGTTTTTCCAGCCTGCAGCGGCGGAGAAAGGAGGCAAGACACCGCTACAGCGTCGCAGCAACGTGCCAGCCAGCAACAATGACAATCTTGTGCTCATGGTGCTCACAACGTCGTCGCTGCAACAGGGCTCGGGAGACACAGCGGAGGGCGTGGCGGCACAACTGCGCTTCACCGTGCCTGCCGAGGGCGTCGACTTCGGACTGCGCGGCCTGGTGATAGACGCGCTGGAGTTTGAGGTGACGATGGCGGCGGACGGCCCGGCGAAGCAGTGGTCGTACCAAACCACGTTTGTTACGCACGGGGCGCGGTTTGTGGCGCAGGGAGGCAGCCGCAGCGGCAGCGGCGATGGTGCGACGGAGGTGCCGGTGAGTCTGCTGGGCAACGTGGAGATGCACGGACTGCCCGTGGTCGGGCTGCGCGGCAGCCTGGGCAACGCTCGGCTTACCGCGGTGGCGGACGTTCCTGGCGCCGTCGTGACGAATGTAATCTTTCACACCATCGCACAGGTCGAGCGGGTTCCGGCGTCTGTCACAGTTTTAGGCGACGCCGAGAACGACGGCGCAGCGGAGATGCCACCACCGTGGGAGTGCTTCCCGCTGCAGTCGGAGGGACTCGTGGCGCTCCCAGGGATGCCGTACAACTGCAGCTGCACGTGCGTCTTGAACCTGCCGAGCACCGCGCGCGGTGCGTTGGAGGTGTCACAGTTGCAGGTGGCGTTGCACCGCTGCTCCTTGAGCGACGTGCAGGCGTTCTGTCGCGCGTGTAGTGGTGGAGGCGGTGGGGAAGCAGATCCACAGCCCATCACCGCCGCGCCAGTGTTTCCTGCGCAGCCGTTTGACGTGTGTGGCGTGCACGTGCAGCTGGCGGCGTTTCTGAAGGTGGCCGCACGGTCTCCAAGCACAGCGGCGAGTCAGCGAAGCGGCGGCACCACCCTGCACGGTCAAGGCCTGCTCTACCTGGACAACAACGTGTTGCAAGGGGCAACAGTGGAGATGTTCTGCGGGCACGCATCCGTGACGGTGATGGCCACCTGCCCTCACCCCCTACGTTTTGGCGCGCTCGTTGTGGAGGGGACGGAGGAGCATCCTGTTTCGGTTCAACTGTTGCTGAGCGCGTCACCACCAACGGTGCACCAACCACATCAACACGGCAGTAATTCTGGAAGTGGAGGGGCCACTTACAACGGTTCCAAAACCCCCTGCGCGTCGCGTCGCTTGCTCATCGCGGGATCAGCGCACCTCTTCGGACGGCAGCAGCGGGCCCGGGTGTCGCTGGAGCTGTCGTACTGCGCCGACACCGGACCCGTTGTCACACTTGTCGGGCACTCCCTTCGCCACGCCGGACTCGTGGCGAGCGTACAGGACAGTGCGGTGTCGCTGGCGTGGCGCTACGCCCAAGTCACGGTGGACGAGTTGTCGCTCCGTCGTGCCCTCGCGCGTGAGCTGGGCCACGTCCCCATTGTCGCGGCCCTCCGCGCACATGGGATTCCGCTGGTGTGCGTTGTGTCTACGGTCAATGCCGCGCCGTTTGACTTGTCCGCGCAACGCCTCTCTCTCCGCCTCAAGGGACAGCTCTTTGGGGCATCCTTCGACGTCACGACGTCCGTTGTCTGCCCCGACGACGCCGAGGATGCGTGGTCGGTGATGGCGGCACGTCTCTGCCCGGAGGTGGTGGAGCAGTGTGAGGAGAATCTGTGGGCGTCCTACGCGAACGTGGTGGGCTGTCGCATGCAAGTTCCACAGGATGCAGAGGTGGCGGAATGAAGAAATACGGGAATGAACGGCTCAGGTTGACGTGATCGTTGGCGTTTGCAGGAGACCTAAAGGACACGAAGAAGAAGATATGCTTCGAGGATATTCACGATGCTGGCAGCAGTCTTTTCTCTGTTGTAGGGAGCGACTTTGTCTCTTTCTTTTCCCCAGTTGCCGTGTGGCTTCATTTGTTCTGATGTATTCTACTATGTATGGAACGCCAATGTGCAAGCATATTAAAGAAATCGTAGCCAAATGCACAAGAGAGATGGAAGAGGCGAACTGTGTGACGTGCACAAGAACCATATCCTGCGTTGATCGTATTGCTGCGAGAACTAGGCATCGATACTGGAGGGAGGAGGGGAGGTTCACGTTGCCCTCTCTCTCTTTCTCATTAATGCCGTAGAAAGAATCTACCGAGGACAATGCCCAGTTTTACCGCGTTGTAAATCACAGGAAACGAGACGTGTCTCCTCGGCCTCGTGATGCATCCGATGCAGAGAGCTCCCGTTATTCGAAGGCTTCTTTTTTTTGTTCAACACCACTTCATTTAGCTTCCCCCGTTCCTACCCTTGCACTTTGGTCTTCAAAGACGTTTCATTTTTCCAGCCACCACAAACAGCATCAACGGCTACAGACTGATCATCGTTCCTTCCCATACCGCAAGAGGGATAGAAAAATGGCTTTCCATGACGCATCCGTCTCCGTCCTGATGGACCGGATGAGCGACATCGATAAGCAGCGGCGGGTACTCGTCATGCGTCAGAAGGAGCTGGAGGCGGCGGTGGCGTTTGCGACGGCAGAGAAGAACGACCTCGCACGGGAGGCGAAGGCGATGGATGACGAGGAAGCCCAACTCAAAGGCGACCTCGAGGCACTCGCGGCGGAGGAGCAGCAGTTGGCGGTGCAGACGATGGACGTCACCGACCACCTGCGCCGTACAGAGGAGGAGGAGACCGTCCACTCCACCGCGGCCACCGCCGAGCTGGCGGCGCTGGCGCAAGAGAAGGCCACGTGGCAGGAGAAGGTCGCCGAGTTGGAAACGCTGCGGCGCACCTGGGAGAACGACCCGGCGACGTCGTCCTGCATCGCAGCCTTGCGGGACGAGATGGCGTTGCTGACCACCCTCAAGACCGAAATGGCAACGCTGGAACAGCAGAAGGCGGCAATGGAGTCTACCATTGCGGAGATGCGCGCCGAGCAACAGGCACAGCTGGCCAGTGCTGGTGCGTTGCAGGACAGGTATGCGGTGGGGGCAACGGCGGTGGAACTGTTGGCGCTACAACCTCACCGCGCCGAAGGTCCTTCTTCTGCAGAGGCGACCTCTTCCTCTGATGATACCGCTGCTGCTGCTGCTGCTACTGGCTGCGAGGGAAAGAGTGCGACCCCTGCGCGCAGTGTGGAGGAGGAGATGAAGAAGGCGGAATACGAGTGGGCCCAGGTGACCGCGCGGCACACATGGGCGATGTCAAGTCTGCAACGCGAGGTGGACGCTCTTCGTTCTCGAGCAGCGGAACTGGAAGACTTGTTACGCGACGTGGAGGCTACGCGGGAAGAGGTATCGCGACGGGCTGCTCAACTGCAGCAGTGTCTGACAAGCGGACTCTGTGCTCGGTGTTCTTCGTGAGCGAAGAAGACAAAGGTATCTTCTATTTTCACCTTGTCTGCTCCTGCCGGGCAGGTGCGTTGTTTTGTGCCGTCGTGTGACCACCGGAAGTGATTCTTTTATTTCCCTTTTACTTGTTTCGCTTTTTCCGCTACGGCACTCTGCTCTGCTTCTCAGCTGCTGAAGTAAAGAATATGTATAAGCAGCAATAACTTCTGTTCCTCTCTGATTCCGGCACAATCTCTTTTAGGTCGAGTGGTGGTGCGGTGAGTTTTGCGTTCTCTTGCGATGCACAAGAGAAGAGTGGAAGACACTCAGCGACGTCGTTGGTGTCGCACGCCTTTCTCTGCTGCTGAGGCGGAGGTGTTTGCCTTTCCGTTCGCATGCACGCGGTCTTTTCTTTTTTCTCTTACTCTCCTCTACTCATACGTGCGCACGCCCGTTCTTTTCACTTTCCAACAACAACAACAAAAATAGCAGCAGACATATTACTCATACTTTCCTTCACCTCAGCTTTTCTTGAGGAACGAAGAAAGAAAGGGTTTCTTTCGAATCGTCCTACGTGTTCTTCCTCGTTCCCCCTCCCCCCTGACTTCATCATGCTTCGCGGTCTCCGCAATCGCATGAAGCGCGCGAACGAGCCGCGGGTGCTCATCCTCGGTCTGGACAACGCCGGCAAGACGACCATTTTGAACAAGCTCGGTGTCGCAGAGGAGCACCCCACGGAGGCCCCTGAAGGTCCGACGCAGGGCTTCAACGTCATGGACGTGCACCGCGACGGCAAGCACGCCAAGCTGTGCGACCTCGGCGGTCAGCGGGCGCTGCGCGAGTACTGGGAGGACTACTATGCCAACACCGACTGCATCATGTACGTCGTCGACTCATCCGATCAGCGGCGCCTGCGCGAGGCGCACGAGGCATTTATTGACGTCGTGAAGGGTGTGCCGAATGTGCCGGTGTTGGTGCTGGCGAACAAACAGGACTTAGCCACCGCGAAGGACCCGCAGTTCGTGGCGGAGTCGCTCGAGTTGAACGACTTTCGCGATCGCCGCTGGCACATTCAGGGCTGCAGTGCGAAGTCTGGTGAGGGGCTAGAGGAGAGCATCGCGTGGATTTTTGACGTGTGCAGCGCTAAGTAAGAAAGGGGAGGAAACGAGCGTTTTGTCAAAGGAAATGGTGGAAGCAGACGAGAGTTAATGGTGCGAGTGAGGAACAGCAAGGGCAGCCTTTCGAGGAGTTGGCCACGAAATGCTTCTCGTGGGTGTGAATACAGATGTTCTGGCGGTGTAAGTACGCGTCTGATCGCACAGGGGTTGGTCTCTCTTTTAAAGATATTTCTTTTTTTCTCTCTTGGCGGGTCGGATACACGTATTTCAACATCACTCGACGCAGCCATTCGTTTTTTTTTTCTGATGGTTGTGCGTTTTTCTCTCTCTATAAGTGTGTGTTCATAATGGTACTGCATGCTTCGTTGCGCATGTACATAGGATTGGCGCGGCAAGCGCCACTTGCGCCCTCTTCTCCAAAGTGCTGAAGCCTTGTTGCTGTTTTTTGCCGAGACCTGGATGATGGGAACCGGCAAGCTGTGTCCAGAGCCTTGCCTACAAGCAGCACGTGAAACTCTTTCTCTTGGTTGCTGTGCTCTCAGGAGAGTTGTTATCTTGAGAGCAGCTCCTGTGTTCGCGTACGCCATATGCGCCGACTACTTGCTGTTTCGGTGACGTACCACTCTCGTCTATTTCCTTCCCTTCTACCGTTTATCGTTCCCTCTCTGAAAGCAGCACCTCGTTGACCTTTCTCCTAGATCTCGTTGCTGCCGTGGCATGAGCAGGAAAGCGCCGTAGAATTCAGTGCACGTGGAACTTTATCTGTTGCAAGTGAATGCCGCAGGTCGTCTTACATCACCATCATTGAGAGGCAAAACAACCCTTTCTACCTGCGCGGTTCTGGCAAAAGGAAAGAAGACAACATTAAAATGTCACGGGTCATTACATGCGGCATTTGCTTTAACGTGCTGGACCGGCCTGTGACACTGGAGTGCAACCACTCCTTTTGCACGGCCTGCGTCCTACAGACACTGCGCGACAACGGCGACAACGGCTTTCAGTGCCCCCTCTGTGCAACGCCCTACACGGAGCTCCACGCCGGCAACCTCGCCGAGTACGCGGACCACGAAACAGAGGTGTACGTCGAGGCCCTCGCCAAGGGTGTCTCTGACCCACGCAAGTGCCAGTGGTGCGAGAGCGCGCCGGCCACGGTGCAGTGTGCTGAGTGCATGAGCATCTTCTGCAACGACTGCAGCGCCGCCGTGCATAAGAACATCGCAAAACGCGACCACGCCGTTGGCAAATTGAGCGACTCGAGTAAGAACTACCTGCGACGGTGCCACTTGCGCTCGCACGAGGAGTATAAGGCGGAATTTTACTGCGTGCAGTGCAGCCAGGTGTGTTGCGCCTACTGTCTGCAGGTAGGGCCGCACCGCGAACATCGTCACGTGACGACCGCGGTAGCGGCAGCCGAGGCCCGACAGCAAATGTCGCGAGACTTGCAGTCGATTGTGGAGAGCAAGACACGCCTGGAGCGGCAGGCGGCGGAGATGAACCGTGTGGCGGTGCAGTACTCTGATTCGTACGACTCGGTGGAGAACGTGGTGACCGAACGCTTTGAGGCGTTCAAGCAGCAGCTGATGCAGCGGGAGGTGGAGGTGCGGCGCATGCTGACGAAACTGCGTGAAAGCGGCGATGCCTCTCTCACGTCCTCCCGCCGAGAGTACCTGGAGACGCTCAACAAAATGAACGAAACGCTGCTGCAGTTCCGTGGGATCCAAAATGGAGGCACGGACGACGAAGTGCTGGAGAGCCACGTGCAGCTAAGCAGCTGTCTCCCTTCCGACCTGCCCTCCGTGACGGGGGCCGGCTTCAAGATGATGAGTCTCGGTGACATGACGCTGGCGGGTCTGGAGGTTGCGTTGGATCTGCAGACGGTCGACGCCGGCCTGCAGCAGCAGCAGCAGCGCCAGCAGCTGTCTTCTGTAAATGTAAATCGATCCGCGACGTACGGCGGCGCTGCCTCTTTGAATGGCAGCACCACGTCCGGCTACGGCGGCACCACCGCGGCCCTGAGCGCGCCTCTGCGTCTCACCTTCCCCGTCGATGACGACGTGGAGGCGACGGTACTGGGGGACGGCGTGCAGCTGCACTGTGTCTCCCGGGGCAGCGGCGCCACCCAAATCGGCGTGCGGAGCAAAGAAACGTTTGAGTCGCTGTTATCGAGCTTCCCGGAGGATCGCGGTGTTGTGGCGTGGCGGGTGCGGCTCGACAACATCTCCGACTCTTTTATCGGCGTGGTGGAGAAGACGTTGCGGTCCGGTCAGGTGCCGAACGGGTTTTACTGGAAGCCCGCCTGCGCTGGGGTTGTTGACGGCCAGGTAGGTCGTTTTACGTCTGCCGTGCGGCGACTGCCCGTGTGCAGGAACGGGGATCGGGTTCACTTCATCTACGACGGCTCGCAAGGCACGCTGCGAGTTGTGGTGAACGACAACGATGATCGTGGGGTGATCGTGGCGGACTTGCACCCCCGCATGGCCGCCTGCTTCATCTTTTATCCTGGTGAGGCCTTAACGATTTTGTTTTAGAGCGTTTGGAGGGGATAGCCTCTTTTTAGTTACATAGATTCCCTTTATACGCTAGTAGAACGTTGATTTGCGTTGCTCGCTGTTGTGGTTGCCAGCAACACCCCTACTGTTTCTTACAGGTTTTTTATCTTTTATTCTTCTTATTTGATCGGTAGGGGGCGTGTGGACGTTGTTGTGTCCTCTTTGAGTGGTTTTCTCATGTCGTTTACTTTTCAACCCGTTTTGCTCCCTTTTTTTTTGTTCCCCACATTTACTTCGTTTTGTGTGCGTGTGTGTGTCTGAGACACGCCGATAGATGTACCACTACACTTTAGCAGCAGCTGAGAAGCGAAGAGAGGAGAAAAGAATGAAATTCGACTGGCGGACGTACCCTCCCCGCTTTTCATCTTGCGACGGGCAGTGCTCCGGTTTGATTTCTCATATGACTTCTTCCAAGCTTTTCGCTCGTGGGGGACTTCGTTGGGGCTCTGCAAATGACGGCTAGTTTCCGCAGACAGCATTTGCCACCTCCAACGCCGCACACTGTCTTCTGAAAACATCCAGACCAAAAACGCAAGTATGATGGCGTTGACAACGGGATTTCTATGCTTGGTAGAAGCAATAATAAGTTAAAAGAACAGGCAGAAATATGTGTTGATATGATTTCGATTATCTACTCCACACACAATGCCTTTCTATAGAAATTCTCTTCTTCTTTTATACTTAGTGGCAACACTTCATTTTTTCAACTTTCCTTTCTTCACGCGTTTCGTCGAATGTGATGTCCCGCGCTTTTAGTTTCGTGCCTCACAAAGTTTTTAGCCGTGTTTCCCAAAGCCTTCCCCTCCTGTCAGCAGATTTGTTTTTGCACGTGCTGCATCAAACAAGAGAAGAGAAGACCAAGAACACAGTTCTCTGTTTTCCGTTAAGTCGGCGCGGTACCTTGTACTATTCACCGACACCCAGCACCCTTTTGAAGACTCCTTCGCTCCGTTACTCGCGAGCAGCGAAAGTACGACTGTGGTATTCTTGAGACAAACGTCTTTAAGCTCGTGGGCTATTATTATTGTTTTCCTTTCCATTTTGTTTTTAGGAGTGGAAGACGTGGAAAAGAGAAAACCAACAACTGAAGGAACGCGGCACAATTGCGTGACGTTCGTACACGTTGTGTATGAAAGAGGGTGCAAGTGAACGGTTTCTTTTTCTCACTTAACACCCGCAATAACAGCACGCGAAAGTACAACGACGCTTTAAAGGAAGGAAAAAAAAAAACAAATATGACTACCCTTTCGTCGTATGTGAATGAGAAGCTGGAGGGCCGCACGCCGACGCAAATCGTCGTCTTGACGATTGGAGCCGCGGCGGCGGTTCGCATTGCCCTCGACTGCTTCGGTGAGGGTCAGATGGTGAAGCGCACGAAGCAGGCCGTGTGGCGCGGGATTCGCTTCATCGCAGACCCCTTCATCAACGTGAAGGTGCAGAAGGCAGCAAGGGACATGAAGATGCCGTCGAAGGAAGGCGAGTTCAAGGCGATCACCCTTCCCGAAAAGTCGCGAAGCGAAGAGGATGTATTGGAGTTGGTGCGGCAGTTTCACACCGACCTCGACCTGGACTACGAGGAGGGCGGCTTCAGCGGCACGGTCTACCACGGTGGTAAGACGCACACGAAGTTCATCAATGATGTCATGGCCATCTACCAGTGGAGTAACCCGTTGCACAGCGACATTTTCGGCGCTACGCGCAAGATGGAAGCAGAGATAGTGTCGATGGTACTGCACATGTTCAACGGTCACCTGCTGAAGGACGCCGGCGGTGTCGTCACGTCGGGTGGCACGGAGAGCATCATGATGGCCTTGAGGGCCTACCGTGACTGGGGTCGTGACACCCGCGGCATTGAGCGCCCGTCCGTCGTCGCACCCATCACCATTCACCCGGCCTTCGACAAGGGCGCCGAGTACTTCAACATTGAGCTCATTAAGGTCCCGATTGTCGAGGCCACCGGCCAGGTGGACCCGCAGGAGATGGAGAAGTACATCCGCTACGACACCATCGCCTTGGCCGCGTCAGCGCCGAACTTCCCTCACGGTGTCGTCGACCCCATCGCGGAAGTGGCGGAGCTGGCCGTCAAATACAACGTCGGCTTCCACGTCGACTGCTGCCTTGGTGGGTTTATCATGCCGTTCCTGGCCAAGACGGGCCGCACGGCACCGGTCGTTGACTTCCGGAATCGCGGTGTGACGTCCATCTCGTGCGACACGCACAAGTACGGCTACGCTCCGAAGGGCACGTCGACCGTCATCTACCGCACAAGAGAGCTGCGCAGCTACCAGTTCTGCTGCATCGCGGAGTGGCCGGGTGGCATGTACTGCTCGCCGGCGGTGAGTGGGTCGAAACCCGGCAATGCGATTGCTGGCGCCTGGGCCGCGATGGTGCGCATGGGAGAGGAGGGCTACGTGGAGTGCTGCGACAAAATCATCTCCACGCGCGAAACGATCACGGCGGCGCTGGAGAAGCTGCCGTACATTCACATTATCGGCCAGCCCACTGCGAGTGTCTTTGCCTTCAACAGTCACACCATCGATATCTTCCAGCTTGGCGACGGCCTGAAGAAGCGCGGGTGGGTGCTGAACAACCTGCAGTTTCCTTCTGGGCTACAGTTCAGCGTCACAATGCTGCAAACGCGAGACGGGGTTGCCGCCCGCTTCATCAACGACGTGAAGGAGATCGGCGACGCGCTGTACGAGGAGCGGAGGCGGCTGCTGTCGGAGGGCAAGAAGGCGCCGATCGGTGCGACAAGCGCGACCCTTTATGGCACTGCACAGCGCATTCCCGACCGCACCATTGTCAAGGACATTCTTCGCGAGTTCCTCAACACGTATTACACCGCGTAGAAGCCTGGACGGCAACGGAAAGAGAAAGAAGAAACAGTAGTTGTTCGAATCACAACAATGAAATGAGTGAAGAACAGAAAATGCTTTTGCAGAAGCATCTCTCTCTCTCTCTCTGCGGATTAACTCAACAAATCTCACAGCAAAATTTTCGTGTGTGGCTGCCCCACGGTGATGCCGTTTTCGTCTCTTCCTCCTTCCCCTTACCCCCCCCCCCCCCACCTTCCTCTTCCGCCGTGCAAGGTGTGCCTTTTCGTACATGGTATATCGTCGACTGCTTGCACGAGCTGTGCTGACGATCGATGCAAGCTGACTCCGAAGTTGTGCGCTGCTCAAGAGCGTTCAGCGTTAGGGGAGAGGGTGGTGTTGGGGGTCACTGTTGTTTTTACGGCAGGAATGTTTTTGTTTGGCGAGCTGCTGTCCGTTCTCATTTCACATTTTTTACTTTGTATGTACCCCGCTTTATAGGCGTGTGTCAGTCAAGCGCGTTGTTGGTGTCGCCTACGTAAGTTTTCGGTTTTTTTTGAACTAAGTAAATTAAATAAACCACATAGAAGATAGATCATAACGCGTGCGAGAAACTGAATCTGTTGCGGTAGCAGTCTCCTGTTTGTTTGTTTTTCCCGTTTAGTAGTACTACAGTTTGTTTTTTACGGGAAAGGAATCCGTCACATTCTGGCACTCGAATTTTGTCTTTTCGCTGCTTTGATGCTCATTTTTTTAAAGCTTTTTTTGCTTGTTTGTTTTTGATCTCCTTTTTTCGGTGCTGTACTCACCGCAGTCTGTTTCTTTTCTCCGCGACGCGTTGGTGAGCGCGCTGCGATTAGCGCATCGCTTTTCCACACCGCTGACGGGGACGAGAAGCCTTGCACACACACACACACACACACACACTACCTTTTACTTGTAAATTACAATGGCGTGGATGCTACGTGCTCTCTCGTCACTCTGTTTCTTTGTTGTTCGCTTCACACCATGTTGTTTAGCACAACTCTTTGTGAGAGTCGCACGTCGATGGTAGGAATACATCGCCCTCTATTCGCTTGCCTCATTTCGATCCTTACTCGCGTTCATAGTACCGGTGGTTTGTGTGGTCTTTAGCACGTGGTGCCGCCTTGGGAAAAGGTTGGGGACACCGCCTGTTCCTTCTTCTGTACTTCAGACAATTAGTGGTTTCTTTTTTTTTCTAGAGGGTGGCCGCGTTGTTCGTTTCCCCCCTTCTTTCTGTTGTTGCTGTTTTGTTCTGTGAAGGGTTGTAACACTAATAAGTCAAGCGTTTCGTTCGCCAGCCGCAATGTCAAGGAAACAAACAAGCAAACATGCAGAGAAACGCACCTTTTACAGCAACGGACTCGAAGACCACCGATGAGCCAAGAACGAGGTTGCAAATACGAATAGAAGTAAACGCCTTGTGTTGCATCTTAATGGTGGGAAATCGCGAGTAAAAAACGACGTATTTGACCCCTTTTTTCCCTTTTTTTTTGTTTCGGGTTACTCTGTTCCCCAAGTGACTCATCTCCTGCTGTTTCGTCTCCCGTCTATCTAGCCTGCTTGCTGTACAGAAGCAAGACCACCAGATGAACGTGGTGGAGAAAGCAAGATCGTAGAAGTGTTCAATCGAACGAAGAGCATCATAGAAGCAGTGTGCTCAGCGGCGCACGCATAGAAAGCCTGGTGCAGACGTTCCTCAAAGCGCAACCACCAGCAACTAAATAAAGCATCGTTCCTCCTTTTCATTCAAAACCCCCCGTGGAAACAAAGCACAAGTACAAAAGAAAAGCGAGCAGCGAGAAGCACTTCGTCGCCTAAAAAAAAAAAATAGATATCTTGCGATGCCGTTTACCTTTAAGCTGCACGAGCCACCGTGCGACGTGGCGTTTCTCTCCATTGTCGACGGCGAGGCCCTGTACAACGCCGACAACGCTCGCACACGCGACGTGAAGGAGGCGACGATCCGCCAAATCGGCTGGCACCGCGTCGAACTGCCGCAGGAATGGTTCCTCTCCCAGCGAGCCCGCGAAACCACCACGCACATGCTGGAGGCGATGCAGTGCACCCTGCAGTACCTGCGCTACCGCGGTAAAAGCGAAGAAAAGCGCAGCATCAGACTAGCCGCCACCCTGCAGCGCTGCGAGGAGGAGCGCGCGGCCGCCTTTGAGGAGCTGATCGAATTGCGCGAGACGGTCGCCCTTTACAAGAAGAAGCTGCGAGAGATGAGTCAGGGCACGAAGAGAGGGGCGCCCTCCCCAGTAACGCACTCCGAGGGGCTGCAGTGCGCTTTTTGCGAAAACTGCTACCCCAGTCGCCACGCCCTTGAGTCGCACTTCCGCAAGCGCCACAAGCGTTCTTCCGGGTATGCCGCCATGGCTGCAGCGGCGGCCGCCGTAGCACAGAAGCAGCAACAGCAAGAAGTCAAAGATGAGGCGCTCACCCCACGCAGTCCGTCGAATCTCCCTTTCATGGGCCAGCGGAGTCCACCGCCTTCCGGATCCACCACCAGTCCCCCAGGCGTGGAAAGCCGTGGTGATCTCAGTCTGCGCGAGGAGCTGAGTGAGCTGCGCCTCAGCGTCGCGAAGCTGTTGACGCAGCAGGCGGAGTTCTATCGCGGGATGTCACCGTCGTGCATGGCCGCCGTGCCGATGCCAACTGCCACAGCACCAGGTGACGCCCCCGCAGTCACCAGAACGACTCCGGTCGCAACAGGGCCTCTCCCAGGTTTGCCTTCGAGCCCGCACGCAAGTAAGGAGGAGGAGAGCGCGCTGCTGCGGTGGCTCGCGCAGGATGTGTCGGAGCGAAAGGAACGCCGTGGTGGGGCCGAGCCACACGCTGCACAACGCGGTACGGAGAACAACGCAACGGAAGGAAATGAAGAGACGCCTTCTCGCCCGCCAGCGGACGTGACCGCACGTGTGCGGACGTATCCAACGCTGGACCCTAGGAGCTTCCTGCACTCCAGCGGGAGCGACAGCGTGCTCGGCGGCGGCGGCGGGACCGGTGTCGGGGCGCGACGCGGGAGTACCATGGACAGCTACGTGGAGGTGTCACCTATGTCGCCATCGCCCTCGCTGGCGCAGCACGCCAATTCGCGTGAGAAGAAGAAAAACCGCACACGGAGGAAACATGGCAAACCCGCTGCAGAAACTGCCGTTCTCGCTGCGGGATTTACGGCGCTCGCACAAGGTGGCAGTGAGGGCATTCACGGCAGCGTCGGTCTTCCGAGTGCGTTGCTCGAGAGGCAGAGACTTGCAGGGTTGCACGAAGCGCATGGCGTAGCTTCCCTCCTTTCATCCTCTGCCCAAGTCCTCATCGTCTCATCGGAGCACGGCTCGTTTAGCGGCGAATCGACTGCCTCTAGCAGCATCCGTCCTGCCCTTGACGCGACGCACACGCCTCCGGCGGGAAATGGCAGTCCGCCGGCGCCTGTCTCACCGGAGAATGCGAAGCTGCTGGCGTACGGCCCCGACACTGACAGCCCCATGGTGCGGCTGCCGTCATCGACGGACGCCCTGACGCGTGGGTCGTCGGAGCCGAACTCGCCGTCCGCCAACCGGTACGGCACGCCCTCGCCGCCAGATAGCGGAGAGACGTCTCACATTGCGAGCATCGGTCTGTCGGCTGGTGGTCCGACGGGAACGTCTGCTGCTGGTGCGGCTGCTTCTGCGCAGTTCAAGACTCGTCCCGCTCCACAGGCAGTGAAGCCGCTCTCGCCGGTGTCAACGCAGCAGGGTGTCTCTAATATGATGCTACTCAAGAAGACGTACGGGCCCGTGCCGTCGGTGCCCATCTTGCGAGTTCCCTCCAGCTCCAGCTCCAGCTCCAGCTCCCTCCCCTCTACCGACGAGCGCGAAACAAACCTCGCTTTGCCGTCTCCGCAAGGTGGAAGCGGCATCGTTTCTGCTGTGAGTGCCGGTCGCACAGGGGGCGTCGTACGCACTGACACCACCACACCGCGACGTCGCGTGCCGGACACGTCCTCGCCTCACCCGGGAGTGCAGAGCCCCACGCAGACACCTCGTTTTGGCAGCACACCGCCCACGACGCGTGTGGCGCCGATTCCGGCGCTCAATCTCAGTGCGGTCAGTGTGCACAGCAGCACTGACCAACCGCGGCGCTCCGACTCGCCGTCTGTCAGCCGTGCCAGTCATCGACACGGTGACGCGGCGGAACGGCAAGCGCAGCGTGCGAGCGCGACGGATGCCGTCGTGCAGGCATCCTTGAACTCGTCCACTGGCGCGCTGCAAGCCGGCTTTACGCCGGCAACACAGGCGCCAACGCAGAAGGCTATTCCTGTGGTGCACCTCGTACCGGCGACATCGCTCGAGTCGGACGAGCTTGGAAAGCACGCGAATGGAGATGAGAAAAGTGACAGCAGCGGTGACGCTTCGGTGTCGTCGTTTTCCAAGGTGCCTGCTGGTACGCAACCCGAACGCGTGCGGTCTGACGCTGGACAGTCCGTAATGCAGACGCGGCGACGGCAGAGTGCGGAGGAAGTGCTCAGAGCATCGGACGCCTCGTACTCCGTGGATGCGCAGCTTTATGCCCCGTCTGATGCAGAGCAAGAGGAAGAAGACGCACTGGACGCTGATCAGCACGAGGCGTACATAGACAATGCCAGTGATCATCTCCCCGAGGACATCACTGTCGATCCACTCGGCAGCGTGTTGTCGCAGGATGTGGACGTCGATGGAGACGATCAGGTGGACCGTGATCCCATCATGGAAGACGTACTGACGAACGACCTCGTGCCAGCTGAGCCACTTGGCCCTTTGTTCGGCACCTACCCAGCCCCCATGCGTCGGCAGGTGGCGGACACCGCTTCGGACGGCAGTGAGGAGGAGGATGTGGTCGATGCGGGTGGTGACGTGCGCTCTGCCGAAGACGCCTCTGCGCTGCATTCGAGCGACGCAGAACACCGCAACCCCCAACACGCCGTAGAGTCCGGCAGTGGCGGCAGCAGTGAGGAAGTGGCGAAAAACGCAGCGGACAAGGCGGAGAGCGCCTCGGGTGACTATTCTTATTATACCGACTCCTACGACGACGATGAGGGGAGCAAGGAGTCCGAGGAGGGAGAGTGGGAAGCGAAGAACAGCAGCGGTGGAAAGCTCGACATGGAGAGCAGCAAGTTCTCGTTGGGCACGCCGGTTGTGGCGCCGCCGATGGCGGTGAGTCCAACGGTGGCGTCCAGCCGAGGAGGCGACCGCTTTTACTCCCCCGCACAAGCAGAAGCGCACGTGGAGAAGAAGCCGCACAAGCGGGGTAAGGAGACGGCAGCCGCGACCCCCGGCCGGGAAAGCGGTCGACGCTCGTCGTCCGAGCTGCTGCGTGGCTCGAGCACCGAGATGACCCGCAGCGAGGAGCTGGCCTCGGTGCCTCCTGCGCGCAGCACATCATTTCAATCCAACGTGTCACACACCGTGAAGAAGGCGGGTGGCGTCTTTAAGAATCTCTTCACGAAGAAAAAGAAGAGGTAAAGCCGTGAAGGCGCAACGCTCGCGGGCCGGTGTTGAGCTTGAGATGGCCCCTCGTAAGTGCGGAATTACTTGCGCCCCACCGTTTTGTTTTGTGTTTGGGAGAGTTCCGAATAGAAGAGTTACATCATAGCTGATAGAATGCGCTCCTGATACTTGTGAAGCACACGGCCGCACCCGTCAATAATTAAAGAAAAAGTAATCCCTTCATGTCAGAGCCTTCATTTTTTCGTCTCGGCTTCTAGATGACTTCAGTTTAGTCAAGGCAGCGTTGATGGTTTTTGTTTTGGTGTTGTGCTCTAATCGTGACGAGCAACGCCAGTACAAAGGGAGCAGAACGTGCGAAGCAAAGGCTTCTCATTTCACATCTGTCTGTGCCCCTCCTCCTCCTTCCCCTCCTTCTCCTCCTCCCAAAAGCACCGATATGCCTGTGGATTGAGATGCCCCTCGTTTTTTCTTCTTGTCGCTTTTCCCTTCCTGATGCGCTCAAGTAATCCATACGGTTTTTGTTTTCTTCTTTGCGCTCCTCCGCTGTCGCACAAATATATATATATATATAAAGACTCTCATTTTCCTGATGAGGTAGGTTTCTTTGGCGCTTTGACGTTGCTTGGCACACCTTCGCTGTGTGACTTTGTTGCTGCTGCGGCGATGTAAGGTAAAAGAATTTGAGTTGTGGTTACGATACAGCACCACTGCAATAGCGGGCTTGTTGGTCTCTCATTCGCTTGCCGGCTACCCGTGAGTGCGAGATTTGGGTTCACTGCTGCAGAGCCTCGTCTTGCAACAGCAAAAACACAAAGTAAGTAATCGAGCGACAAAGCAGGGAAAAGAAGAAGACGTCTTACACAACAACATAGGATACCTAATGGTTCCTGGGGAAAGGAGATGCAAGCTCTTTCTTCCCCACAAGGCAAAGCTCTTTCATAACGGTGAGGGACTGCTTCTTTTTCAGTGGATCTTTGTCTCGTGCTGGCCGGGCTGATGAGTCCCCAAAGTGTCACGTCTCATGTTGTAAAGGATGCCAACAAGAATAATACTAGTAGGCGAACTTTATCATCTCATACTCGTCGCGTTTACTTCCTTCTTTTCCTCTCCTTCTCAGATTTCCCCCCTCCTTCGCACACACTCGCCTCTTATTTTGGAAAAGCTCCAACGGCTTCACCTTATCTCGCTGTGTATCTCTTTTTTTTTCTTTTTACATTGTCTTTCTGTTCTATTTAGCTGACTTCTTTTCATCATAAAAGGTATCCCAGCCTGTACGCATCGCATTTTCTCCTGTGCTTTTTCTCTCTTATCCTATATCATTACCTTATATATATCTCCGCCTCAAAGCGTCGAAACTTAAACGCCTCCAAACAAAATACAAAATGCCCGCTCCTGCCGCTCACACCCTCTTTGGCCTCGCTGACCTGAAGGTCAACGCGCGCTTTCTGTCCAACGTCGCCTTCATGGCCTCTGCCGATAAGCCCGTGGAGACGCCGACACTGATCGGCGACTACGCCATGAGCGAGATGTGCGTGTCGAAAGCCGAGACGGAGGATCTAAAAATGTACCTCGGCACCCTCCGCAGCGATGGCCAGAAGAAATTCGTTAGCCAGGTCGTGGAGAAGCTGCGTGCCGCGGCCGCGCAGACCCGCAACCGCGCCGTTGCCGCCGCCGCCGACACGATCGAGAGCGACTTTGCGCACTTGGCGAAGGTGTTCTTCCTGCGCGTGCGCTCCTACGAGGTGATCAAAGTCTCCGCCGATAAGTCGGTTGGCCGCATTGTGTGCTTTCCGGATCAGATCTCCGACGACTACGGCAACAACCTGGAGGAGCACAACGAGACAGGCATCATCCAGAGCCTCGTCGACCGCTCCCACAACGCGGACAAGCTGCCAACGGTGTACGTGGGACACGGCCACGGCGCGGCCATGGCAGAGGTCTGCGGCTGCGCGACGGGGCGTCAGTCCATCATCTTCGACGGCAGCATCCTCTCCACCCTGCTCGTCTTGAATGCCGTAACACACAAATGCGTGCTGTCGGAGCCGGGCGACGATGACGTGCCGCACGAGTTCAACTTGATGAACTACCGCACCGAGGCAACCATTACCACGCAGGACGCTATCATCAAGCCCATCCAGACAGCCGCTGAGGAGGTCCTCGCGGAGGAGAAGGCAGAGGAAGAGGCGGCTGCGGAGGAGGCCAATAAGAACGGCGGAGGGAAGAAAGAGGAGAAGGCGGACGCCGAGAGCAAGAAGAAGGAGGATGAACAGCAGAAGGCCGCTATGGCGTGGTTTGACAACCGAGTGTGGCACAAGATCGGAGGCATCGTCAGCCCCGCCGCGAGCAACCACTTCGAGCGCACCGGCCGCTACAACGCGAAGGCGCTTAGCGACATGCTGCTGGACTACACCGCCTCCGTTCGCCCCGCTGAGGATCCTTTCAAGCAGGAGTAGTAGAGGGAAGGGGAGAGAGAAAAGGGCCGGTAATGGCAAGGGGACGCACCGAAAAACAAAACGAAAAGAAACCTTATTCTCTGTAGAAAAAAGGCATCTTCGTGCTTCGTGGCGATAATGCATAGAAACCTGCGCTCTTTTCTCTTTCCTTTTCTTTTCTTTTCCTCTGTATTCTTCCTACTGAAAGGCCTCGTGAGAAACAGCAGGGGTGCCGTGCGCGTGCCCTCCACCCTCCCCCCCCCCTCCTCTCGATGAAGCGTCTCTACTGTAGGTGTTTCGACTCTTTTCCGTCATCCGGTGAACATACATCCCTTGTCTTAAGAAAAAAAAATGGAGGTGCGCTAACAACCGCGTTTGGGCAGTGGCCCAATCCACGACGTTGCTCGTTTTCATTGTTCTTCATTTTTTACCCTCTTCTCCGTTCTTTGCTTTTACTTTTCTCTTCCCGTTTCTGAAGGTGTTTGTACTGTCGTGCTCGGTATTCCCCTCTTGTTTCTCCTCCACTTGCCCCCTTCCTTTTTTTTTTTATTCGGACGCTCCTCGCAATCAACGCTGAATCGCTGCGCTGCGGCATTATCGATACTTCTCTGGGCTGTCTCTTCCTTCTCATCACGTTTCTGCGTCTGTTCTCGATTCACGGTATATTTTGTGAGAGGGACTACGCACAGTCACGGAGGAGGAGTAGAGAGGGAAACAAAAGAGGGCGAAAGAGCGGCACTTCACTATTATTACTCGCTGCTGCACCGGTGTGCGTTTTTTCAGGTGCGATGAGCTAGCGCGAGAAGAAAAAGTCAACAACACCAACGGCGCTTCACGTCGATACGAAACGGGCAACGGCCGGTAGAAAAATGGGGAAAAGTTCTCTCTTCTCTTTCTTCGTCTTTTTTATCTCCTTCTGTTGATGAAAATCGCTCATTTTATCTGGTTCTTTTCTATATACGTCAGATTTGTGACGAGCATCTGCAAAAGACACGACGTTCTGGATGAAGTGGAAATCAAGGGGAAGGCGAAGAACCCTGATCTGCTGATGCTTCCTTGAGAATCACTTTCTTGGGCGCTGCGAAGCTGTGGAGGGGAGGGTGGGGGAGGAAAGAAACTGCAGGTCCCATTGGGCTACCGACTTCGCTGTTCATTTGTCTCTTCCGTGGCCGCAGCGGGAGTACGTTACCCTGGGAGCGAGCATGCAGGAAGGCTGAATAGCGATAAGAATAGAATTTCTTTGTTGGATCTTGCAAAACAACAATCGTAAGTGTGGTCTTGCCCTCTCTCTTTCATTTTCAATTCCTTTTCAATCCCCGCTGTTCACCTTCGACGCACTTTGGTGTCTCTTCTTTCCATTAACACTTGTTGGTACTCCTTTTTAACGCACGCCTCGTCCTCGATCTGCTTCTTCCTTCTTTTTTTAGAGGAGGTATAATTGAATCAGTGCGCGTTCCCCACGTCGTTCTATACCCGAGAAATGGCTCTGATTGGGCGATTGCACGGAGCGCAGTGCACGCCTCTGCGGCAGCAGCTACGCCACGCCGACGGCATTCGCGGCGTCTTCTCTCTCAAACCTCTGCGACGCGGCGAGTTGATCTTATCTCTGCCTCTTCGTTACTGTTACTTCGCGCAATTCGGCCCCGATGACAAACACCGCCCAGACTGGGCGTCGACGCCAGAAGGGGCCCGACAGCTGCGGCGGTGGAATCGCGGTGTGGCGCTTCTGCCAGAGACGTGGACGTGGCTGCAGCGCTTCTCGAGTGACGCACCATCCGACTGCGTGTTGCTCACCTCCGGCGTTTCTGCGGAGCTGCCTCCTACCGGCCGCACGTCGGCACACGAAGAAGGCAACAACGATGATGTCGGTCTGGCGTCCCCTGTTGTTTTCTCGCTCACGGTGTCGCCTGTTGAGGCTGCGTTGGCGACGGCGATCGCGCTGCGGTACTTCTACAGGCGTGCACTGCATCTCACCCCGGCGACGCGCGCGGAGAAGCACATTGGGCCGCCACCAAATGAGCTAGCGGACCGTTTCGTAGACAACTTACCCGTGGACCTCTACTTGAAGTGGGGTGTAGAGACACTTTATGGCGACCCGGCCTCTGGAGAGGCGCACGTGTGTGTGGAGCAAATCGCACAGAACCTGCGCGACGCCGCGCTGACGCACGCCAACACGGAGGAGTACCGCTTTCTTGACGAGTTCCTGTCTCTCTTTGACGACCTGCTGCTGGTGTGCCTTTATGTGGTGCGGTCGCGCGTGTTGACGGTGCCGCTGTTGGGGAGGACGGAGGCGCGGAGGGAGGAAAAGGTGTGCAGTGTCTTTGCACCGCTGCTGGATGGGTTAAACCATCAGCCGTTGCGGCCATCCGCCGCGGTGGTGGTGTCGCTGCGGCGTGCGCACGTGGTGGTGCGTGCCACGCGTGACGTCCGGCGAGGGGAGGAGATCACGCTCGACTACCGTGCCGCGGGTCCGCGTGCTTGTCTGCCGACACATGACGATTCTTCTGCTACGTCGCTTCCGTACGCGGTCCGCATGGACGAGGACTGGGCCGCGCGGTACTTGATGGAGGAGGACCGATTGGTAGACGATTGAACGGCTCGTGACGCTGTTGATGGATTCGCCTCTCTTTCTTGCGAGTGTGTCATCGTCTGCTGCGCTCGTTTTGGGTTTGAGGTGAAGCTTGCCTTCCTTTCCTTGTCGCCCTCTCGGATCTTCCTGTTATCGGATCATATTCGAAATCTCGTGTTTAACGTGCCGGCATTCACGCGCATCACGGTTGCCTTTATATTTTTCACTGTGCTTCGTATCGTATCGGGTCGCTTCTCTCTGCTTTGTTGTTGTTGACGGGCTCAAAGCTGTAATGTGACGTTTTCTTTTCATCTGCTTTTCTCCCCACCGCAATGGGAAGATCCCGCGGTTTTCTTGAAGCTGTAATAGAGGCCTCTTACTTTCTCATCGCACCTTCTCCCTTTCCTTTCAACTTTCTATCGTGGTGGCACAGAGAAGGAATATTTACTGGTTTCTGTGGTAGACCAACATCGAACCTTTCCCTAGTACAGGTAAGTCTTCTTAATACTGCGTTACCCATTCTACGCTTGCGGCGGTGTCAACGCGGCAGCGTGCGGCGCCGTTCACTGAAGTCGTCAGTTTCTCTTGTTAAATTGAAGTGTCCTCTATTAAGAGTGTTGTGTGACTGGAGAGCAAAGCGCATAATTGTCGTAGTCGAGACGCCATGCACCACAAGATCCTTGCCCCGCTTTTAGGAAATCGGGTGCAGGCGGCACAGAAGTTCCCGCAGCTGCGACTGAAGCCGCAAGAGCACCACCTCATCACCCGCCGCCTGCAGTGCAGCATCCCCCTCACGGTCTTCCATCCCAACAGCGTCGACTTCGCCACGCGTGAACTGGAGGCGGGTCGCATCGTCGAAGTCCGCCGTGATGATCAGCGCCTTGTCGCCCTCGGCTTCTACGAGCCGCAGCTGGGCCGCGTCGACGTCTTCGATGCCACGCCGAACTCCGCCGCGATGCTCCCCACTATCAGCGAGGATTTCTTCATGGCTCGCATGCACGAAGCGTGGGAACGGCGGCGACGCATCTTGTTGCAAACGCAGAACAACACCTACCGCATCGTCAACGGATACGCGGACCGCCTGCCCGCGCTCTTTGTGGACATCTTCTCGGAGTGCTTCGTGCGTGTCGTCGCGACTTCCGCCGGGGCGGAGCGTTTAGTGCCGCCTCTCTTTGACTTTCTGCGCCGCAGCGGTGCGGAAGAGGTGCTGCTGGACACCCCGACCTTGGGCGACACGAACCGCGTCTCTCTCATCTCGTCCACCATCCCACTCCCGCAGATGTACGTGGAGGGCGGAGTGAGTCACTTGTGGTTAAAGCAGGGGGTGCAGCTGTCGTCGACGGCGAACTTGATGCTGCTAAACCCGGCACACCGTCGCACGCGGCGCATGGTGCGCGACCTTGGCAAGGGCAAGCGCGTGCTCACCATTTACGACCGATCCGGCTCCGCCGCGATGAACGCCGTGATGACCGCGAAGCACGTCACCGTCGTTCACCGCGAGGAGGCGACGCTCGAGTGGGCTCGGGCAAACTTAATCTGCAATCACTCCAGCAGTGTCTTCAAGACGTGCGAGACCGTCTGCTGCGACCCGGCCCAGCTGCGCGTGCGTCATCAGCAAGACGTTGTCTACATTGAGTGTCACCCGCAATTCCTCAGCACGGGGGAGCAGTGGGCCGCGCTGATGCAGGCATTGGCGCGGAATAAAGTCCTCGGCGTGGGTACCATGTTGATTGTCGCGCAGGACGAGGCTCCGCTGGGGATTCGAGACCTCCTGCCGCGACGCAGAGCCCTGTTTGCCGGCGGTGATGCGGAAGCGGCGGCGAACTTGCCAATTCATCGCCGGCCGCTCGCGGAGCTGCTGCGCAACTCGCTGGAAGAGGTGCACCTGAGACTGAAATTTCTGCGCGCCTTTTCCGTTGCCTGCGATCACCCGCGCATCCCGGAGAGCGCGAGCGCGTCCTTCTCGCAGGTGTACCTCGTGGAGGGTCCTGCGCTGGAGCACGTTTTTCGCATTCCCAACTCCAAGGAAGACGATGTGCCACCACCACCGTCGTCGTAGGGCTTTGGGTGCTCGCCTGGGCACGAGGAGAAGGAGAACGTCCGAAAGGATGAGGACTCAGGAGCCGCTTTGATGCTTTGACGGTGCGCGCGCAGCGCACATTGGACTTCTTTCGGTTCGATTTCTCTCTTCTGTGCTGCCGATGTGGCACCCTGCGCTCCGAAAATAAATTCAGCTTGCAGCCGTGTCACTTCCGCAGAGTTGTAACTGCCGCTAAAGCTCTGCGAATGAATGACACGTCCCTTCTTTCCTTTCGTGGTTTTTGTTTTCGCTGTTTCCTTTGTTCTGCTTGCCCGGAGCAACACCGCGAAACATCGATACGTTTCCCTTTTTCTGCGTATGCGAAGTGGCTGAGACGCCGTCTTCTCGAGCACGCACGTACGCGCATTCACGGAGGCTCCTGCAGGCAATCCCTGGGGTGTTTCACCCCACGAGTTTTTCGAGTACAAGAAACTATGCAAGGAAGACACGTATTGGGGTTCGTGCCGGACGGCGTGTGATCTGTGCTGACTCCCTGGCCAATTGGTCCCGTTCCTCGTCCACAACGCTTCTCTTTGTCTCTCCTTGATCTGCCGGGTACACACCCTGTGCAAACACTTTCTCAAGACGAGCGCGCGCACAGACACACGCATAGACCCACAGACAAGCGGCAAAACGGTGAAGCACCCCTTCCCTGTAACCCTTCGCTGCTCGCGAGCGCGTCGTCACGACAGTAGAACAGCCACATCGCACACGATGGACTGGAAAGCAGAGGCGACGAGGGTAATCCAGGCGTTCGATGTCGCTCTCGGGCGGCCACCGTTTCCACAAGACCCAACAGAAGAACTGGTAGAGAAGGCAACTGCCGTGCACCGCACTCTGAACCAAGTCATCAGTGAAGGGAAACTGAAGGTATTGGAAGGAGTAGCCGAGGTAACCACGACGCTACCGATCCTCTGCGCCTCGCTGAAGGAAGGCAGTCCCGATCGCAGACCTTGTCTCGCGCTGTACCGTCCTGTGCTCCTTGCCGTGGGGCTCGCGAGTTCGCTGTCAACGTACCCGATCTCGCACATTGTGGTCGACGCAAAAGCCGTCCTCGGTGCTGCCCTCTATGGGGACGCACCACAAACCGGCGCCAGCAGCACGAATGCAGACGATGGAGCGGATATCGCCGCCCTCAACGAAGCCGCACTGTTCACGTTTATGGCCACCGCACGCGGCCTAACACCAGAGGATATGCGACGGTTTCTCCGCCTGCCGTTGCTAGGCACCCGTGCCGCTCCAGCAGGCAAACATAACAGCAGCAATCCCAAATCCAAAGGAAACGGGAAAGGGGTCGCGATGTTGTCGAGCAAGGACGCGCCGAGAGCGGGACCGGCTGCTACATCCGCAGCTGCAACCGCAACAGGAACGCCGTCTGGCGTCTCACGAGCGGTGCTGGAGGTGATGATTGACGCACCGCTTGCGGACGACTGTCGGCACGTGTTCGAGTCTTTTATCGACAACACACAAAAGTTCCTCGATGTGGTAGGCTGCGATGGCGATCTTGCGAACCGCATTCTGAAGGTGTACGCCGAGCGTATTGTGCCGAAGCTGAAGCTGTCCTCGCTGTTGCCGTGCCTGAACGCGGAGTTGCTGGATTACTACGTGGACGTCGTTGCATCCTCGCTTAGAGAGGGCCCGAGCACGCTGCTAATCAGCAAGGAGTTGCGCGAGATTCCGCTGAAGCTGTGGGATGCAGACCGCGTGCATCACCTCGCGTGTGCGGCGGCCGCCCGCTCCATACGACCGGAGGAGGCGATGCCGAGCCTGTTCGTGTACACATTCTTGTATGCGATCTACTGCGCTTCAACGGGTGCTAGTGCCGCTGCGTCACCATCCTCGACCGCGGCAGCAGAAGTCGAGCAACCGAAGCCGCAAGATCCCAGCACGGAATACAAATTTGTCGTCGCGGTCCTTCGCGCCACAAACGCGGTACTGCCGGCCGCAAACTCTGACAAGCACGCGGCATCACCTCTCCAGACCTACGCGCAGCGCAACACAGGCATTGTGGTCATCCACGGTGCCGACGTCCCCGGGTGGTGGACTCCACTTTCACATTTTGCGCAGCTTCTTCTATCACGAGAGGCCGCGATGACGCTCAGCACAAAGGGACTCACAGCAGAAGGCGGTGGTGAAGTTGCAGAGGAGGAAGTGGGGTTGCAGTCGATGGAGTTGATGGCTTTGGCATTGCGTTCCCTGCTTGTGGCCGTAACGAAGGTTGCACCGGTGACGGACCGCGTCGCATCCCCGTCGACAGCGCCGCCGCCACCACAACAGCACAAAGCCAACGCAGGCAAGTTGAAAGGCGCAAAGGCGAGGAGCGCGACTGGAGCACCTGGCAAGGCAGACGTGAAGGTAGTGCAAGACGCGCCACCTCCAGTCCCGATCTCTGAGCTGCTTTCCTCCTGCTGTAGCATCTTGCTGTTCATGTTTTTGTATCAGCGATCCACGAAAGCTTCCAGCGCCGTACGTGTGTCGTCGCGTCTTCACCGCCGTGAATTTGGGCTACTGGTCGAGGTCCTTCGATCGTACGCTTTTCTGCTGCAGCATCAACCGCAGCGCCTCAGTGCGGCTCTGTGGCACAACTGCCTGAATTTGCTCACCTATTCCCTGTGGATGCCAACCGAGTGCAACCCGCTTTCTGGGCAGGAGGATGTGAACGCACCCCCTTCTGAAGCCGGCAACGCATTGCCGCTAGATGGACTGACAGGGGTGCTAGCTTCTGCTACATCCAGCACCGACTCCATGCTGTGGTTGGCGCCTCTGGTCTTGTCCTCCAACGTCGCCAAGTCCACGGCGCAGGCACCCGTTGATGTCGCCCGGTTACTGTCAGCGAACGCCGAGTTGTGGCTCGCTGTGGTGCAAGCTGCGGTGGGAGCGCGGAAGTTGCCGTCGCAGTTGGCGTCCGTGTTATGTCAGCAGCTGTTCCCCGCCCCGCCCGCCTACGTCCTCGGTGCGCTTTGTAGTGCGCTGGATGAGACCGTTCTCCAAACCTTGGCCGACCACATCGTGACAGCCGCACCGAGCCGAAGCGCCGTCCTCGTGGCCGGTCTCCAACAGATGGATCACGACACCAATTTTGGGGAAGTCTTCTCCGCTGTCAAGTCGGCGTTCCTGCGCGATTGCGTGCCAGCGTGCGTGGCGCAGAACGGGCTGAGGCGACTGTTGAGTGTCGTGGCGATATGGCAAGCCGGGCTCCTTGCGATCGAACAAGCGGCGGAGGCAGAGGCGAAGGAGTCTGCGCGGCGTGGGGTGCAAGAGCAGCTGCGGCAGACGCGTGAACTAGCCGCGGCCCACCGGTCTTTTCAAGCAGAGGCGCAGTCAAAGCACGACGCCAAGGCAGCGAAGCAGCGGGCAGTGCAGGCGGAGGTGGCACGACGGCGCGCACAGCAGGCCGCACGCTTTATCGAAGATGCAGCAGTGCGCGCCCGCAAACGGGCGAACGCACAGGAGACGTTGAAGCAGATGGCAGAGCAGAGCCGCGCCCGTCGTGAAGCGGCACGCCGTGAGCGCTTTGCGGCTTATCAGCAGCGGCTACAGAGTGAGTATCGCGTCGCTACATTTCTCGAGCACTTGAACCTGTCCTCTGCGCGTGTGATGGAGACGCGCGATGCGCTGCGTAAGGTGATCGACAAAATCACACCGGATGACTTGCTGGAGTTTCTGGTCTCAGGAGAAGCCAAGGTCCCGTCCGACATGGTGGAAGAGGTGGAAGGGGGCGACGAGGAGGACGAGGAGGACGAAACAGCGGCGGTGAGGGCGGCAGCCGCGCCGGGGACCGCCCTTGTGACGCCGGCGAGCGTGTCTAGCGAGGTGCCGAGGTGCACCGGTGAACGTCGCGATTTCTGGGCAGAAATAATGGATCATGCCGTGCCTGCCGACTCCGTGGTGCTGTCTCGTGTGCTGCCTGTCGCGGCAACCACCGCTGACGCGGCCCCACCGGCGCCGCCCACCGCGTATCGCCAGTGGTCCTTTCACAAACGTGTGACACCACTGTTGGATTTGTTCTTTTACGAGGACGGCGATGAGTACGGCAAGGTGCCGGAGGTGCTGCCCACCCTTCGCCTCCGTGTGGCGAGTGGCGTATGGCCGTCCGCCAAGACGCAGACCCTCGGCTTTGCAAACCTGCGCGAGGCCTTTGACCGCATGCGACAGCGAGGACTCGTGCAAATGCGGGACGGCGTTGTGCAGCTGACGTTGCTGGGCTTCCGATATCACTTTCCCTTTCACGACCCGGACGGTATGCTGGAAGTTCACCTGCGGGAGGCCCGGGAGCGTGTGCGAGCCTTGGTGGCCCATCGTCACGCCGCAGCAGAGGAAGGAAACGATGAGGCAAATGAAAGCGAGGAGGAGGAATGGAATGATGATGAAGGCTTTGCGGATGAAGAGGATGCAGAAGACGGTGACAGCGCGGGTCGTCTGCTTCCCGAGGTGGAGTTTGGTATCTAGTTCACCTGTGCGGAGTATGGGCCCCTCTCCCTTCCATCCTCTCTCCGCATGGAGTTCACCGCGAGGTGTGCAGATATATGGCAAACTATTAATGTCACATCATGGAAATCAGGTTGTCCGGCTGTCTCTTCCAACCTCTGCGTTATCGCAGCTTTCGTGTCATGTGGATGGAGCCGCTGCAAGGTGTCTTTTTTTTTTTATAGCTCGCTTCTCTCTGCTTCGTGTCTAGCATTGCTGTTTGGACACCCCAGCGATCCCCAGCCATCTCTCATGTAAACAATCTGCTTTGTTCCTACCGAAGAAAGTACCGCTTTTCCCTCTCTGCTCCCTAACAACAACTCTTTCCACCGGTTCAGTGGCACACGCATGAGAACATCAACACACCAGCAATTAAAACAAACGGAACCGAGACGTCGTCACCTGCACCGCCAAAAGAAGAAAAAAAGAAACATAGAGTATTTATTTTCAACCATAGAGCACTTCCCACACACGTAATGCCACTTTCTACGGTGCCTGCTTTGACGGTGCCGGAGAAGCGTAAGCGCAGCCGCAGCGCTTCCAGCAACGAGAGCACCGACGGCGATCACGACGACGGCAGCCGCGATGAGGCAGAGGAGGCGGTGCCCTTCTTGACGACGCTTTCCATGAACCAAACGCACCTCTTTTACGGCCTTAAGAACGTCCAGAGCCGTGCTCCCGATGCACCTGCTCAACAAAGTGCAGCGCTGTCCTCTCGTGCTAATGACGAGAGCAACGTGGGGGCGCCCAGTTCACCAGGAGAGGAAGCTGCTGCATCACCTGTCCATGCAGCACGGAAACTCGTGCCGAACGCGGCGGACACAACGTACCTGCATAGCATGCTGCAAGAAATCGTTGCTGCCGCGGCGCAGTTTTCGGCTGCATCAACGTCTCCCGTTCCACAGACAGCTCACGACGACGACACACTGCCCGCGTGCGCCTACTTACTCCGTACGTACTTCCATTTTGCCTCGGGATCCTTCAAGCCGCGTCAGCAGGCGGTGTGCTTTTCGATTTTGTCTGGGCTGAACACACTGGCGGTGTGCCCGACCGGATGGGGGAAGTCGCTGTGCTACCAGTTTCCCATGCTTGTCCACCGTCTGCTGTTTGAGTGTCGCTACGAGCAGTGGTGCCGTCAGGCAGGCGTCGTCTCCGTACTCACTCAAAGGGACTACTCCAACACAGGTGGTCTCGGTACAGACGACGCCGACGCTCTCCATGCTCCGAGCTCAAACGCCGCAGACGTCGCGTTGCCGTCGACCCTGTGCAGCCGTTTCTGCGTCGTCGTGTCGCCTCTCCTTGCGTTAATGGAGGATCAGGCCGAAAGGATCAACGGCGTCGCGCACCTCAGCGCCTTCGTCCTCTCCTCCAAAGTCGATGCGGCTCGCGAGGCGCAGCTTTTCCGGGAGCTGGCGTCACCGTTGTGTCCGTTAGACATCCTCTTTGTCTCGCCAGAGAAGCTCATCAGCAATGTGGGGTTGCGACTGCTGCTTCGGTCGCAGCGACATCGCTTGGCGATGCTGTGCGTGGACGAGGTACATTGCGTGTCGGGCTGGGCCTACGACTTCCGGCCGACCTTCATGTACATCAGCCGTGTGCTAGACGATCCAGTGTTGGACGACGCCGCCACCTTTTGTCCCTCCACGACGTTTGGAAAACCGCTCGCCGCACCACGAGGGCAGATGCCGTGTTCTCCAGTGCCGCAGCTGTGCCTGACCGCCACCGCCACCTTCGCGGTGACCCGCGACGTTCAGCGGCGCTTCAGCATTCAGCGCACCTTCCTGTGCGCCGATCAGCGGCGCGCCAACTTGGAGCTGCAGTCAGTGGACCTCGTCGCACGGCACGTTGCGTTTCACAATGTGCGGGCAACAAGGGACGATGCTGGCCACAACGAGGTGCCGGAGCCGTCGTCGCGCGTGGTGCAGGACGCCCTGCTCGAGGCGGTGCGACAGCTGCCCAAACCGATGCTGATGTACGTGCAGAGCCGCGCAGAGGCGGACGAGCTTTCTGGGCTGCTTTCCGCAAAGCTCGCGCGTGAAAAACGGCAGTCGTCCCCACCTACATCGCCGGTCAGCAGCGGAGAGGCGAGCAGCGCGTCAACGAGCGCAAGTTTCACTGAGTGTAATGCGCAGAGGAACAGCAAGCAGGTTCGTAGTGACCTATTTCATGCCACGCACTACGCGAAAGCAGAGGAGGAGGTACACGACTCCTCCGAAACAGCCGATGGCTCAACGCACGCCCGTTGCTCTTCGTCCACCGCAAGTCGAATCGTCGTTCGGTGTTATCACGCCGCCCTCACGCGCTCTGTTCGCACGGCGACGCAGCGGCAGTTTTTAGACGGCAAAATAGATGTCTTGGTCGCGACCGTTGCGTTTGGTATGGGCATCGACAAGGCGAACATCCGCAGCGTCGTGCACGCCTCAGCGCCGAGCTCCCTTGAAGGTTACGTGCAGGAAATTGGACGAGCGGGTCGGGATGGAGAGCGCAGTGTGTGCCGCATCTTATACAACCCGTTCGACTTCTACTCGTTGCGCAGCCGGCTATGGACGTCGCTGCTCTCGCCAGCGGAGATGCGCTCCATCGTCGCGGCGATACTCAACTGCCCCACGACGCGTGTGGGCCAGCGGCTGATGCTCGTGTCGACCGCTGCGCTGTCGTCAGAACTTGGGTTCAGCGAGGAGGCGGTGGAGACGGTTTTGTTCTTGTTGCTCACCGAGGTGGAGAGCCCAGGCAGGCCCCTTGTCACGGACGAGAACCCTCTACACCATAATGCGGAAGGGAGGAGCTCGACGGGGAGGCTGCACGCTCCGTTCCGCACGGTGCTTGGCTCGTACCCGCTCAAGTACAAGGTGGTTAGCGTGCAAGGCGAAGCAGAGCAGGATGGTGCCCCTGCTGCGACGGTGGCGGCGGTATCGACCTCGTCCTCAGCCTCCTCCGCGATCGATTCGCAATCACGTTACGCGGCTACAAAGCGGCGTCGCACGCGCTGCAGCGCATCGGCGGCTGCCTCGGCCGGCGTTGGTCTTCTTCTCCGGCAGCTGGGTGCAACCGACGCGGTGCTCGAGTTGTGCCGCGTGATGCCGAGCACGTCGAATCAAATCGAGTTGGCCAACCGTCTTTCTATGCCACTGGTGGAGTTCCGGCAGCGTATGCAGGACCTTATTCAGAGTGGTACGGTCAAAGTCGCCCGTTACGGCGTTCCCACGGCGTTGTTACTCGAGCTGGCAGACTCCTTTGCGGATGCCGCGAGCCCAGCTGGGCAGGCCGCGCTGGCGGAGTATTTGTGGTCGCTGCATCGCGGTCGACTGGACGCGCAGGTGCGGCGGCTGCGAGAGATGTTTCGTGTGCTGGCGCGTCCCACGCCTGATGACGTCGCCAGCGTGTTCCGTGGAGAATCCCTTGATGGACCTTCCGTGAACGGTGTGCCAGAGGCACCGCGGTGGAGTCCGCCTGGTCGCGGCTGCGGAAAGATGCGAGCGGTGTCGATTGCAAACGCCTTTGTGGAGGAGAACCGCCTGCGTATCCACTCCACCTACGAAGCCCTGCGAGCACTCATGGGCGTCCGTCCGAAGAGTCTCATTCAATACGGCAAGTACGCCGGCCAGCTGCCGCTGGCGCAGAGTTGGTACGTGAGCTCGCCGTACTTTGGTGCCTTGCGCACCTTCGACTTGGCGTGGGTGCTGCAGATCCTTGCGCCGCATCGGTTAGATTCCGCCGTTTCTGAAAAGTAAGCGGCACAACACGCAGCAACGTGAAGTCGCAGAACGATGCCACCCTCCTCTTTTTTTTTGTTGTTCGTTTACTGCGAGAGTCTGCTAAACACTGCATGAGTCAAAAAAATTATATTTCTTTATTGTTTAAGAGCCGAACACTCTAAGTTGTTGCCGTCCAGACAACCTCGATGTTGTGCTTCTGAAGCACCCACTCTAGGCCCTTTCTGGAAATGCACGCTTCACAAACTCGGAAGTGAGTTTCGAACGCGTGCGCCGTTGATGCATGAGGATAGAAGAGTGTTATTACTATTATTATTATTATTGTTTTCTGCCACGGTGCGTTAACACTACCGTGTTCCTCTTTACCGCTCTTCTTCTTCTACCGGTTGGACACGCCTTGCATGCACACAGAATTAAAGGCAATTCGCTTCCTCCGTTCACCCACACTCAAACAGCTCCCCACGTGTTTTTTTTTTCCTCTCTCAGAGTCTCTAAGTAAATTCTGCAGGTCAACCGTTTCTTCTTTTTCTTTGGTTTAACTTTCTCGAAGAAAAAAAAATGCCGTTCAAGGTTTCAGCTTTGGATATTCGCGATTTCCAGGAGTGCGGCGTCGTCATGCTACGCAACGTCCTCTCGCCCGCGCAGGTCGAGACGTTGAAGCGCGGCATCCAGCGTGGTTACGAGCACCCGAGCCCGCGCAGCAAGATCGCCTCCGAAGACTCCGACACGGGCAAGTTCTTCGAGGACTTCCGCTGCTGGCAGGACATCCCCGAGTACAAGGAAATCATCTTCAATACGGACCTGCCGCGCATCGCGTCCGAGTTGACGGGCAGTCGCACCGTCCGCCTGCACCACGACCACATGCTCGTCAAGGAGCCGAAGACACAGCAGCGCACCCCGTGGCACCAGGACACGCCGTACTACAACATGGAGGGCAACCAAACCATCAGCTTTTGGATCCCGGTCGACCCGGTTCCGGAGGACAGCGCGATGGAGTTCGTGCTGGGGTCGCAGAAATGGCCGTGGTTGATGCCGCGCACCTTCAAGGACAACGTCGCGAAGTGGTTCCCGGAGGGCAGTCTGGCGGAGTTGCCGGACATCGAGGGGCGCCGCAAGGAGTTTCCCATTGTCTCGTGGGCCCTGCAGCCGGGTGACTGCTACGCCTTCAACTTCCACACGATGCACGCGGCAAAGGGGTCGACGGTGATGCGGCGGGCCCTGTCCATTCGCTACGTCGGCGACGACGTCGTCTACGCTCCGCGGCAGTGGGTCACCTCGCCGGCGTTCCCGGAACTGGAGAAGAACTCTGGCGGCATGAAAGCCTGCGGTCCGCTTATCCACCCGCTCTTCCCTGTCGTGTACATGTCGGAGTCAAAGTTGTGAAAGAACCGTTTTTTTTTCTCTTCTGTTTAATTGCCATGGCAGTTGGAGCGTGACACCCGAAGCAAAGCGCCAAGAGTGCTTCGATTTCTTTCCCTTTTCCCCTGAATTGCTGCCCTCTGTTGAGTGCTGCCAAGCAGGGAAAGCGAAGAAGCGGAACTTCTCTACGTCGTGAAAGCTGATCTGCGTGGTTGGAGAGAGAAACACAGACATAAAGAATCCCTGCTGATTCTGTTTGCGTGTTTCTCCTCAAATACGCTACACAAGTGCCGTTACTGTTTGGTGTGGTTCAGGTGATAAATAGCGTCTTTTGGATGCTTTGTTTTTTCTCCCTCTACCCTATCCCCCTACGCACTTTCTCCCGTTCAGCAAAATCGTTAAGCGTAGTGGCTCATGTGTCACAGCCATGAATGGCTCATCTTCTTCTTCTTTTTTTTAAAAAGTATTAATGAAAAGCTACTTTATTCACTTGTTCACTTATTTTTCGTAGTTTTCTATTTTTTTTTCCTCTTTGTCCATTCTCAACGGCACTTCAGCTGGGAAATTTTGGGGACAGACCCGCCCGCTACAGCCATCATGAGGCGAAGAAACAGCAAATCAAGAGCGTTGCAGCGGCAACCAGATGACTTGGCCAGATATGCGTGTGTAAAAGGAAAAATGGGTGAATGTCGAACTGAATGATGTAAAGGATAAAGGCCAGAGACATGGAGGAGAGTTGGCAGGTAGAACGTGTGGATCAAACTCAGACGGAATAATCGGGCTGTGTCGTGATTGGTCTACTGAATATTTCGAGTCGCGCTGTGTCAACTACCTGCCGGGCTTCCGTGGTGCAAGTACATGTATACAGAAGAGAACAGAGTTGGCCTTGACGTTTTACTCCCCCACATTCTGTCAAGGGTAACTGCAGCTTCGGAAAAAAACTCCCCAAAATAATTTTACTTTACGTGTTCTGGCTGTAACTCGACAACGTCATCTTTGCTGTGCTTGCTCTTTAAGTGAAAGATCGTAGAGGACGAAGCGCACACGTTTGTTTTCCGTTTCGGAGGGTGTGAATTCTTCTGGACCCAACGAGGAGGTTTCTCGTTTGCATTCAGAGACAACACTCGTTTCGACGTGCTGCGTGAACAGCGCGTACCGCTTTGCGCTCTTCTGCGAGGAGCGCAGCATGGATTTCCGACGCTCTCCCACTACATCTTATCCAGTGCGTTCTACTTTGAATTTATTTGCGCGTCTCTATCGTTTGGTTTTTAGTTCGCTCTCAGTTTGGCGTAAAGTGTTGTGTACCGTATTGTTTCTTTCTTTCTTTTCTTTAACGCTCTCTGATCACGCGGCGTTGACATAATTCTATTTTTTTCTTTCTTCTCTCTTTTTCTGAGAGCTTGCGCCAGGAAAAATTCGCTGGGAGATGAATCGAAAGCTTCATGTTGTACTACTATCCCTTTCTCTTCTCTCCCCTCCAGTCGACCTCTCCCAGGAAAGGCTGTTTTCTTTTTTCCCACCGTCCCGCCCCTTTTCCAACCCCACGAGGTGGAAATGCAGACGATCTGAGTCTGCAAGAAACTCCCATTCGTAAAGTTCTATTTGGTTCAAAAATAAATATAAAAAGAAAATAACGCCGTCTACCCTTTAAGGAAAATGAAAACGATACAGGGATGTAACGACACTGTGTTGCACTTTATTGATCTTTCTCCTTTCTCCTTTCTTCTTCCTTCCTTCCTGATCTGAGAGTAGTCGACTAGAGTTTTTCTTTCATCTGTTAAAGCTTCTTGACTTCTTTTGTTTGTCACGCAGTCGTAAAAGAGGAAAAAAAAACGAGTATTTATGGCAGAAGGCAAAGATCAACTCTTGAATTCTTACAACCATACATACAAAGCCGGTGATGCACTCGGGGCTTCTGCGTATGGAGGAGTTAAAGCCCTCCGAGCGGAAAATGCTGTTGATGGAGGAACGGCAGCTGACAAAAGACGACTTGCACGCACGCACAGCTGCTCCTTGATCACGCTGGGAAGGCTGTGACGCAGCAAGTCATTATCTCCGTACGGAACTCGGTGCATGCCTTTGCTTCGAATGTCTCTCTCTTTTCTGGAAAGCTTCCACTTTACTCCCTTTATACTGCCCTTGAAACTCTGTTTACAAAGATGCTTCGCCCCACACGATCATTTACATCGTTCAACTTTATATATTTTTAAAAATCATTGTCCACCTTTTCAGCCATCTTTTTTTCCGAAGAGATACGAAGACGAACAAATCACTTATTAAGAGCATCAAAAGCAACCTTATTATCGTTTCGCTGTAAACCCAAAATTGCTTCACCCTTTCTCCATCATTTATGTGCAAGACGCGTTCACCAATACTTGTGTGACACCTTTGTTTTCTTATCTTATTTGTTACTCACAACTCCCTCTTTTTTTTTTTGATCTTTTACATCCTCAAAGTAGAAACACGGACAAGCGCGCACTTGTCACTTTCGATCGTTGCTCGCCTCAACTCCCAATCTGTTTTTTTGGAAGCGTACATTAGCGCCTTTTTATGTATTTTGAAATCTGTCCAATAAACGCCCTCGACTCCTTTGGGTTGGCATCTGTCTCTCTGTGTGTTTATCATTTGTTCTCTTTTACGTTACCCTTCTCCGTCGATACAAAACGATGCCGGTGCATTTAACGGCCGCCGACGCCCGCGACTTCCAGCAGTGTGGCGTCGCCTTCATTCGCCACGCCCTCACTCCCGGAGAGGTGGACGTGTTGCGGTGTGGCATCGATGGCGACTACAGAAACTCGAACATTGACCCGAACTGTGCCGGGCAGGGTGGCAGAAAAGGTACAAAGGTCTTCGAGGACTTTCCCGCCTACCGCAACCACCCCGAGTACTGGCAGATTGCCTTTCAAAGCGAGCTCCCGAGAATCGCTGCACAGCTGACCGGCAGTCGCACGATTCGTCTGCATCACGTTCAGGTGCACGTGGATGTCCCGAAGGATGAGGTGCGCACGCCGTGGCACAGTGATGAACTCTTCTTCAACGTGGATGGAAACCAAAACGTCAGCATCTTCGTCGCGGTGGACCCCATCCCTGCCGGCAGTGCAGAATTCGTGTTGGGGTCGAACAAGTGGCCGGCAACGATGCCGCGCTTCTTACGCGATATGTTTGCAAAGGATCTGCCGGTGAGTGCGGTGCCGGAGCCGCCGAATATCGAGACGGCGCGCAACGAGTTCCCCGTTGTGTCGTGGGCCATGGAACCCGGAGACTGCGTGGTGTTCAGCCTTCACACTCTGCACTTCCTGCGGTCGAGCACGGCGCTGCGGCGGGGCCTGTCGGTTCGCTACATGGGCGACGACGCCGTCTACGCGCGGCGGCCGTGGATGACCTTTCCCGCCTTCCCGGAGTTGGAGAGGGATAACGAGGGCATGGAGGTGGGTGCGCCAATGCGGCACTCTGTCTATCCGATTGTGTACACGACGGAGACGAAGTTGTAAAGCACGCCACAAACTCTAACATACGAAGCTTGAAAGCAACACACAAAATAGTTTCTTTTGATTTCTTTTTATTCGGTAAATTCATCATCTTCACGCTCCTCTCCTTACCTTTTCCGGTAGTGCGGTGAGCATACCCGAGGAACTCTTCCTTCCTCCATTATTATTTTTTTGTTTTTCTCTTCCGCTTCTGCTTCACGCGAGTATTTCAACTACGACGTGGGCAGCGGACGAAGTCGGTCGTTATTCAGGTTTCAAACCTGCTTATCTTTTTATTTAGTAGTGCTACTACTATTCGAATTATCTCTTTGATTTTTGGTAGAGTCTGAGGTAGCCAATTTTAGCCAAAAAAGTAAAACACAACAATAATTTTGTTGCGTGGAGCAGAACGCGTTCACCAAGATTCCGTTGTTCACAGATGATGCTTTGGTGAGCACCGTCGTCGTTGATGTTGTCGCCGGCACGTTGTCATCATCGACGAGGGAGTTGCGTGGTCGGAAAGCGTCTGGGGAGTTCTGCTGCCTCCTCCTAATCTGAACAATAACAAATGATATATTCAAATGGGCCGACAGAAATAATTGTGTATATGCTGCTTGTCAATCTCGCTCCCCCTGCGTCTTTCTCATTGCATCTCCTCTCATTCCTCCTCTTCCTTTTACCTCACGTGCACGTTCTTCACTGCATCCAAGTAATCCACCGATTCCCTTTTATTTTTCACAGTTCTACTTTCCGTTCAGTTCACGAGCTGTTTTCTACGTTGCAAGGTCATCGAAGAAACCTCGAAGTCACCGCTTCTACCTAAACTCCCTTTTTTGTACACTCTGTTCTCTCTCTTCCGCTAGGCGGCGTTTGTGATCTTGTGTGTGTTTGTTTGTGCCTTCCACGATATCCCTACTCTTTTATTGCTCTTATTTTCACTGGAGGTGGTTCGGCTGCGCGTGTGAAGCGTTAGAGTAGAGAGCACCGAACCTCTCTTGACGTTTTTCTTTGTTTCCGTTAATGTAAACAAAGCCTACCTTTTTCGACTTGTTTGAAAGCTCTTTACTGTTAAGAGCTGTCTTTCTTCTTGGGCAAAGTCGTTTTACAGAATTACTAAAATCCTTTTCTGGAAACTAGAGATTACTTCTACTGGACTTTTGTTCTTCATCGTTGGTGTTATCTTCCCAGCTTCCGTGATCTCGAAAGTGGTGTCACGCAAATAAATACAAAACTATTTTCTTCTATTTCCTGTGGTGCCATCAAATTTCTGGCCGCGCTGCACTTCAAAGTCTTTGTCGTGTCGGTCAAAAAGAGGGCTGTTCGGACGAGTATCGTTTTTGTATCGCGGTACAACTGTGAGAACGTCTGAACGGGTTCCTTCGTTGACGTCTCTGACTCTTCTTTTTCTTTTCCAAAAAAGGCCTTTTTTATTGTTGTTTTACCTGTGTTCTGCTCCTGTAGGGCGAGAGCTGCAACGCTCATTCACTGGTAACATTTTTATTTATTTATCTATTTTCGCTCGAAAGGCTACGTGATCGACGGTTTAGCTTTCACCGAGATTATTGTTATTGTTTTCAAATCTGAAGAGCTCTTCCGTTTCGTGGACGGATACTGCAGCGTTCGTTGACGCTGACCTGAACACATTACTGGCTGTTTTGTTTCTCAAATCAACGTAGCGAAATGCGATCTCGCTGCGCTTCATAGCATTCTGGTTTTTGTCTTTTTGCGTGTGTTGCACTCATACGATTCGACAACTTTGGCGTGGGCTGGATAATCTTTGATAATTAAACTAATTAAGGGAATTGATTTCTCTCTCTCTCTCTCTCTCTCTGTTGTGTGTGTGTGTGTGCGTGACGGCTCCGTGTTCGCTTTACCGGTTTTTGAAGAAGGCCCACCGTGCACCTGCGGTGTATCGTTGAACAAGTTGAATACAATATTTGCTGAGACGGCGGAAGGTGCCGCCTAACTTCGTTTCAAACAGAGAAAACTAATAATACAGTAGACACGGCCTATTGCACGGTTGTGGTTGCACATAGACAGAATAATCCGATATGCTTCGCACGAATCTTCTTTTCCTCCGCACCACGGCAGTTGTTGCTGCCGCTGCGTCGCACGCACTTCACAGCGATGGCGCGGCTTCTTCGTCGTACGGAGCGCAGCGCACGGAGTCGGTGCCACCGATGCCGGTGCACCTGAAGCCGTCCAGCAGCCCCCATCGCAAGCCCAGCTTCTATTTCCCTCGCATGCGCGACGAGCAGCACCCGACCTACGCGTTCCAGCCGACCCGCCTCGGAGCAGCGCTTCCCTTGTTCAACATCACGTCGTCCTCCTGCGAGTATTACGCGCTGCGCCTGCCGCTGCTGAAGGCAGGCTTTCGCCGCGTGCCGGCGGGTCGCTACGACATCGCCAGCAACCTGCTCTGGGGCCGCTCCATGCCTTTTCGCGAGATGATGCGCTCCACGACCGCCAGCACAGCCGTGACGTCTTCGTGCCTGGGCTTCCCGCCCGTGTTCACGCAGGAGCAGGCAGCGTACCGCGACACCCTGACCATCGTCAATCCGTATCAGCGCTTTAATCACTACCCGCTGAGTCACGCCAACTTGGGCTGCAAGCGCGGGATGGCCGTCAACGTGCGCAACGCCCAGCAGCACGCCGAGGCGGTCGCGACGACGCCCGGCGAGCGGGAAGAGGCGCGCATGCGGTACGGCTTCATGCCCCGCACCTGGTTCTACCCCCAGGAGAAGGAGAGCCTCATAGCCACGATGAAGGCGGCCCCGCCCGGCATGCACTTTATCTGGAAGCCGGCGCGCGGCAGCTGCGGCCGTGGCATTCTCATCTCGGACGGCGGTGAGCGCAACGCGGCCTCGTGGGAAGGAGTGATGCGGCAGATCGAGGCGAAGGCGGCGTGTAGAGAGTCTGGTCGTCTCTTTCGCAGCTACGTGGTGCAGGAGTACATTGAGAACCCGTTTTTGGTGGAAGGGCGGAAGATGGACCTCCGCCTCTACGTCGCCGTCACGTCCTACAACCCGCTGACGGTGTACTGGCACGAGGAGGGCCTGGTGCGACTGGCGGCGGAGTCGTACACCGACAAGGCCGCGCCGACCTCTACGCACATCGACATTGCCCTTGCGGAGACGGAAGACGGCGAGTCCTCCGAGATGGTCCTCAAGGCCGCCGCCGCCGCTGCTGCTGCTGCCCCGAGCCTTGCGGCACGTGCTGGCGCGTTCGGGAAACACCTCCACGATCGATTTCGCCACTTGACGAATTATTCGGTGGGTCGCAAGTACGTTGCAGCACAGGAAGCCGTGGCTGCAGGTGTGTCGTCGGCGTCGTCTCTCATGTCGATGGGCGATCAGAGTCGCCAGCGCCTCTCTCTCACCGCCGCTGCAGAGGAGAGCGCCGTCGCGATGGTAGCGCCGCCCCAGCTGAAATGGCCGCTGCAGCGTCTCTGGGACTGCATTGACGCGCAAGAAGCAGAATCGGCAGGGCCGACGCTGCGACGGCCGTCGGACAAGGTGAGGGAGAACATCGCGCAGCTCATCACGCGTACGTTGATGGCGGCTCGCCCTGTCATCGACTCCGCCGTGTCGCGGGTGATGATGCCCGGGCACTACTTTGAGCTGTACGGCTTCGACGTCATGTTGGATGCGCAGCTGAACCCTTTCCTCATTGAGGTGAACACGCTGCCCTCGCTCGAGAGCAGCTCTCCGTTCGACTACGCGACCAAGACGAACGTCGTGGCGGATTTGCTGAACATCGCGATGATCGAGCCGTTTGAGCGAACCGTGAAGCCGGGCGATTCGCTGTGGAACTCTGCGGCCCTGCGCGATCAGCTGCAGCAACCACTGAGCCCCGCAGAGAGGACACTCGTGAACAGCTGCACCGCAGGGACGCAGGGCGACGACGGCTCCTTCTCGAAGGGTGTCGCCATCTCACGCGATGAGGTGCAGCTGCGTTTGAAGGACGAGCTCGCCTACGCGCGTGGGTTTCAGCGAATTTTCCCAGCCAAACCGGTGCCGGGCTTTTCTCACGCCGCGATGGGCGAGGGCGTGTTTCGCGTCGCGCCGTTCACGCCGCTCTCGCACGCTGAGCATCCGCTGGACTCCCTGTGCAGCCGCCCCGCTTATATGGACGACGTGCGCTTCTACAATAAGACCAAAGTGCTGACGCCGCAGGATTTGTGGGCCCTTGAGTCTTCGTAGAGGGAAGCGAGACGAAAGGTGATGTACACGTTTGTAGAACGATTATCTTCGTTGTCTTTGTGGTGTTTTTGAATGATTGCATTTGTCTACAACCTTTTCGCCTCGGCACACAGTGTTTGTAGCTTCTTCTCTTCTCTTGTTGATAACTCGCTTGCGCTTAAGCAGGTCGCGGTCTGTGAGGTTCACAGGTCCTTTGGTTTTTAGCATGTACTTTTCCACACAAGACAAGCTTGGGATCGCCAGGTACGCCTGTGCCCGTATTCGCTTTGAACCACACTAAAGAGATCCTTTTGCCGGCGTCAGTATTGTTTTTTTTTATCTGTTTTGTACTTTCCCTGGAGCGTGCGCGTCTCGGAGAGATTTGTTCGCGTAGTTGCTTTGTACTCTTCGTACTATCACCATTATTATCACTGATTGTTTTTTGTTGTTATTCTTCTGCTGCAGCGGTTTGACTCCGCCGCACGTCAAAAGTGGCCTTCCACTAACATTGAAAGATATGTACACAATGGGATCCGCAAACAGCCTCGCGAGCCGAGTTGTGCGAGCTTGTTCGGGCAGTAGAACAAGACAAGGGGTGCTTTTGTTTCTTGTTTGCTTGCGTTGTTGGAGGCACATTATGTAGTTGCGGTGTGTTGTCGGTGATGGCGGTGTGAAGTCCTTGTTAACGCGGAAACGCGTTTCTTTTTCCGCGTTTTTCTTTTCCTTTCAACTAACAAAATGAAGTGTGCTACTGCGCGGTTTTGTTGCTGCTGCTATTCACTCCCTCCTCCTCCTCTTTCATTCCTTGGGCTTTGCTTTCTCTTCGGCTTTCTGACAAACACAAGCAACCAAAGCGTGTTGACCGTTTCGCTCTCCTCAACGCGTCGTTCACATACGTGCACAGCTTCACTAATTCTCAGGAAATCGTCCGTAGAGTTCTTTCCGTGTAAAATACTGAAGAAGAACACATAAATAAACTCAATTCTTATTTTTTTTTTGGGGGGAGGGGGGTGCGGCATGTAGTATATCTTCCTTTGCCTTTGCTGCTTTTCCTTTTGTCAACTTCTAGCCATGAACGAAGATTCCGGTGGGGTGGGCGACAACGTCGTGTACCGTCTCTCCGCCCAAGAGGAAGCGGCGTTGCTGGCGGAATACGGAACGGAGGGACCGTTCGGCGATGGCGTCGACTGGGCAGCTCCAAGTCACTTCAAGTCAGGTCTTGGAGATGGGGACGTGTTTCTCACAGGAGCCACGGGAGCGGAGGAGGATGCGGCGGATAGTAGACTCACTAAAGAAAAGGGTGCGCTGTGCGAGGCCACCGCTGCTTTGAAAGGGCGGCGCCATTCACGTGACCGAGCAGCGTATACGGACCCTCTAACGCTGTACCTGCTACGGCATGCCCCGTCTCTCGTCCTGCCAAGTCGATCCACTCCGGCATCGCTGGCGCAGCCTATCAGCAGCCTGGTGAGCTCTTTTGAAGACGCCGACGACGTGAGGGGGAAAGGAGGCCCATCCGCATCCGCAGTGGGGATGGGCGGGAACAAGTTGGATTCCTCCTCGCGGTTTGCGCCGGTCCTGCGAAGCGGCAAGGAGTGGGAGCGACGCGCTAGTTTGGTCGTGCGGGGCATCCCCACCACTGCTTTTGCATCCTATCTTTTGCTCCCGGAAGACGACGACAAAGACGTCCAGGCGCCTTCGTCTTCGGCTAAGTCCTCTCACTACCCTGACACTCACGGAGATGCTGAGGCGGACTTCAGTAAGCTGATCGGCACCACCGCCGATATGCTGCGCGATGCAGACGATGTGTTAGAGGTGCTCGCAGCGCCCGTCAATCAGGCGCAACAGGAGGCGGAGGTACAGCGCCGCATCGAGGAGCTCCAGCGGCGCGAAGCTCTTGTCTCGGAGGACTTTGTCGATCAGTTCTTTGAAAAGGAAGAGGTTTTGAACGGGGATGACGACGACATGCGCAGCCATGAGCTTCTTCAACGTGCGCGAGAGGGTTGTCAACGACTTCGCGTAGCCTTGGCGTCGTCCGCCGACGGCACAGCATCCAACGTGCTGTCCACCAACAGTCAGTCACAGGAAGAAGGTGTTGTCGTTCAACCATTGTCGTTTTCACTTCCTGTAGAGGCTGAGTACCTCTACGCGTTTGAGATGCAACTTCCGTCTTCTGTGACACGGTTGGGTGCTGCTGACACGTGTGAAGCGGACGAGAAGCCACCGCGCTCACCAGTGGATGCACCGCTGACCGCGCAGGAAGGTGAACTTCTGCCGTTACAACTGCCAAGTTCTCCACCAGAGTCCGCCGCAACAGCAGAGCCACAGCTGCAGCAGGAGCAGGAAGAGGAGGCGTCTATTCCGCTGCTCATCCTCCGCAGCTCCGCCCTGCTACAGGACATCGCCGCGGCGGAGCAGCGAGACACGCAGCTGCTGCAACAGCTGGTTGAGGCCCATGAGCGTCGTCAACTGGACCATCATCGCACTGGAGAACAGCAACGTGGCCTTGGCGGTCAAATCGCGAAGAGAAGCAACCGCGACGCGCTGGGCTTGGTCGCTTTACCGTCCTTTGTGGAGCGACTGGACATCCTTATCTCGCCGACCCACGATGAACAACAAGAGCGCGACCGTCACACGCACAACAGTGGCACCACACCGGATCAAATGAACGGTGCGCGTACAGGCCTGCGCGATGCCCAGCGCACAATCCTCCATAGCGGTGGGAAAGACGAGGAACAACTTCAAGTGGGTTCCAACGAATCAAAGACGGATGGCGTAGTAGCAGCAACGGCAGCCGATTCGGCTGCCGCTCCTTCTCTCGAGGACATTCGTCGACAGGCCGCCGTCGAGTCCTTCCTGCTGCTCTGCGAGTCGGAGGAGGAGCGTCGCATGCGGAAGGAGGACGAGTTGGTGGAGCGCGAGGCCCGGGCCGCGGAGGAGATGCAAGGACTCTACACGGATCAACTTGCCGCCCTGCAGGACGACGCACTCCGTGGCCGTCACGTTATCCTCACCGAAGAGGCGGCCGCTCTGAAGGAGTTGTCCACGGCGCGAGTGAAAGATGCGGCGCTGGCGCGCCACGTCGAGCAGCTGCGGCGACTGCAGCAGACGGAGGCGCTGGTGTACACGCTGGTGATGGAGTGGGAGGTGCACCGAGAGCAACTTCTGCAGGACGAGACCTTGACGTTTCAGCGTCTCACACGCGACGCGGAAGAGGCGAGGGGGCAGGCGGTCGCCGCTACGGAGAAGCGAGAAAGCGGAGAAGCGGCGGCGGCGCGTGCGTATCTCACAGCCTTGCGGCACGCCTTCGAAGAGCGCCGTTCGGCCCTAGTAGAGGGTCCTGCGGGTGTGAAACTCGGCCTGATCTCGGCGCAGCTTCGGAGCACTGCGTGGTATCGCTGGCGTATTGAGCCGCTTTTGCAGGAGCGTGCGATGCTGACGCAGTGGGCGGTGGGGCAGCGGAAGCAGATGGAGAGTGTGAGTGAGCTTCTTGCCGAGGCGGAGACGCGGTACCGTCGACACATCACGGCCGCTGCGCCATCGACGGACGTGGCGCACGCAGCAGGGCACGTTGTGCGGGTGTCGGAAACCCCGCCCACGAAGAGCTTCAGCATTGAGACAGAAGCCGGTGCACTCACAGCAGAGAAGCTGCTGCAGCTGCTGTGGTCCGCCTTCAGCGCCGCGGTTCGCCAGCCACCGCAAGCAGCGCAGTATCTGGCGCGTTGGTGTCTCTCACTGGAGAACATCGACTCCATTGAGTGGCAGCAGCTGCAATTGCTGGAGCTTAAAGGCGAAGGAGGCGCAGGCGTCACCGTGGGCGCCGCGAATTTGGTGAAGGACATGGACCTGAGTGGCAACCCGCTGCGCGGCATGGATCTGCTGCAGGCGGTGCGCACCTTTCCTTTTTTACAGCGCCTCACTATCTCGCACGCGCAGCTGCAGAAGCTCGATTTCGCTGATCCGGGGCAAACTTCTCAGCAGCGCGGCGACGTCCAGTACCCCGCCCCCAGATGCGTCTCCGCATCCTCTGCCACTTCGGACGACGGCGGCGTTGCTTCCGCGCACTCCTCACCGCGCCTGCGTCACATTTCCGCTGCTCGTCATCACGCCTTGGCCGAACAAGTCCACCTTCTCGAGGTGGACGTCTCTTCGAACCACTTAACCTCTCTCGACCCGCTCGGTGTGATGGCCACCTCGTCGTTGACCCGCTGTGTGGCGGTGGACAACGAACTCGCATCTCTCGACTCTCTGGCCGCCTGCACGCAGCTGCGAGGGATCACGGTAGCACACAATAAACTTACGTCTGTCCAGTGCCTGCAGGGGCTGCCGCTCCTGCGGGAGCTGGATGTCGGCAACAATCACCTGCATCAGTTGGATGAAGATTCTACGGCACGGGCGAGCAGCGGCGTCACGGCCAACCCTGTCCCGATGTGGACAAAGCTCTTTGCCTCCCACAACCACCTGCAGAAGTTCCCTTTCTCGTTTCGGGCTGTGTGTCCGTTCCTGAGCCAACTCTTCATCAACCACAACGAGCTCACGGAACTGGAAGCGGAGGCGATGGCGGCGCTGCCGCTGTTGCGCGTCCTGCAGGCGGAGGGAAACAAACTGACCGACATCCGCGGCCTGCAGCGTTGCCCACGGCTGGAATCGGTGAAGCTGTCGCACAATTTACTGTCCACAGTGAGCGCCCTCCTCCCGCTTGGGTCGTGTCGACACTTGCAAGTGGTTGACCTCAGCGGCAACCCGCTCTTCCCAGAAGGCGACTCTGAGGCGGCGCGACAAAGCACGCGATTGCTGTGCGGCATGCTACCTCGGCTAGAGGAGCTGAACAACGTCCCTGTACGGCGCCAAACGGAAAAACAAAGCCACTCCCACAGTATGCCGGTGCATGGTGTTGCAGAGGCGGCGGTGGGGGCGATACGCAATGCGGCACAGCTGGTCATTGAGGCTTGCACCGGACACCCTTACGCCGTAGGCAACGAATTGAACGTTGGCTTCCTTGCTTCCCCTGTACCCGGTCCGACGGAGTCGTATCGCGAAGTCTTTGCGGCGTTGTGCTGGGATGCGATGATGCAGCACGCGCAAGATGAACGGGAGCTGCAAGAGGCGCTGCTTTCACGAGAGTTGAACCGCGCGAAGGGGTGGGAGGCGACCATGACGGCGGCGCGAGAGGCAGAGAGCGCCGCTGCCGCAGTCACCGCCCTGTATGGCATTACCGCTGCGCAGCGCGACACGCGGCGGGCCGAACACGCGAGGGAGGTAGCGCTGTTCAAGCTAGACCACGCGACGCTTTCCACCTGGCTCACCGTTGCGGGGCGGTGCGCAGGTGAGTCGCAGACGCCCTCTCTCACCTCGGGCTCTACGGTCTTCTCCAACCGGCACGAGACGCACTGCACGTACCGGCAGCGAGAGGAGGACCACCTGCAGAGGCTGGCGCGGGCCTACCTTGCGGAGTGGCTCCTCGCACGCGTGCTCGTACGCCGGGCGCGGCGGGAGCTGCACGCGCTGCAGGCTGCGCACCGGCAGTCGGAGGTGTTTCGCAAAGAGATGGCGGCGCGCCGCATTCAGCCGGTGTGGCGCGGCGCCGCATTGCGGTCTCGTTTGCACCGCCTGCTGCACAGCCGCGATGCCGCGGACGTTGCGTTCAATGCGGAGGATGAGCAGGCGTTTGCGAAGGTGAACGTGAATGACTGGCTCACGGAGGATCCATCGGCGCTGGTACCCGTGGAGTTGCTGCTACACACCGTGGTGGACTCTGCGCGGGAGGTGGCCGCGGTGCCGTTTGATGTGCCACCGTCGGCGGTTGTGCTCCCGATGAAAGCAAACCCGACTGCTCCGCCGTCTTCTTTCACATCGGTAATACCCAACGGAGAACCGAGTCGTGCCCGCAGCGGTGGCTCCGCTTCTGGTCGTCCGTCACTGCGCCTTCCGCCAGCTCGCCCCGACACTGCCGAGAAGCCTAGTAAAGGTGCTTGCTCGTTGGAGGAGCAGTGGGGACCGGCGGTAGCGGCGCAGATACGCAAGAAGCAACAGAAGAATTCACGCGCGCACAACGAGCGAATGCGCAAGGAATTTCTGCAGGATCCACTGCGCGTGCAACATGAAATGCGTGGAGACCACTCAGCGCCTAAGCCAAAGTGACGCGCGCGAGAACGACGTGCGAGGTGACGTCCAGTTGCCGCTGCGACGATAAATATATGTATATATACTGAACGCTCTGTGAAGCGCCAATTAGACCCGCTGCTTGAACCACAGTGACAAAAGGCGAACAGCAAATGTGGGAGGCCGTTCGGTGCCATGGGAGTTTCCACGAGAACCTAGAACCCATGTGTTGGGCGGTGTGTGTGTGTGTGTGTGTGTAGGGCCTCTTGATGGAGCTGCCTCCGCTGGTATATGCTTTGAGCACCTTGGACAGTTCCTCTCTCTCTTACCGATTCTTCCCCTTGGTTTGTTTGTTTTCCTCTGTTAACACCTTTCGCACAGGGGAGTAACCATCCGAGAACTGCAGGTCTTGATGCGTAGCTGTATTTTTTACTCGACCTGGCGATGTACGTGTTCACCTTCTCCTTCTCTCTCTCTCTCTCTTTCTTTTAGGTCAGGCATCGAGTACACCGTAGTCATTCCAGCAGACATAATATTTGTAGGTGCAACTTCCTCTTGTACCACCGAGCGTCAGTACACCCCGAACGGTAGATCTTTTCCTAAATGGGATCTCGGCTTTCTGTTCAGCTAGTCATTTGTCCACTCTTTTAATACGCTGGCGAAAGAGTGTGGGGCTGTGGTGTGGCGTTCAGCCGCAACAGCACAGTTCAAGACATCTTCTGATTCTTTACTATTATTATTATTTTGTCTTGGTTGCGTCTTCTTTTGTGTTCCCGCTTCGTTTCACACGGCGATCGTTGAGGACAAAACGCTGAGCGGCTCCGTGTCCTTCTCGCTGTGTTCTGCGCCCTCTACCCTCCTCATACCCTCACCCCCCTCCAGCGACAGTGCTGCCATTTCAGCGGTAATTGTGACTGGCGTGAAGCCGCTCCGCCGGGCGCCGCCTGCGCCGCTAACCACCATCAAACAGGTGCGACCGTTGGCACCCGCGGTCTACGTGGTGTCACGCCCATGTCTAGCGGGCCCCGAACGTTTCCTGCTTTCTCGCCCACGGTATCCGCTGCTACCTCACCTATTTTCTCTACGGCTGGCAGTGGTCACGGCAGTCCTCAATTAGCGCTGCAGCGACGCTTCACCTGCACACTTTCCCAACAGCAGCAGCAACAGGCGCGTTTCCTTGAAGCCAGCGAGGAGTACACCAGTGCGGAGACGAGCACGTTGGACGACGCAGCGACGAAGTCGAGCTCGATCGGCCCACCGCGAGGCTTCTCGTATCGACGGGTGGTGTGGCGTTGTCTCGGCTGTATTCGGAGCGTGCAGCAGTTTTGCAGCAGTCGATTGCGCGATGGACAGGACGGGTCGTCCGCTCGCCGCACGCGTCATTGTGGGGCTCGAACGTCGTCGAAAGCCTCGGCGCATTCTAACGAGTTTGTGAATCTCGGAATGCGCGTCATCCATCCTCTGGATGAGGCGACGGCGAGTCGCTACTGCAACAATCTCGTCATCAACAGTCGCTACACGCTTCAGAACTTCATCTTCAAGAATTTGTACGAGCAGTTTAGCCGGCCGCTGAACTTTTACTTTCTGCTGGTGGCGATGCTCCAATTTATCTCGGTCATTGCCCCTGTCAGCCCGCTCTCCACGCTACTCCCTCTGCTCTTTGCCTTTACGCTCACCGCGGTGAAGGAAGGCTACGACGACGTGAAGCGGCACCGGCAGGACTTTACCTACAACAATCAGCAGCGCACCGCACTCGACGCGGCGCAGAATGCCTGGGTGTCGCGTCGAAACGCCGACATCTGCGTCGGCGACGTGCTCCTGCTGGCGGAAGATGACGAGATCCCGTGTGACGTGGTGGTCGTTGGGTCGACATCGTCGTTGTACATCCGCACCGACAACCTCGACGGCGAGATCGACCTCAAGCCGAAGGAACAGGTGCAGTGGTGGACGGTGGCGGCGGAGGCGGGGGCGCGGCAGGTGCACACGCTCTGCCCCACGCCCTCCCTCACGGAACCACCGCCACCGTCAAGTGTAGCGGCAGCGGTGGCGCAGCTGTCTCTCGAGTGCCCGCCGCCGTCCGCCATGGTGGAATCCTTCGAAGGCCGTGCGGACATTCTGCAGAGCGCCGCCGCCACCACGCCTGATTCACCGGAGCAGCGCGTGATGCACGTCCCGCTCTCCCACCACCACTTGCTGCCTCAGTCTTGTGTTCTGAAGAACGTGGCGCAGGTTGTGTGTGTGGCGGTGTACACGGGTGACGACACCAAATGCGGGATGAACAAGCGCGCCCCACCCGTCAAGTGGGCCCAGATCGACAAGGATGTGAGTCGCTACTCCATCTACATCTTTTTATGCCAGCTGCTGAATGCGTTCATCTTTGGCTTCCTTGGCTACGAGGCGAACCGCAACGTGCACAGGCACATCTGGTACTTACCACAGCCCGCGAACGAGACCGGGGGGTCCGCCATCATCTACCCCCTGCGCTTCTTCCTGTTGACAACGGTGATGATTCCGGTCTCCTTCAAGTTCGTGGTGGATGTGTGCAAGTACTACATGGCCAACACCGTGGAGTGGGACAGCGCCATGCGACACGCCGTCGTCGGTGACACACCGCGGCCGGTCCACGCGAACTCCCTGCAGCGCATGCTCGCTGCGATGCCCGACAGCGCCGGTTGCAAAGTCAAAAACTCGAGCATCTTGGAAGACTTGGGCCAAATTGATTACGTGCTGTCGGACAAAACCGGCACGCTGACGCAAAATGTGATGGTGGTGGACAGCGTCACGGTAAGCCCCGGCTACCACATCTCCGTGGCATCGCTAGCTGATACGTGTGTGACGGTGCCGGAAGCCCTCACCGCTGGGGATGCCTCAGCGTTGTCCGCCATTCGCCTCTTTGCGCAGATGGTGGCGCTGTGCAACACCGTCGAGGTCGTCCGCGCCTCTCGCTCATTGACGGAAGACGACGCGTACCTCAGTGGTGCACCGGAGGTTGTCTACCACGCTGCCTCGCCGGACGAGGTTGCGCTGTGCCACGGCATGCGGAAGCTGGGTGTGTCTCTTGTTGCGCGCAATGAGCGACGGGCGACGCTGCGCGTGTACCACCGCGGTGCTCCACCGTCACGACGGCTGCCTCGCGTGACGTCCACGTCCTCGGATGAGATGTGGGTTATTCATCACACTTTCCCTTTTTCCTCCGAGAAGAAGTCGATGGGTGTGCTCGTCGAGGAGCCCGAGACGGCGCGGATTTGGTTCGTCGTGAAGGGCGCAGATGATCGGGTGCTATCCATGGCCGCCTCGCCTCTTCCCTCATCGACGGCGTCGTCGCCCGCCGAAATGACAGACCCGCCTCTCAACGCAGACTGCGCCGCAAAGCTCTCTTTGTACGCTCATCGAGGACTGCGCACGCTGCTGGTTGGCCGGAAGGAGATATCACACGAGCAGCTGACACGCTTTCTGCAGGCCGTGGAGGAGGCGAACTGCTTGACTGAAGGCCGGCAGGCGCGTCTCGACGCGTTGCGTGATCAGATGGAGATCAATATCGAAATTCTCGGCATCACGGCAATCGAGGACAAGTTGCAGGAGGACGTGCGGGAGACGATCAGCGACATGCTCGTTGCCGGCATCAAGGTGTGGATGCTGACCGGGGACAAGATGGAAACGGCGCAGCAAATTGGGCTGTCGTGCGGCCTCTATCAAGCAGGAGATCGTGTGATCTGCATCGGTGAAGGCAGTGGAGGCGGATGCACGGGTAGTAGTACCGCTGCTGTTTCTTCGAGTGCAGCGCAGGACTGGCGACGGGACCTGCTGGAGTTCCCTTTGGAGGTACTGCCTCCGTTGACGGACAGCAAGGGCGCTATGCGGCGGAGCCTGTGGCGGCTGAGCAGCTGGACGAAAGCCGCCGCACGGGCGTGCGGGAAGGAGCTTGAGACCCGCGTGCTCCGCTTTGATGCGAGTGAGGCAGCCACCATGTCGAACACGTCTCTGCTGACGATGCAGCGCAACGAAGAAGGCGGCAGTGCAACAGGAGCCACGCGTGCTCAAGAGGGTTGCGGAGACGCATCCAACACTGCTCACCGAGGTGGTGATCCTTGTACGTCTCAGGGCAGGGTGAGTAGGGAGACAGTACGTCCGGCGGTGCTCATTGTGCAGGGCGGCGCGGTGCTGGAGGCGATCCTCCACGACTCGACGGTGCGGGAGCGCTTTGCACTCCTCTCCAGTCGCTGTCGCAGCGTCATCTGCGCCCGCACCACGCCGAGTCAGAAGGCGGCCATCACCCACTTTGTGCGTCACCGCGGCTTCATGACGCTCTCCGTCGGTGACGGCGGCAACGATGTGGCGATGCTGCAAGAGGCTCACGTTGGGATCGGGATTGCCGGCAGGGAAGGTCAGCAGGCAGCCCGTGCCGCCGACTTCTCTATTACGCAGTTCTCCGACCTGCGTGCGCTGCTCTTCGTGCATGGGCAGCAGGCGTACGCACGCACCGCCTACGTCATCAAGTACAGCTTTTACAAATCGATGCTCATCTCCTTTATTCAACTCGCCTACAACGTCGTCGGCACGCACGCGTCCGGCGGCACCTTCTGGAACAGCTTCTCGCTCACCATGTGGAACGGCTTCTACACGCTGCCGCAGACAATTTTGTACTGCCTTGACCGCTGTGCGCCGCGGGTGGTGCTGGAGCGCAACCCGTACCTCTACAAGCTGACTCGGCACGCCGTCGACGTGGACCCCGCTGAGTTTTTTGTTTCCTTTGTGCTGCGAGGCGTGCTGCAGTCCGTCTTTCTGCTGTGGCTGTGCACGCACATCTACGGTGCGGCCTTTGTCTACGCGGGGAGCGGCGGGACGGCGTCGAAGGACGTCACCTTCAGCGTGGCGTACACAGCGCTGATGCTGTCGCAGCTCTTCACGGTGTGGTGGGAGTCGCATTCGGTGACCCCGCTGAACGTGCTCATGCTGATTGGCATGCCGCTCTTCTACGTCTACTCCACGCTCGTCTACAGTGATCGACCGGCCTTGCAGTACTACGGCGTCTTCCGCCGGTCTCTCGACAACGTCGGCATCTTGGCTGCCGTGGGGGTGGCCGCAGCGCTGGTGGTGCCGAGCCTCATTTACTTCACGGTGTTGGCCGTGCTGCACCCCAACCCGCGCGACACGCTGCGGCGAGCCGAGGTGAAGCGTCAGCGTTTGCTTCTCGGCGAGAAAGATCACCGACAAGGACAGTCGCGGTGGGTGCGGTGGTTCCACGCCGTGCCGGAGTCACCCTCCATCACATGCAGTCGAGCTGCCGCTACACTTCGCAGTGAGGGGGACGCGCGGGATGACCTCATTTAACTGCAGGAGGTTACCCTTTTTTTTTTCTGGAGCACGCGGGAGTGGATGATGTCTTCGCTGCAGAAAGGCCACCAAAACCATTCGCTGAGCTTGTGATGCTTTTCTCTTTGCTCTCTTTCATTTTGTCGAGTTTTGTTTTTCTTAACTTCGAAAGGATGAACGCTCTTGTGCGTTGCCTTCATCTTGTTGCGTGGGGCGTCACTGCACGCCCAAAGTAAGAACCGAAGAGCAAGCTAGAGGAGTATTTCTCACTCGCTGGACTTTGCAAACGTAGTGGAGAAGAAAACACTGTGCGCTGTGGCGAAGTGGCCTGCGTGTCTGTGTGGTTGGGATGCCCAACGCAATCAAACCGTTTGGGTATCCTCTTGGGTAGGCGAACTCCTTTCAGCATCTCTCTCTCTCATATACACCATGACAGGAGCGTTGTGATGACGTGCCCGCATAAGTCGAGAAGGGCCTCTAAGAAACTGTTGGGGTTGGCACTCAGCCAGCAGTGATACAGTTTGAGTCTTGTTACACGGCGCAAAGCAGCTGCGTCGATCAATGCTGTTCCTACTTTTTCACATCTGGCTTTTTTCTGTCTCCTTCTTACTGGGTGCATCCGGCGGCTCCCTCGTTCGATCCGGCAGCACTCCGAATTTATTACACGTACCCCACACGGCCCCAAAAGCCGCGATACATTTACTCTTATCTGTATTATTTTTTCCCTTTGTTATATCTTCGTGTTCGACTCGAACGGGCGCCATTTCATCTCCTGCTTCTCTGTCGCAGAAGCACCATTCTCTCTCTCCCGAAATAAAGTAAAGCGAGCGATAACGATACACGCTAATCGAGTAAGATAACAAAAAAGCGGTTTGTACTTTCCTTTGCGTTTTTCCTCTTTTATTTATTTGACACCATGTCGCGCTGTGGGACGTGCAATGTGGCGCTGGACGACGCCGAGGCGCTCCGCAATCACTACGGCTCTGAAGTTCACCTCACTAACGTGCGTCGCCGCGTGGAGGGGCTGCGTCCGTTAAACCAGCAAGAGCAGCGCCACGCGCAGCAAGAAATCGATGGCGCTGGCGTGGACGAGAGCGGCGCCCCCGTGTACTCGTGCACGCTGTGCAAGAAGACCTTCCGCTCCGTCCAGACCCTGCAGACGCACATCCGCTCCACCGCACACCTCATGCGGAAGGAGCAGCGCATTGTCGCACGTGATTCGGAGGCGGCGAGTATGCTGACCTCGACCTCGCTGGGCAGCGCCGCGATGGGGCTGCATCGGCGACACAACGCCAAGAAGGGGGCGGCCCGCAAGGACGCCGCGCAGAAGAGCAAAACGGCAGCCGCGAAGGTGGGACTCGAAGAACGGGAGGAGGACACGAGCGAGGTGCGCTGCATGTTTTGCGGTCTGCTCTCACCGGATGTGGCAGCCAACGTGCAGCACATGGAGGCGGCACACCACTTTATGATCCCCATGGCCCACCACTGCAAGGACGTTCCCGCGCTGCTCGCCTACCTGGCGCGGAAGGTGAACGGGTTAATGTGCATTGTGTGCAACGAGCGCACCCGCTCCTTTGCGTCGCTGGAGGCCCTGCGCGACCACATGCGTGAGTCGAATCACGAGCGGCTGATCCTCAGTCCGGAGTATCAGGAGTTTTACGATGTCGTGCTGGCGAACCCGGAGGGCCTGGCCCCTGTGCAGCTCGAAGGTGTCCGCGGCGACGAGATGGTCCTGCTCGACGAAAAATCGAAGGGCAAGGCCCGTGTCGTGCTGAAACGCGAGGGCGAGGTCCCCCGTGCCCGCCCGCGCGAGACAGAGGTGCAGAATGAGAAGCGCAAGGCCATCCTCGCCGCTGAGCAGGAGTCGCGTGCTCTCGTGAAGCAGGAGCAGAAGGAGCTGATGATGGCGCAGAACCAGGAAGCGGCGTGGGTGGCGACGCGTAGCGGCAACGCCCGCCACGATCTTCAACTGGATGTTAGCATGCGCACGAACAAGCTGCACCCGAAGGGATACGATGGCAACATGATGTTCAGTTAGAGTGCAGGGGAGGCGTTGTAAGGGGCAGGATGAAGCGGAGAACAGTGAAAGTAATCTGTTATGCGTGAGGCGAAAATGGACAAGAGGGCGTGGAGGCACCTCAACTCCGCTTCTTCTCTTTTTCCTTTCTGGTTCTGTTCTCAACGCCGAATACCGATTGAACTAACAGGCGTGTATTTGGACTCTAAGCGGCTTTCCAGAACCGTGCGTTGACTGCTCGCCCTCTTTGTTCTGTTGTCAGTAGTGTGCTTTATTTTTGCACGTTGTCGGTATACGTCTCAGAAAGTTTCTTTTCATTATCTGTTGTGGTGCCTGTGCCTCTGCGCAACGCGTTCTATTTTGAGGTACCGAATTTCCTTCTTATCTTTCCGTGCTGTTCGCGAGCAACACGTTCGTCTCCATTAAGCTAACTCGCAAAAACCATTTTGTTAGGATGAAGAACATTTTTGTGTGTGTGTGTGTGTGTGTGTGTTTGAGTGTAGTATTCAATGGAGATGACGCCGTTGAACTCTACGGTGAAAGGACGGGATTGAGTGATGGACGCGTGTCCGCTTGCTGCGAGGCGACTACGAACTTCGCGATGCAGGCTAGAGTCCATAGGCTGGCAAGACTGGGTTGGCTGGCTTCCACTTCGTGCCGAGAGAGGGTGCAAGGAGGAAAGCTCATTGCCAATTCCTCTGTAATGCAAACAAACAGGAAGAGACGTATTTATTTTCACTCAGAGCAAAAGCGTCGTTGGCGGATTCGCAGCTGTTGCTCAATTGCACTCTCGCCTTTCTCTTCCCTCCCGCCCCCCTCTCCCCGCTTTTCCGTTTTCACGCGGCCACTGCAGCGAACAACACACAGCTGTTCTTATCGTTGTCTTGCACGAACGTTAGTAACCCGTCATCGCGGGCTATTTTTTTAATTATTTTTCTTCTTCTTTTGCTTGTTTGTCACGGCGTCGTTTGTGTGTGCGTCGCGCCCACACAAGCATTAGCCACAACCGTGAAGCACGAAGAGTAGGGTAGTAGATCCGCTAGCAACACACCGTAGAAAAAGAAACCCCCCAAATAGCGTTAGGTACGATTCATCACCGTTGCGGTGAAGGAGGAGTTCTCTGTAAAGTCCTCCGCGACACGTTCCGGAGAGCTTGTGCAACCAATCATCCAACACGACTTCGCTCTCTCTTCATTATTATTATTATCGGACTCCTTCTGAGACGACACAAAACACACACGATCGGTACGCGGCATCATGTTCGAGGTTGTGACGTACACCTACGGCTTCGTGCTCTACGTGGCGGGCCGTACCATCAAAATAGAAAAGGAGACCTTTAAAACCTTCACCGACCCCGGAACCTTCCTGTCCGGTGCCATCGCTGGTGGGGTGGGTCGCGCGGCGGCGATTCCGTTTGATCAAGGCGGCAAGAAGGGGATTCAGCAGACAATAGGGCGCCGCATGCCGCAGTTTGGGCTCCTCATGATGTTCTACTGTCCCATAGCACACAAGCTGCTGCCGGGTCTGGAGCACGATCCGAGGTCGAAGATGCTCACCACCTTCATGATCGGCGCAGCGGCCGGCTTTAACATGCGGCTCCTGTGCAACCCAATCTCGCGTGTGCTGGACGAGAGCCTCCGCACAGGCAAGCAGCCGCTCGATGTCGCGCGTATCCTCAAGAACAAGACGATACTGCAGTTCTGGTACACCACGCCAAATCTGCTCGGGAACGCCTTCTACTTCGGCACGCTCTTCACCGTTTTCGAGGGTCTGCGCCGCTTTAACGAACGCAACCTCGTGCCGATTAGGCGATACGAGGGCGAGGATGAGGTGCTGCTGATGGGGGATGATGGTCAGGTGCAGGTGGTGTCGAAGCCGCACACGGCCCCCGCGGTGGTCGACCACAACTGGAGCTGGCGGAACTACGCGATGACGGTGACGTCGAACTTCGCCGTCGGCGGTGCAGCCGCCACCGTGGCGTCCACCGTGTGCTACCCTTTTAGCGCACACCAGTACATGCAGACCGTCATTCACGACTCGGCGATCTGCCGTGGACTCGTGCCGACGTTGATGAAGGAGGTGCCTATGGTGGCGATGATGTTTGCTACCTTTTCGGCGATACAGCCGCTGCTCGCACCCCGCCACGGCGTCCGCTGTGGTTTTGGCTATTGAAAAAAAGAAACCGCGCAAGAAATCGAGGAGAGTGCAATGACATGCTTCGCTCGTCCTTGCATATATATATTTGGGGCTTTCTTGTGACTGTGCTGACGTACTTCGTTAGGCATTCGCCTGTCCGTGATTCCCACGGAGGAGAGCTCTCGTCTTATTATCGATGTTTTTTTTTTCCTTGTGTGTGTGTGCTCCTGCATTTCAGCTCTCTGCCCTTTTTCTTTCTCCTTTTTTTCCTTTGTAGTTTGGTGTCAACGGTACTCGCACGGGCACGAAGCGGATGAAAGGCGTGACGCAGAAGAGAAATGTACCAATCCGTCGATAACAGGCGAAAGAGGAAGTGTACTGCGGATCGCTCTCGCTCTCTCTCTCTCTGTGGAACGGGATGGTGGTCGGTCGAGCTTGAGTCCTCGGCGTGACTATTGCAAATCCATTGTCGTAGCCTTGCTCCATATCGGTGCGATGACGGTCTTGCACGAGGTTCATTAATAGTGCTCTTCTTTCTCCCTCTACGTCAGTTCACGTTAAGAGGAGGAAGTGCAGGGATTGTTTTGGTGTCTAAATCCTAATGCTGGCGCTACTCTCCTATGCACCTTATCTAACCTTGTTACTATTCCTATTTTTCTTTTCCTGTGAGACGCAACCAGTGCGCATTTGTGGAGAGCACCGCAACTCGTTTCTCAAATAACAAGACAACGGGAGCTGAACACAGAGTATTTGCTCACGAACTCCTTCACCACACGCGTCTCCTCTCCAGCACAAACGGAAAAAGAGATAGCATTTCCCTACCGAGAAACAGGGAAAAGAGCAATGCGACGTCGCAACACCCTTGTTGAGTCGACGCAGGCGGCGGGCTTTGCCGACATGGAGTTCGTTCTACTTCGCTGCCCGAAATTTTTCGCCACGGAGAACGTCGCCACCGTCTTTCCCGAGGCGGCGCACGTGGCGGCCAGCTTGGCAGAAGCGGCTTCCGCCCACCCGGAGGTCGCCGACCACGACGTGAATTACTACCTGCTCTACACCTTCCAGCCCTGCGACTTTGTGATGGAGAAGGCCAGTGGCGAGGACAGTGAAGGCGAAGGACTCAGCAGCTGCGACGAGCCCGGCACCACCTCCTCCAGCGTCGCGTCCCCGGTGTCGTCGATGTCGGTGATTCAGAAGAGCGACAATGAGGCCCTCCCGCCGGTCAGTCCTGCCCCGCCTGTGATGGAGTGGCACGATCGCAGTCGCGACCGGGTGTACAAGTTCATGGCTCTGGCGAAGCGCCACATTCGGGGGCGTCTTTCGGAGGCGTCGGAAGGAAATGAACCTTTTTTCTTTATGGACTGGCCAGACCCCGCAACCGGGCTGCCGGCGTGCTCGGAGCGCGGCGCCACAACCTTCTCCGACGCCGACACCATCGAACAATTTTTTCCTTTCAAAAAGGTAATGGTGGCGGGTCCTGGCGGTGGCTGCTACATGGTGGAGCACCCGCGGTTTGGGTTGAACGTGTACCTCGACGCGGCCGTCCTGGTTGTGCCGCACACTCTCGAGGAACGACTCTGCGAAGCTGTTCGCAGTCTCGGTGTGTAGGTCACAGACGTAAGAAACAGAGGAGGAGCGCGATCCTTAATGGAAACAGTAACGACGCGTCTCAAAACGCATAACCCAGCAAATAAAGCTAGCATTGCGGATTACGTATTTTGACAGAGAAGAGTGCTATGCAGCGCCTCTCGTGACTCTTCAACTTATTATATATATTATTTTTCTCCTTGCTGTTCTTGAAATGTTAGTAACTGTGTTCTACATATTTCAAACAATCGCTTCCGCTCGTGTGGGTTCTTCCTCCCTTTTTCTTACTCGACCTCTCTTAAACTGTTGTATTAACCGTTTTCTTTTTTGGGGGCACAACTCGTTTGTGCTGCAACATTACAGTGGAGATGCTTTCTCCTTTAGCTTTCGATGTTCGCATTGTTGTTTCGGAGTGCCAGCTCTCGGTCGCTCGGCGAAGGAGATGAAGGGGCGTCTGAACCCATGTTGACTACGAAAATGAATCGCGTGTGTGCGCCAACAACGATAGTGCTTTTAAAGAAGGGACGGCCGTTTTCAATTGCTGGTTGTAGCAGATGAAGATGATGTCTTTTTGAGCTTTTGCAGTGAAAACGAACCACAAAAAGTGGTTAACTTAACTGCATTTCACGCTTTCCAAGGAGAGGGAAAGAATGAAGATTTCAACGTGACAGGGACAACTGCGTGTTTGATTGATCGTGTCCGTGCCAGTGCCTCCTTTTTCCCTTCCAACGCTACAGTGATGTTTTTTTTTTTATCTCCTTGCTGTGACGGTTTTTATACTGTAATCCGTACCCAAAATCTTGTGTTGTTCGAAGGAGCCCCTGAAGTGTTCCTTTCGACCTCAAAATATTTCAAACCGTGTTCTCCTCTTCGTTTTCTTTTTTTGATATTTGGAATGGTATGTGTACGTTGCGCCGAGTGTCTTTTCCCTTTGCCGTATCTACGACTGCGATATTTCGAAGAGCAAGCACGGCTAGTTCGTGAACGGATGGTCGATCATCGACTGCGAGGAGGTGCCTTGGTGGGCTCTTCCTCTTCAGTTGGCGCTCTTTTTTGTACTCGTTTTATAAGTGAGGGGCGTCTACCTCGTGACGCCTCATGGCTGCGAAGATTCACGGAGACAACTGAGCAGTGCTCTCGGCGTGGAGGTGCACTTCTACCTCTTCTTTTCTCCGTGGAGAAATGGATGCGATGTATTTCGTGTTTCTGCAGTGGGCCACTCGCGCTGCATCTCTCTCTCTCTTCCTCTCTCTCCCTCTTCTCGCTCTCCTTGTGCTCCTGCTATACGCAGGGTCAGACTATTTACGCAACGTCACATCCTGGTGTTCCGCCGCAACCGAGAAGAACAGAAAACGTATATCTAGCGTGTCGCCCTGACAGACATAAGGTGTGTGGTAACCTATCACCCTGTTTCTGTTTGCCAACGCTTCCGGTCTTCTGCAACGTAATTGTTTTTGTTGTCTTCTCTCTCCTTGTCACCACACTTCTCCGCACATACTCGTACAAACGGAGTAAACGTATTTAATTCCTATTTTGACGCTACAAACCCTTTTTCTTTTCTTCTTTCTTTCACCTGTTCCCACATCATGCGTCGTCGCAACATCCTTGTGGACGCCCTGCAGGCGGCGGTCTTTCCGGACATGGAATTCGTGCTGCTGCGCTGCCCCAAATTCTATGCGAAGGAAAACCTAGAAACCGTCTTCCCCGACGCCGCACAGGCCACAACCGCCCTGTCCGGTGGTGCACCGCACGATTCAAATTACTATCTGCTTTACACCTTCCAGCCGTCCGACTATGTCATGCAGAAGCCCGGCGACGAGGACGAGGCGGCGCTGTCGCTCGACGGCGACTCACAGGACCTGAGCAACGACGACGACGACGTCGCGTCGACCGCGGTGAGCTCGCCTGCTGGCAAGGCCGCGGAGGACGACTTCTCGGAGTTGATTCAGTACACACCGGCGTCCGTCGAGTGGAAGGACCGCAGTCGCGAGCGCTTTTTTCACTTCATGAAGGCTGCGAGGGAGCGCATTCGCGAGCGTCTGAACGCATCTGCCGGAGACGTGCCGGCGGCGCTGTTTATGGACTGGCCAGATCCCGCCACCGGGCTGCCGGTGAAGTCGAAGCGTGGTGCCTCCACCTTCAACGACGCCGACACGATCCAGCAGTTCTTCTCGTACAGCAGCGTGCTGATTGCCGGCCCTGGTGGCGGTTGCCGCATGATTGAGCATCCGCGCTTTGGCCTCAACGTGTACCCGGCAGCGGGTGTCATTGTAGTGCCGCGATGCGAAGAAGCGGTGCTGTGCGACGCCGTGCGCAGTCTGTCTCCCTGATGCAGCCTTCTGTATGTGTGTTGGTGTGTCTGTGGTACCCGTAGCGACGTCCGAGAAGCATAAGCGTAGTGCTGGAGATACATCTTTCCTCTGGTACTTCCGTCCTTTTCGATCCTCTCACCGGCGTGTGCGTTTTTCAAGGTGTGTGATTTCATCTCTTCCTCCTTCGTTGCTCAGTACACCGTTCGGCTAGACGAAGTGTTCTCGATTTTTGTTTGTTTTCTGTTTCTTTCCATACCATCTCCGCTCCCCTAATACATATTTTTCTCTTTTTTCTATCCGTTGAGTGTCTATATATATGTATGGCTCTCCGTTTTTCTAGAGACGCATTAGCGGTTCGGTAAAGCTTCAAAGCCGTTGAATAAACAGCAACAACATAACTATCGTAAAGGAAGGACGAATGCACAGCGTGAAATTGTTGTTCAAAATAAGCTTAATGTATTATACGTAAAACGAGTGGTGTGATTTGCTCTGCTGAATCATCTTCTTTTTTTTCTCTATATATATCTCTGTAATCTACATCTATCAAGTCTTAAGCTTGTCGTTTGTCGTAACGCACATGAGCGTTTCAGTGCAGAGGAAAGAAGAGTTTTTAATAAGAAGAACGAAAGAATTCAACTACTGCCAAGTAAATGCCCTCACCTTGCGGGCTCGTACTCCCGTTGCGCTGCTGTAGCGTTGACGGCTTCGACGGACCCTTCTCTCCCTTTCTGTCCGCACTTCTCCAAGGCTTGCGTCTTCACGCCCGCCTTCCATCGTTGACAAGTAAGATCGCTCTGTTGTACAGTTCTCTCCTCTATTCTTATCGTTTGCATTTCTGTGGTTTTTCCTACGAGGCTTTTCTCCCAGTCAGCGCTTCGTGCGTTCGGCCATGCAAAACGGCCATCTTTGTCGCGTGCAACTGCGCCACTCGTATAACCGCTGCAAATAAATTTTTGGTGTTTTTGTACTGTCTTTTTCTTTTTCTTTTTATTTACTTGTAGCTTTAAAGGTGCGGTTTGCTCTCTAAGAAACCGTCCGTGGGATTTGATTTTGGTTATCGTAATGTACGACGTGGACGTTGTCGCTCAGCAACAAAAGCAGCATTAGCAGCACCGATGGAGCGCCTTTACGAGCAAGAAAACTCCTACGACGCCCGTGAGCAGCCGACGGACCCCGCCTCATCATCGTCATCGCTCTCTTCGGCGGAGCGTGGAGGGCAGGGTCGACGCCGCCAGCAGCGCCACCCCGAACAACAACACCGTCACCGATCGCAGCGGTATGCGACGCAGATGGAGCGTCAAGACTCGCACCCACACTATTCGCGGCACCACGAAACTGTTGTGGCCGTGCTGCAGCCGCACCACCGTCGCCGTTCTTCCTCTTCTTCCCTCCCTTCCGTGAACGCCCATTTGCAGCGCACGCGCCCGCGAGACGAGGACGACGACACCTTTCACTCCCTCGCTTCGGGGGTGCCGAGTCTGGAGGTGGCGGAACTGATGCACGTGAACAACCCTTCCGATGTGGGGCTGATGGACGTAGCTCCGTCGGTGGCGGAGGACTTTCCTATGCCAACGTGGGCGCAAGAGGGCCGGTTGATGGAGCGACGCATTCAACAAGCGGTGGATCACGACCCAGTTGAACTGAAGGAACCTGACGGATTGCCAGCTGAAGGAGGAGGAGCTTACGGAGCAGCAACGAGAGCGTCGTTGGGGTCCGCGGCAGCTGGCAAGACAGTCGATGCATCGATGATGTGTGGTGGAACTGGTGCGCGCCGACGGCCGTCCAGTAGGCCATCGCTATTACCGGAATCGACTCTGCCGCTGTTCCCGCAAGACAACAGCGCGACGGCGGCTCCGTCCAGCGCGTCCCTTACAACGCCGCTCTCGGCCCCGCCCGGTCCGCGCATGAAAGAAGCAGAGCTGCTCGCGGACCCGCGAAACCGTCTGCTGAGTTTGGTCCTCTCCAACACCGCCGCCGGTGTCACGCTGAGTGAAATTGAGCAGGCGATGCGGTGGAGTGCGCTGTACGAGCCTATGTACGGCCCGCTGCTGGAGTACCTGCAGTCCTACCAGTCCATCTTCGTTGTCTCGCCCGTCGACGATCGCGTGCGGCTGCGGCGTCACTTTTCGATTCGAACGTCGCTGCTGCAGCAACCACCGCCGCAGCATCAACTGCAGCGCACGTCACGAACGCGGCTGAGCCGACGCGGTGGGCGAGACGCGGCGGCGCAGCGCTCCTCCTCCGCGGTGGACCGACGCCCCGGCAAGTCGTTCCTGCCCTCCGCCGAAGTGCTGGCCGCTCACATTGGCAGTATTAGTTACAGCTGCGTTGCCGAGCGTTTGGATCTCGACACGCTCGAGACGGTGTACCGCAGACGCGGCTACGACACGGCCATGATGCACACCGTCCTCCACGTGACAAGCGAGAAGGTGTTTCATCTGTTCCTTTTTTCCAGCGGAGCGGTGGTGTGGTGGGGCATGGACCGCAAGGAGCACTGGATGGTCGAGGAGGATTTCTTATCTGAGACGCTGCACATCGCAGAGGGCGTGGATCACCGCTACGGACAGGCGGAGATCGACGCGTTGTTTCCCATTTGGTGTTCCTACGAGGTGGATGAGGAATGCAACTGTATGCAGGTGGCCTCTCCATTGGGCATCCAGCCGTCCGCGGTGAAGCCCGCACTCGAGCGGCTGTCCAAGTTGCTGTGCTTTGACCACTACCTCGTCCCAGCAAATGAGCCGGCACGCAGCCTCGTCATGCTGACCTTTTCCCACTCCCTCGGTAGCTCGGCCCGAGTGGACTACTTTGAGTACGTGACGAAGTGGTCGCATCGCCACATCCTCTCGATCCCGCCCGAGTTTCCTGGACTGCTCGATTACTTCTCCACGAAGCGACGGGTGCGGAAACTCGAGGGCGAGATCGCGGTGGCACAACTGGCCGTTCAATCTATTCACGACACACCCGAAGTGCTGTGGGAAGTGCCGTGGCTGCAGGCGTATTACGACATGTCAGAGCAGCAAAATACCGTAGAGTCGCGCCTGTCGTGGTTTGCGTCGCGCAGCGACACGCTGTTGGAGCAGCTGAGTCACATCAAGGCGCGCCGCCATCGTCTGTTCATGCTCGGCTCGGACGTCTTTCTCATTGTGCTTCTGATTCTGGATGTGATGTTCATGACCTCCCGCCTCGTTGCGAAAATGTACTTTAAGGTGGAGGAGGATGATTAGGCGTAAACATTAACCGTGCGGAATGAAGTGGGTGTGTGCGACTACATCTAGCCAAACCTATCTTTACTATCATTGTTGTTCTTTCCCCGCGTGCCTTCTTTTTTTTTTCTTTTCTGCTTCCGAAGCGGTGAATGCTGATGTTGAGAGAGTAATCGGAACGCAGCGATGGGGCAAAGGTGACCACTGCCCTTCAACAGGCCCACACACGTGAGTCGACGTGCGCGTATACAGGAAGACGTTGTGAGAGACGCCGCGTTTGTGACGCATCACCAACAAAGTGCTCGTTTCGTGTTTTGCTTTGACTTTCGGCCTCGTACTTTCTCTCCTCTTCTTTCTTTTTCTTCTTCTGTCTTTGTCGCTTTCATGATCGGCGGATCGTTGTTCAACTAAGTGCACACTACGCAATCGCACGTACCAACTGTGGAGGCGGGCCGCTTCCTCTACGTCACGGTGCAGTGCCTTTCCACTTCAACGATTCTGTCTCTCTTTTTTTTCCCCTTTTCTTATCTTTCTTAGGCGGTGCCGTAATTCCAGCCGCAGAAACGTAGCATCACCATGTCGTCGGAAGCCAACAGCAGTTTCGTGTCCTCCTCATCGGCAGCGGCCGGGCAGCCGCTTGACCTCCGCGCCTTTACCTCCTGCTACACCGTCACAAAGCACTCATGGAGAGGAAAGTACACGCGCATCTTCGGCGTCGGTCCGCAGGGCATCGGCACCTGCAACGTGCGCTCCCTCACCAAAATGACGAACTTCTGGCCCTACACGCCGTCCCTTCGAAACGTCGCGGCGGACGGCGTCGCCGGCTGTCAGTTTCTGCTTCTCACACAGAGCAGCGGCGGCAAAACGGAGGAGCTGCGCTTCTCCTGCGGCAGTACACAGGAGCGGGCCAAGCTGCTGACGGATGTGAATCGCCACCGTGGCCACTTCGACGCGGGCTACCGCCAGGCGCTGGCGAAGCAGTCTTTTGCGGCGATGAAGTACACCATCAACGAAACCCAACGCGCGTGTACGCTGCGCGTGACGGCCATCGGAATTGAGCAGCTCACGCGGGTGGCGCAGGACGGACGCAGTGACTCCCCCGCTTCTACACCGCAGGCCGGCTCGTCTTCCCCAGCAAATGGAGGCGCCGTGTACGAAAAGGTCGGCGAGTACCTCTTTGCTGAGATTCGCGGCGTTACCTCGATCGAAGGCAAACCGACGAGCGTCGTCATCGCCGCAGGGACGGAGATGAAGATGCATCTGTACGAGGTGGCTGACACGAAGCGCTTCCTCGACTGCATCTACGCCTACGCGCGCGACGTCATTGGGCTGCCGCCGTACCCCCCAATGAACGTGCTGACGCAGGCGCTCTTCGACCAGGACCGCCTCGGCGTCCGCCGCGACAACCTGGAGGCCATCGAAGAGTTTGCCGTTTTAAAGAATTCGCCGAAGCTACGTGACGGGGCGGTGCGTCGTCTGCTCAGCACCACCACCATCGCCCTGGTGGAGCGCGATCCCGTCTCCTACAACCCAACCAGCGTGCATTTCCTCGCGTCGATCTTTGCGCTCGTGCGTTGCGAGGACGACGACCAACGCTTCTACGTCATCTTCAAGGATACATCGGTGCTGAAGTGCTACCAGTCCCCGGTACGCGACACTATTTTGGCGCACTTGGTGACCGCCTGCTACAGCTGCGGGGACGGCAACGTCAGCGTCATCTCGCGATCGCTGCAGCGCCGCAACCGTCTCTCCTCCCTCACCACGACGGTGACGGAAGAAGTGGAAAGCCTGCTGCTCAAAGGACTGGTGGAGGGTCGCCCGCTGGGGTCGACGGACAGCGGCACCGCGTCAGCTGCCAACGGCCCGGCCGTCGCCGCTGGTCTGCTGGCGTCGTTAGAGCTCTTCAACGCGAATGTGCCCCGCACGGGGCTCACCTGGAGCGAGAACAAGGACGGCCTCTTTGCGGAGAACCGGGAGAAGCTCATCTACAATGCCCTGGATGCCGTGCTGACGCACTTTACGTGGATCAAGCCGCCCGCGTCACCTGTGCCAGAGACCGCGTCCGCCCTCGATGCCGCCGATCCGCACTTCGTGATCGAGCAGTTTCAAGCACTCAGCCGTCTCTCGGTGTCACGCGTCGGCTTCAGCTCCATCGCCCTCGTGCCGGCGCTCTTCAGGGCCGCTGGCATCTTCTCGGTGCAAGCATTGCGGATGAACAATTTGGCCGTCTCCTTCGCGGTGATGGAGTTCCTGAACACGCTCATGACACCCTTTCACAACCACTACGAGATTGAGCACGAGTCTATCAACAAGAACCGGCTGCTCAGCGCGGAGGGCTTCGTACGCAGTCTGCTTGAGGTGCTGCGCGATCACATTCCGAGCGAGAGCGCGTCGCTGCTGGTACTGGAGCTGCTCTTCTTTTTTGAGTTTGCGCTGTGCCCGCCGTACAGCGAGACCACCGACCCGGCGCACTTCAAGCGGATCCTGCGAGACATGGTGGAGATCGTCGGCCGCCATCTTTTTCTCCTCCTGAGCCACACCTGCGACATTATTCGCTACACCGCGGGCCAGCTCATTCGTGTGGCGATGGAGGAGGGCGATGAGCAGCAGTTTGTGCGCATGCAGCAGCTCGCCATGTCGGAGGGCGGCCTGCTCACGCAGTTTAACACCGCGGTGTTCTCGTCAAATCGGAAGCTGCGTGATTTGGCGCGTCGCCTCGTCGCGTACTGGGCGTTTGGAAACGTCCCTACGCAGGATGTGCTGCGTCGCATGGTGCCCATCACGCTGCTGAACTTCCTGCAGTCCACCGACCCGGCCCCAAGCGAAGAGCAAGAGGAGGAGCGACGGAAAAAGGTGGCGCAAATGACATCGAAGTTCCGCGAGTCGCAGACGGGCTGGTTTAAGAAGTCGTTCAACCCTCTCGAGGCGACGCTGGAGGCGAGCGGTGGTGGTGATGCTGGTGCTGGCACAGACGTAGGCGCGGACGGCGGGCGGGTGCGCTACCGCGTCCGCGACGTCCGCGTGCGGCTAAACCTCAACTGGAACATGTTCTTCTACCAAATCAAGCGCGACCACCTCCGGCCCGATCTTATTTGGAATCACACCACCCGCAACGAGCTGAAGGCGGCGGTGCAGGCGGAGCTCGACTCGTTTCGGCACTACAGCGACATGCGGAGTGAGCGGATGGTGGCGTGGAACTACGCGGAGTTCGAGGTGGTCTACCACAGCCTCGACGGCGAGCTCAAGATTGGGCAGCACTACCCCCGCCTGCTGTTTGAGGAGGCCCACCCCGTGATTGCGCGTCCGCGGGAGTTCTTCAACGACATGTACCACCGCTTCCTCCTCGTGCAGGACACAAAAAGCAAACTCGAGTGTCTGCACGGGCTGGCGCTGCTCTGCAAGCACTACCCTGAGCAGATTGGAGAGTTTCACGACGTGCCCTATCTCCTGCAGATGCTGCAGGGCACGATGGACCCGATGATGCGGGACCGCCTGCTGCTGCTCCTGGCCCACCTGCTCCGGGCACGACACAACATCAAGCTCTTCCTCGACCACGACGGTCTCTCCCCGTTGATGGAGCTCGTCACTGTGGCCCACCTGCACATCGACCGCCCACAGCTCAAGTCGGTCTCAAACACGATCGAGTACGCAGGGCATCTGAAGGAGCTGCAAGGACAGGAAAAGGAGTGGCACTTCACCAAGAGCGGCGCGAAAGCCGGCCCGGTGTCGTTTGCGGAGCTGAAGGAGCTCTACAAGTCAGGCGAGGTGACTGCGACGAGTAAGGTGTGGGCACAGGGGATGGCGGGGTGGCGCGAGTTCCACTCCGTTGCGCAGCTGCGCTGGGGCATCGTCAGCGCCGACCTACCCTCTATATTGACCTTAACAGAAGTCACCTACACCGTGCTGGATATCTTTCTGCTGCTGTGTGAGCATTACCCCTCCGTGAACGGCGACGGCGCCGTGATGCAGCCGCAGCCGAAGGTGAAGCGTCTGCTGAGCAGCCCGTCGCTCCTGCCGCACCTCGTGCAGCTCTTGCTGACGTTTGACAGCGGCATCTGCGCCCGCGTGCACACGCTGCTCTTCACGCTGATGGAGGCGAACCCGTTTGTTGGCCGACTCTTCCTCACGGGTGCCTTCTTCTTTTCCTGTCTCTACACCGCCTCCGACGTGCTGCCCATGTGCCGCCTCCTCGCCGCAACACACCGACGCCAATCCTTCCAGTACACGCTGGCAACGAACGACTTGGTGCGGGACAGCATTCTGGCCCCTCTGCTGCCACCGGCGATGGTCTGCTACTTGACGCACCACGGCGCCGAGGCGTTCGCTGATGTGCTGCTCGGCGAGTACGACAACCCGGAGGCCATCTGGTCACCCGCGATGCGGCAGTACCTGGCTGGCAAAGTCGCCGCCCACGTGGCCGACTTCACGCCTCGCCTACTTGGCAACAACACGGTCGTCTATCAGTACTGCCCGATCGTCGGCGTCCAGTACGAGTCGCTGCAGAGGGAACTGTTTTGCAGTCAGTACTACCTCCGACACTTCTGCGATGAACTGCGCTACCCGAACTGGCCGGTGCGCGACCCGGTGCGCTTTCTCACCGACATCCTACAGCAGTGGAAGGAGGAGCTGAACAAGAAGCCGTCGACGCTGACGCGCGAGGACTGCTGCGCCATCCTCGAGATGCAACCACCACCCGCTGCGGCAACCGCAGGCGACCACGCAGCAGAGAAGAGCGCGAGCGACGGTCAGAACGACGGCCCGACAACTTCCACTTCCCGCGCCTTCGTCGCTGCTGCCGCGCCGTCGTCGCTGGCATGGCAGCCGTCCAAGGCAGAGCTGCGAAAGGCGTACTACCAGCTCGCTGCGAAGTACCACCCCGACAAGAATCCAAACGGGCGGGAGACCTTCGAAAAGATTCAACGCGCGTATGAATACCTTGTCGCCGACACGGTGGAGTCCAGCGCACCCAACCCGGAGAACATCTTTTTGCTGTTAAAGGCGCAGTCCATCCTCTTCAAGCGATGCGGCGTCATTCTGCAGCAGTACAAGTACGCCGGCTACGATCTCCTGCTGCGCTTAATCGAGTCGGAGTTCCGTAGTCCGGATGCGCTGCACAAGCCGATCGTACTCCTCGACCCCGCGACGGAGCTGTGCTACTTCACGATTCGCAACGCCCCCTTGAACGCCGATGAACTGCAGGAGGAGAACGGCATGCACCTTCTCGCGGAGATTGCCACCTACTGCTTTGACTTCATCACCCCAAACTCGAAGGATGCGGAGGTGCACGTGCGCATCGCAAAGCACTGCATGCTGACCTTCTCCATCAGCGCACGCTTCACCGACTGCCGGCTGAAGATGTTACGGGAGAGCAAGATCGCCTACCTCACCGCGAAGGGCATAGCGTACTACCAGGCGCCAGAGCTCTCGCGTGCGTGCACGGAGGCCTGCGCCAGCGAGTCGCGCAGCGAGAAGATGCAGTCGGAGCTGATCCAGTACGGCAGTGTGTGGCACCTGCTGCAGCCGCTCTTTGCGTACGACGCATCCCTGGAAAAGGCCGGCGTGGAGCTCACGGAGGAACATCACAAGCAACTCTTCGCGAATCGTGCAGCCCTGTTCGCCCTTCGCGCCACTTACGCCATCACCGGCATTCCGCGCCCCGTTCCGGTCATCAAGATAAAGACCGATGAAGCGACAGGGCAGCTATTGTCGAGCCCGATTGCATCGAGCCAAACTACTCCTGCGCCGGTGGGCGACGACCACACGAACAGCGGCGACGAGGTGGTAGTGACGACACGACATCAAGGGGTGTACCGTGTGCTGCGACAGCTGCTGACGCCATTCATTCTGCACAAGATGGAGAAGCAGCCAGACAGCGAGGCGGAGGTGCTGGCGCTGCTGAACAGCAACTCAGAGACGCCGTACTTTCTCTGGAACAACTCCTGTCGAGCGGAGTTGGAGGAACTGCTTTCCACCACATCGGAGCAGTTCCGCGAGGCGGCCTACGGCGCTACCGACCTGCCATCGCTATCGTCGATTGTCAGCAACTTTACCTACTCGCTGCACGCGAAGGAGGTCGTGGTGGGCGGCGTCTTTCTGCGCCTCTTCATCCAGCAGCCGAACTTCCCGATCCAAAACGCTGCTGGTTTCTTTATGGCGCTGCTGGAATTCTTGCTGGGCACGCAAGCCGCCGATGGCGTGGGGGCGGGGGCGGCGGGAGCCAAGGAGGAGGATGCGAAATCCGGCGCGGAAGCAACCGTCTCCTCAGCCATTAAGCAGGCGCCGTTGCTCGCTGCGCAGTCGCTGCGCGTTCTCACGAGTGGTTACACCGAGTTGCTCGCACCCGTCGCCGCGCAGCGGATGACCGCCCTGGTACTTTTACTGGGTGTGCGGGTGGGCGACGGGGACAAAGAAGAGGTGAACGGCAGTCCGATCGAGGTCTGCGATGCGGAAACGCGCGCGAAGTTGGTGCTGGAGGTGGTGCAGAGCATGACGAAGCTTCTCAGCTTCGATGTGTGCGTGCATGCCCTCGCCGCCGTCGACACCGCCATGACCGCCGTCACCTTGTTTACGCAGCAGTGCCTGCGCGACGCGGAGGATCGCAACCGTTCACCGCCTGCCGAGGAGTCGATGGCGGTGCTGGCGCTGGTGCAGGCAACGATGGTGCACCGCACCTTGGTGCAGCAGCTGCTGGACCGTGGTCTTTACGTAGTGCTCTTGTCGCTCTACGCCACCACGACCAGCGAGGAGGTTCGTGAGGAGGTGTGCCGGTGCCTGGGCAAGGCTTTTGCGGAGCGCCTCGTTGGACCGCAGATCTTCCTGCGCTCGTCGCGTTTTTTGCCGGTGGCCTTCTTGGAGATGATGAAGGACAACGTGCGACAGGCGTGTCGGATGCTGGACACGTGGCAGGAGAATCCGGAGCTGCTGTGGACGAAGCCGCAGAAGGAGGACTTAATTGCGCAGTTGAAGGCAGCACGCAGGGAGGTCGAGGCAGCACTGCGCGCAGACCCGCTCGCGTGCTGGAAGCCGGCCCAGACGGCTGCAGATGGCGCTGTTGATGCAAGCAGCGGCACGACCAGCGGAGCGGACGGCACCGACGCGGCTGCTCGACGCCTGCGACAGCTTCAGGTGGGTGGCGTGTACGTGGCGCTCTACGTGCAGCAGCCCGGTTGGGCGGTGCGGCATCCAAAGGACTTCCTCATGGCGCTGCTCGAGCGCTTTGTGAAGGAGGCCGACAGGGCCACCGTCACGTGGTCCACCTTCTCCAACGATGTCGTCGAGCTGCTGACGAAGGCCGGTGAGGTGCTCCTGCGCAACTCACCCGGTCTGCGGGACTACTTGGCGTCCCTCGGCTACGGCGGAAAAATGCTGCGTCTGCTCCCTCCGCCGGAGAAGGGCACGTCGAACGACATCGTCGTCAAGGGTGCCCTTCAGTGGCTGCGAGAGATGAGCCGCTCGGCCGCCTGCGTGGAGTCGACGTGCAGCACGGTGGACGTCTTTCCGCCTCTCCTCGCTGTACTGCAGCAGCATCCCAACGTCACCATGGATACGCTGGAGGTGCTGGAGGGGTTTTTCAGCAACGCCACGCGACGCTCGCGCCTGCTCGAGCACGCGGTGCGCGATCGCCTGCCCGAGACACTGCTGCGCTACCTGGAGGAGGGCCTTCCCGATTCCGCCAGCGCAGCCGCTGGAGTCAGCGCCGCCACCATCCGTGCCGCGCTGGTGAAGGTCATCAAGGCCCTGCTGGCCTCACCAGACGACGTGAACACGCCGCGCATTGCGGAGCTGCTTGACCAGAGCCCGGTGTGGGCGAAGTACAAGCACCAGAGTCACGACATGTTCCTCGCGCAGACGCAGTTTGCCGGGTACTTGACCTCCGGCGACCGCCCAGGGCCAGCCGCTGCCACGTTGTCCTTGACAGCGCCAACGGCGACAACGGACGCCAACACGCGAGCAGAACCGCCGCCGGTGGATGATCACTCGGGTGTGCCGCCGCCTCTGTAAACACAAAAACAAAAGGTGGCCCTTGGATTGTGGCCATTGCTTCAGCCATTCATTTTGTGTAGTTGCTTTGATTTTGCCGTTGCGCTTGTAAAGCGCCTCTCTTTGCTCATTTTTTTTCTTCTCTGTTAACTTGCACCTGCCGTATTGTTTTTTGCGTGTGATCTGTAAATCGCGGTTGTGATGTGGGAGGTTGTCTCTCTCGCTCTCGTTCTCTCTTGTTTTGTTTTTCTTCTTTTATTGATATCGGACTTTTGTTCTTCTTGCCCGTCTCGTTTTGTGTGAATTCGAAACGCGTTGCACACGGCTTGAGCGACGGAAGAGCGACGCCAACCGCCGCTGCCGAGCACTTTGACCCCTCCGCCTGGCGTGACCGCACGAGAAGTGTTCGCGCTTTTTTCATCGTCGTTGTTCTTCATTCAGTCGAAAAGAGATGCTTCGGGTCTCTACTGCTTTTCCCTTTGAAAAGTGAGAGAAAAGGGAAAGTAAAGCGAAATTCCTTGTTTGCACTTCTCTCTCTTCTGTTTCCCTTCTCCTTCGGCTCTCCGCCACCTCTTGCCCTTCACCTAGAGATTTTTTTTACGCCTTCTCGCCGACTTCCAAAAAAAAGAAAAAGCCTCATCCAATTCTCTTTTGCCACCGCCAGCTATCTGTTTTTTTCATCTCTTTCCTTCTTCGCCTCTCAGTGCCTTTCTTCTATCTCCCCGCAGGAAATAGAGATCTCGATCTGAAAGGAGAAAAAGAATCCAACTCGCCGCTCTCCTTCACGTCTCTCTTCGAAAGAAATATATACACGTATTTATCTACTCAAAGAGTCACTTCACCCGAGAGAGAGATCGCCTTGCAGACCATGCAGCTCCCCCGCATCCCGTCCTACGAAGAGGCCAGCATGGCCGCCGGAGAGTACCCCACCTCGCCGATGTCCCCGTTCGGTCACCTCAGCAAGAAAATCGATCAAACGAAGCTCAAGACGAAGGTGTGCCGGTACTACCTGATCGGCGCGGCCTGCCCGTTTGGGGAGAGCTGTGCCTTTTCGCACAGCGAGGCCGCCATGGCCTCCCCGCCCACGCCGGCGTTCCCGACGGCGTCGTCGGCGAAGGGCACCGCGAGCATCTCCTCGGAGGACCTGTCCAAGTCGGGCAGCGCCAACGCGAGCGACACGCAGTCCAACGGCGACGCGGCGGAGGTGCCGGAGCGGGTGGTGTTTGGGCAGCCGCCGCCGGCCTACGCGGAGGCCATGAAGGAGGCAGAGGGCTTGGCAGCGGCGGAGGTGGTCGCGGCGCCGCCCACGTACCCGAAGCGCTTCCGCTTTGACCCCTACAGCGCAAACTGGATCACCTACGAGAAGTCCGCGTAAAAAAGGAAGAGGAACAATAATGCCGTCGAACGTGAAATGAAAAGTAAGTTCGCGAGAAACTGAAAAAGTTGACGATGATGCTGATGAGCAGCTGCGACACGGACTCGCGAGAGTGAAGTCGCGGGGCGCGTGCGTCCCACTGCGATCGTCAAGGCCGGCCATGAAAAAAGGAAAGGCCACGCGACCACGGTGACGCCAAGGGAAGAAAAAATGAAAACGAGAACTTGCACAGGGGAGGAAAAAAGAAATTCTATGCAACCAGTGAACACGCACACAATGCACCATGTGCGTACAACACGCACACCCACACAAATAGTGAACGTCGCAGAACACACATGTGCACGTGCGGAAACAACTATACAATTGCCAACGCTACTCCACCTTTTTTTTTCGCATTGCTGTTTCTTTACGAATGCATATACATATATGCGTGTCCACTTTCTGTTGTTGCCATTCGACCCGCTTTTCTGGCTTTCCACGGCTCACCCGTGTCGAAAAGGAAGACAAAGAGAGGCAGATAGCGTGTTGCGTCACATATATGTATTCGTTTACCCTTTTTTTATTGTTATTGCTTTAACGCATGTATTGGGTACAGCCTTTTGCGGCCGCTCGTGTTACGCGAGAGCAACGGGATACCCCAACCATCGTCGAAGATCGTGGAGCCCTTCTCCTTGGTGGCCAGCGATGCGTTGGAGCTTCGCCGTCTCCTTATTTTTTTTTCTCAACTCCTCGCGATTCACTTGTGTTGTCGATGTCGCGTATATATGTTGTTGCAATGGCGGGTTTCCGCGCCGCGTGTGAGTTTTCGTCGGCTTCCATTGTTTCAGTTTCCTTTTTTCCCTTTCCTTCATGATGTTCTCATTTTAAAAGGGTGCTTGTGTGTTTCACTGCGTTGTCGTCGTGCTTTCTTCCTCCTCTTCTCCAATTCCGTCTTCGCTTTTCTCTCCTCTGACGTCCTTCTCGCTTAGTCATTCGTGCGCATCTCATCACGTGGGCGTGCTTCTTTTCATCCCCCCTCTCTCTCTTTTGTTTTGCTGTCTTTTTTTCTTTCTTCTCCTTCTTCCCTTCTTTGTTTCCATCGATTAACACACCGCTCTTTTCTTGTTTTGTATTGTAACTGTGAAGCCTTCCCTTTTTTTTATTCCCGTAACTGTGTTGTGTGTATGCTTTCTCGTATCTTTACTTTGTCGTCTTTCGTGGAGTTTCGTTTTCGTTTCTTTGCTTGCCCGCACACACGAACACACACACACGTATACTTCTATGTGATGTGTGTTTGTCGCGCATTTGTTTGCTCCGCGCTCACTTATGCAACATAGGGTTCTTTTTTTTGTTTTCTGTTTTAAAAAGCTGATTGCTGAGTTGCACACCTTTGTTATTATTATTATTATTAGGATTTGTTGCTGATCTACTCGATGTCGTTGTTGGTGTTTTGTTTTCTCTTTCGCTTGACACTCCTCGGTTTTTTCTTTTCTCTCTTTTCTGAAGAAGTTCTCGTTGTCTTTCCTCTCCCTTTATACAGCTCGTTCCTGTGTTTGTTGTTCAAGTTTTCGTGTAAAATATGTTAGTGACGCTGCTCTCGTTTCTTCTCCACCTCGCCGACTGGTGCTTTGACTGTATCCTCTTATTGTTATTTATTTATTTATTTGTCTTTTATCTCCCTCCCTTTCTGTGTTTTTCACAGCGTCCAACGCCGCCTCCCGTGCACCGTCATCACTTCCTTCTGAATGTACCTCCTATGTGCCTCTTCTCCCGCAAGCAATGAACGCACCAACACCCGAAGAAAAGAAATCAAAACGCAGAACATTTTAATAGCTCGTTTTTCTCTTTCAGCTGCGAGAGAGGCTTTTACGGTGCACCCGGAAGATGAATGGACGACTACTTTCTCCGTCTTCTCTTTGCTCTCTTGGCTCTTTGTGTGTGTGTTTCTCGTGTTTCTTATTCTTATTCTTGTTTCGTTTCCTTACCCAGTCAAGCCCTCTGTTTACATGACTATCCACCGAACCGCACGAAAGACAAAGAGCAGCGTTTTTTTGTTTTTCTCTGTTTTCTTCTCGTTTCACTTTTTGTTTGTTTGCCTGTAGCCCGTCTTCACTATCCTGCGCCTCCGTTGTTCTTGTTCACCTTCGGTACGCACTCTCCCTCTCCCTGTGCCTCTCTGTTATATCGAAAAGAGGAGGTTGAGCTGCACGGCTATGGGAAAGAGTCTCCTTTCTCTCTCACTGCATCACAAACTCCACCCCCAATGAAGTGGGAACTCCAGCTGCTGAAATCGTGAAGGAGAAATGCACTTTTTTTTTTCTCTCTCTCTCCTCTGCTGAAAAGGGGTTTTCTCCTCATCAGTGGCGGTTATGTTGACCTGACATGACGTTTGCTTTCGTTGTTGTTTCCTGTATTGCGGTTTATACTGCGTTCGTCGCCTGCCGTCTACTGTTTTCTGTCTGTCTGTGTGTGTGTGTGTGTGCGTGTGCGTCCATGATGGAGTGCCGCCGCACGGCAGAGGACACAACACGCTCTCTCGGCGAGTCGAAACCATTTCCTCTACTGGGCTTTTGAGGCCACGGATACAAAAGGAAAAGAAAAACAAGAATCGGAAACGTGACGGATCAGGGCAACATGGACCGCCTGCTGCCGGGGTGCGAAGCAGAAACCCGTCTTCAGTGATGATGGAGACGCACATACACACTCCTTTTTTGTTTTTCTGAGCGACGCGAAGAGATGCTTGGGTAATGTATTCTTCTCCCTTTTTGCAAAGGATGCCTCTTGTCTCCTCCTTATCCAACGTGCTTTCCGCGGTTTCTCAAGGTGTTGTGTATCTTATTTCTTCTCTCTTCTCGTATGTGCAGCGTTGCAGCAGCGAGCGGCAAGAAGAACAACGGGACGGATGAAGCGCCTTCTCTCTTTTCATTTTTTTTTCTTTCTCGGTGGTTCTTAATTTCATGCTGCTCTTCTTTTTGTTTTTCTTCATCTCTCTTCCCCACCTCAAAATGGAAATCTGTTACTGTTGCGAGTCGTTGGTGCTGGTTCACGTTTGTGAGGTATCTTGTGTCGTGGTTCTTCTTCGTTTAGTGCGGCCTTGTTTTCCTCCCCCACCCTACCTCTTTCCTCTTCCTCCCCCTTTTGAAAGAAAGAAACTCCGAGGCTGTGCGGCGCGTACCCGGTAGGATGGTTATCCTCTATTTTGCCTTTCCTAGACACAAAAGAAAAATGTGGCGTTTCTCGTCCTTCAGCCTTCTGCAAATGTACGGTCTTACATACTGTGACGGCTTCAACGCTACACTGCTTATTAAGTTTGTCGTTTAAAGATCGTCTATATTTCTTTTTTGTTTCTAAGCGCTTAAAGTTCCTCGAGTAACCACTACCTCCAACGTTTAAAGCACTTCACGAAGTCCAAGAGTCCCTTCACACACCAATGCGTGTCTCCTCGAACGAAAACCCCCAAAAGGAAAACCGTCTTGGCATCAGTCTTTGTGTTTCTTAACAGACAAGGACGAAAGTGATGATGTTCAAACAACGACGAAAAAAAAAATGGGTGGCAGCAAGCGAAGAGGTTTCATCTCTCTGCTGTATTCGATTTGTTTTTTTTTGTTTTGTACAGGCAGATCACCCCATCGCGTTGCACTCGAACTACGTTTTCTACAGCAACTGCATCTTCTGTCGGTGATGGCGAAGACGTAAATCGATCATTCATCTTTAAGTCCTCTTTTTTTCTTCGACATTTTTTGGTTGTTCGAAGAACCAGGGAAAGAGATGATTGTTGTAATCTGTGATCATTTACTCTTCTCTTCTTCTTCTTTTTTCCGCGTAATCGCGGACGGGCATCGACAACGGTAGCACAACGCTCGCAACATGTAAAAGTCACACCACCCGTAACTGTTCTCCTCTAGGAAGGAGAAAGGAAAACAAGAGTACAAGGGAGAAGGCCCGTTCTCCACAGCTGGAATAACACGATATATGTGAAACTTATACGTACCACCTTTTTTCCCCTTTATCTTTCTTTTTGTGTTTTTGTCAAAGGTGTTTTTCTATAACCTTACGTTGTCTATTACTATTATTATTATTACTCGACTTCACGCACAGCTTTCAAAAAAAAATTTCTCTCTTGCTTTTTTTTTTCCCGTTACTTTGTTTGGTGTTTTCGGCAACCGGTTTTCTCTGCTTTTTGGTTCCCGCGCGCTGGTTTTTGATGCTTGTAACACACCCCTCACCTCCTTTCCTTCCCTCTCTCCGTGGGCTTTCGTGGGTTGTGTTGGTAGCCACTGCTACGCCGTGTCCTCCCCACGACCATCGCGACAACCGGCGAGCACTCCAGCACGGAAAAAAATAAGAATTGCACCACCAACCACAACAAAAGAACACCGACACCAAAGGATGAAAAAGCAGCATCAACAACGATGACGGAAAAAAGAAAATGGAATTCCACTTCACACACAAATTAGTTTTTATTTTATTTATTATTATTTCCTTTTTTTCTTCTTCTTTCCACGACAATCCTAACCGAAACGGAAACGCAAAGGCGCACCGCATTTTTGTAAGCAATACCAAAAAAAAAAAGAAGATAGTTAGAATAGAGTGGGCCTCAACGAGTTTCATGGTGAAAAGCAAAGAAACGATTGTTCTTTAAAGATTCTCAAAAGTTTCTCCGGCCCCGCTCGGCAAATTCCGAAATGAAAATCGATACAAAAGAACGCATCCCTTCTAGCCCAATACTCCTTGTTTGTTTTTCACCTTTATACAGGATCACTTGTACGACCATCAGTTCACCTTATCTTTTAGCTCCTCCTCCTCTACACCTTTGCTGTTGTTGAACGCCTCTCCTTGAAAAAGAAAAGGAAATATGGAGGAAAGCAAGGTGGAATCTGAAGGCGAGACTGGAAGAAGCCTCTCCGTTCATGTTGACGTTAAGGGTTTCTTTGTTTTTTTTTTGCTGTTGTTGTTGTATATGCAGGAGAACTGCTGGTTGGGGTGGGCGTCTTCGTTTCGAATCTCGAGAATGCGAGCGGGTGTGCGTTGAAGCAGACAAAGGTAACAGATCTTAATATATCGTTTTCAGTTAATTTAAACAGCTCAATTCGTTGACGACAGAAAAGAGATAAGCAGAGAAGATTGAGGTTGTTCATAACAAATATATATATATATATATTTATTTATTTATATAGTTAATATTAAGGAGACTCACGTGAAGTCGATTGAGGGAGATTACACAACGGAGTCCGGCTGGCCGTCCCACGGGCGTCTACAGCGCAACTGCGTTGGATCATGTAGCTACAGATGCTTGTTTCAGGAGCTTTCGTTGATATTCACACCTTTGGGCGCTCTTTTTTTTCCGCTGCAAAAGAAAGAAATGGATGCCTTTTGAACGCTTTTTTTCTCTTTCGACGGGGGTTGAGGACGAAGGCAGCAAACGGAGCCGCAAAAAGGTGTGTTAAATCAAATCGGAAAAAAATGTCTTCGGAACTTGCAGAGACCACTTCAACGACGCATTCATGTGTGCTTTTCGACTTTGATTTAAACTTTTATTATTACTAGTACTTTCTTTTGCTCACTTTGTATTTTTCTACTTTTTTTTTCCTCTACGATTCTCTTTTAAATATTTCTTTTCTCCGGTTCTGCCTCAGCGTAAACCATACTCCAAAACAACAACGAAAAATGATCATGGAACACGGATAGATAGTCCAGCTGGAGTACGTGGAGTGCATCGGCGCTGTGTTTCTCGTGCTTTCCTGCTCCTTGCTGTTCACCTTCATGGCCGCGTTCTTTTTTGGTCTTCTTTCTTTCTTTAACTTCTCTCCCGCCGCTGGAAGGAAGAGAAGAAAAGGAGTGGTCGGATGCTGGACGGCGAGGAATCAACTGCCTGCGTGGGCCCTGCAAGAAGGGTGCCGACAGAGCTGCGGCAGCATGACAGCGCGTTGGGTCTTCAGAAAGGTGGGGGAGGAAAGAAAAAAAAACCCGAGGCTACTTTACTTCTGGTGCTGTGCTGCTGAAGAAGGAGTTCAGAAACACCGGAGTTCTTTTCTGAGCACTTCGTACGTGTCGCGCGAGAAAGAAGATGTTTTCTTTTTCCTCTCCTTTACTCTCTGTTGTCCTCTCCTCCTCTCTCTCTCTCTCTCTCCCTCTCTTCTTTTCTTTGTTCTCCAACCACGACACTGTTGCGTCGGCCCTCGCACACTGAAACAGCCATTTAAGCATTAACTTCTTCCTATCCTCTCTCTCTCACATAGTTTCTTTTTTCGTTTTCATTTTCCTCCAGTCATAACTCATACTATTACTACTGCTGATTTCAAGATCCTTTCTCTTCTATTTCTGTGTTCTTATTCATTTCGCATTCTGTATCTGACACGCACTCCACCGAGCTCACCACTTCTCCTTGACCGCGAGTACACCAGAAAGTAATTCAACCGATCATCATGAAGCACAACGCTGCTCACACGCCGGGTGCGCAGAGCTCTGCACTCGGCCACGAGCCCACGAAGCCCACGCCGGTCCACGACGGCAACAAGGAGGAGGCGAAGGGAAAGCCCCAGCTCACGAGCAGCCGCATCGACTCTACCAAGTACAAGACGAAGCTCTGCCGTCACTTCGCACGCGGACTGCCCTGCCCCTTCGGCGAGCACTGCGCCTTTTCGCACGGCGAGGATTTAGCCACGATGGGCCCGAAGGACCTCACCTCGATGCCGACCTCCCCGCTGAATACGAAGGCGCGTTGCTACACCCCCGAGACGGCGAGTCTAACGGGGGAGGACGGTAACAGCATGGAGAACAGCGCCCACTTCCGCGTGCGCTTCCGTTCGTTGTCACGGTCGCACTCGCAACAGCACATGCAGCCGCCGCCGTCGTATGAGGCTGCCGTGACGACCGCCGAGGGCGCGACGTCGTCAGCAGCAGTCCCTCCGCCGTCCTACCCGCGTCGTTACCGCTTCGATCCTTACAGTGCTGACACAATTGTTTATGTGCGCGGCTGAGGCGGAGGTGCTTTCCTTTCGTTCCTTCACTGTTGCTGTAACGCAGGAACAAACAAACAAAACGGAAAGAACACTCTCACAGACGCCTGCTCACAAAGTGGCATGCACTGGTATACTTTTTCTAGGTTCGTTGGGCACTGAGTGGCGTAACGACTTCTCTTTATTTGCCTTTGTGTGTATGTGAGAGTGCGCTGAACACGGCCCCTCTCCACGTCTATCTTCTTCTTTTCCTCTCATATGGGTTTATTTCACTGTGTTTTTTTCTTCCTTTTTAAAAACACCATTTTCTGTGTTTGTATGTTTTCTGGTTGTCTTCGTACGATACATTGAGTTTGACAGCCTTCCCACGTCGCCTCCCTAACGAGTGTTCCATTCACTCCACCATTCTTTCCTTCGCTTTCTTGCTTGTTTGTGTGCCTCCTGTATTCCAACGCGTTCTCACGGACGTGAGTTTTTGAACGTGCGTGTAACTGCGACGCATTTGGTGTTTCGCCCATTTCTGTGTGTGTGTGTGCGTGTGTGTGTGTGTGTGTGCGGATCACGTCCATGTCACCCACCTTTTTCTTAACCAGCATCGCTACCATTTTTTTTTTTTAAATCTTCTGTGGTTCTCTTTTTGATCTGTCCTGTTTTATCTCTCTCTCTCTCCCATGCAGAAAACAAAACTTCCCGGAGACGAACGTGCGGGCTGCTGTTTTCCCAATACGTTTCCTATTCTGGTGTATTTCGGTGATGATGCTTGGATGATCTTCGCACCGTAGAGAAGAAGTGAAGAAGCACCAAACGCCGACTTCCACGTTTCCCATCTTTTAAGCTCCCTTCCTCCCACCGCCCCCAGTCCCTTTTTTTGTATTTTGTTCTTGGGACGTTAGCTTGCTTTGCTTCGTTGCATTACGCTCTCCAGCACGTCACGCGCGAGTTCTCTCGATTGTGCATTCAAGGAGAGTTTTTATGGACTCTTCAGCGGAACGGAAAGCACCTGCTTTCTCTGGCAGGTTTTTTTTCCCCCTACCTTACCTGTTACCAATTTCTTATATCTTTTATTATTATTATTATTATTCCGTGTGTGTGTCTGTGTGGATATCGTTTTCTCGTAAGTGTGACCTCGGTCTTTGGTTCTCCTTTATATTGTATATCATGGGTCAGATTGTGAGTCCCGCCTTTCTTTTGTTTTTCTTTTTATTATTATTTTTTTTTTTGAAGGAACGAGAGTTATTTTACTGCGGTAGTGCAAAAGCGATTTACTGTATATATCTATTTGTGTAGCCACCTTCTTACTTTTGCCCTTGTGGGGAGACGCCCTTCGAGCGGGGGAATGCGCTGAAATGAACGGATTCGAGCAGCTTTATTCCTACTGCGGTTCGTCGTGTTGCTTCTTCCCCCCCCACACACACACCGGTCTCGGGCTCAACCAGTATTTTGATCATTAGTATTAATTTTTGACTTTCTTTCATTTCTACTTTCGCCAAAGACCTTTTTTCCCCGTTTCTTTCCTTGCTTGTGGTCCCCGGTGCTCTTGTACGTGTACCTGGCGGGCTCAACCTTCTTTTGTTTTTGTGGTTTGTTTCCAAAAACTGCCATTGACTGTTTTACTAAGAAGAAGAAGGAGAACGGAAAGGACAGGTGTTGTTGGCTGCTTCATCGGAAACGTGAGCATTTACAGAGAGAACAGAGAGAAACAACCAAAACGGGCAGGGGATCGGGGTTATACGACGTGGAAAGCCTGCTCGATGCGCAATATCGTATTCGTGTGTTGCCTTTCATGCCTTCCATTCGACCTGAACGTTGAAACATAGCGTGGTCTCGCTCAACTGCGTGCACCTGCACCGATCTTACGGCAGGCGGTTTCCTCTCCTCTTTTTTGTTCGTGTGTGTGTGTGTTTGTGTTTCTCTTGCTTTCCGTTCGTTCGATCACCCCGCCAGGATTCTTCTGGGACACGATACCGGCGCGCGTGGTAACAACTGTCAAAAAAAGAATGATTGTCCTTTTCCAAAAGGTGTGTTTCTTCCTCCGCTTTTCTTCTTCTTCGCGTGTGCGTAGGTGTGTGGATACACAGCAAAGAGACGGGGAGGGGGAGAGCGAGACGCGGGTGCATGGATGTGAGGGACGTTGTCGGACGTTGCGGTAGATCATAACGTGAATGACAACCACCTACTCGAAGCCGGCTTCTCGCTCTTTCTCTCTTTTTCTGCCTTTCTTCCATTGCGAGTAGACACTTCACGTGCTGCCAAACCTCCATGTATGTATGTATCTACCGCAACGCTTTGTTCCTAACTCTTGCGTTTTTTTATTTTGTTTTCTTTCCCCGACAGCAGTTCCTCTGATGCTGCATTTGCAGCTCCTCAGTCGAAGGAGTTTTAACGATCGTTTGAATCTTTGTTTCTTTTTCTCGGCTCCTTACAGAACTGTTATATGTTTAAGTTACAAGTCGTCTCGGCACGTACCACATTTCCCCCTTTTCTTCCTTTTTTCTTTTTGTGGTATGCTTCTGCTCATACGCGTACACGGCTTAGGTCTTCCTTGATTCATGTCTGGGCGTTCCGCAGTTGCCACCCTCGAAGCGAGATCGTCCTTCTCAGAACCAACACCTCTTTCCTTTCTTTAAGGGGTTTTTCTTTTCCGTTTTCACTATTGTTATTATTATTATTACTCTTTTTCACACTGTTTCTGTCTTTGTTTGTTTGTTTGTTTGACGCTGAGTATCTTTGTGTTTTTTTTTCTCTCTCTCTGCCTTTCTCTATCTCCATTTTGTTTCTGTTATTCCTAAATTTCCACCCGGCTGCCTACGCGACGCCACGCCAGCGAGGCTCACCGAGCCTCCCATGCATCTCCTTGCGGAGTTGCGCAGCTGCTCACGTAGACACATTTCTTTGGACCCGTACACACACCTAAAAAGAAAAACACTTGAGAATTGTCACACACACACACACACACACGTTTATTATAAGGGACCACAGTATCTTGCCGGTGGTCGTGCTCGTGTCGATGAGGTGCTCGGTGAGCATTCAGGCTGTAGCACCGCCAATGCGGGGCTGCTGATGTACATCACGATCTTTCAGCGGCGTGCGTCAGTTACCGCCTTTGCAAACGAGGTTTCGTCTCGGCGAATATGAAAAGCCACGTCGATTGCAGACCCGTATGAGAGTCTGTTTACGCCTGAAAAGAAGGGAGAAGAAATGAAATATACGCCACGCATTATTCCCCCTTGTGTCTATTCTTCCTCATGCCCCTCCCTCCCCCCTCATCCCTCTTCGCTTGTGGCGCAGCTGCATCACGTTACCTCGCTGTAAACTGCCGTTCTTTAAAGAAAAACACCCATTTCTCGCTGTTTTTTTTTTTTATAGCATCATCGAAAGTGTTATTGCTTTACTGTTTCATCTTCAGTACTACTCCTTTTCCCATGAAAGACGACATCTCTTTATAAGTTTTGTATGTTAAGTATCGTACATTTTTTTTTTCATCATTATTCCTCTTGCTTTTCCTTCTTGCTGTTGATGGGAACAAATACTTCGACTACGAGGTGCGTAATCATTTTAGCTTCGTCTTTTGTCTACTGGCACGCGCTGTTCGCTGCCCCCATAAACCTACTCTTTTAGAGTAGCCGCTTTGTTTTTCTTTCGCCTTTTCTCTCTCTCTCTTTCTTCTGTTTCGTTTGGTTCCCTCAAAATACCCCTAGGCAGCACGCCCTCCGCGTTGTTCTCCTCCTCACCGGTTCCGTTACTATTATTATTCTTTGCTGCCTCACGAATCTTCATCACCACAAAAACAAAAAAGGAACCAAAGAAAGATCAATTTCCGCCGTGTTTGTGTTGTCGTTCACGTCTCTCCCCGTACTCCTACCCCCATTGAAATACTTGTGCTGGTTCATTCCGCTTCACCTCGTCTCTCTTCTGACACGATATTTATCCCAAATGCTCTCATCACAGGAGTTGGAGCAGCTGCTCAAGCACACCCAGTACAACAATTCGTACGAGGACGACAGCGACGGCGACCAGGACGCGGAGCCCGCCCTACCGATTTGCCTCCCCGCCCCACTGCTGCTTGTCGGCGATGGCGACTCCAACCCGTGCGTCGTGGCCGCAACGGCGCTCCCCCTTTCTGGCAGTCCCCAGCCCCCGCTGCAGGCCTGCGAGCGAGAGAAGTTCGTCGTCAACACGACCGAGAAAGAGTCCGAGTTTGTGTCGCAGAGCGAGAACAACATCTCAGACACCCCTCTCGTAGCGCAGCCCAGCGGGCCGCACGCCCCTCCGCCGTACACACCCGCCGACAACGCCCGCGTCGCGGCCGAGATGGACTGCTGCTCGGCGATCGAGAAGGCGAAGGTGAAGACGGTGATGTGCCTCAACTACATGCACGGCCGCCGCTGCCGCTTTGGGGCTCACTGCGCCTTTGCCCACGGCGCCGACGAGCTGCGCCAGGCCCCGCCGGAGATGATGGCGAAGAAGCAGGCCATCGTCACGAGCACGAAGCCGCCGCTGACGGCGACACCACCGCCGAGTTACCGCGAAGCCCTCGCCGTCCCGCAGGTGGAGTCGCCGGAGTTGGGCGCCATCCCCGCCTACGAGGAGGCTCTCCGTGAGCAGCACGAGCACTTGCCCCCTCCACCACCAACGGAGGCGTTGCTGTCGATGCAGATCGATGCAGACCCGGCGGTGCAACACGCGTCGTCGGCGAAACGGAGTAGCGGCTTTCCAGGCCGTCAACGTCCGCAGGGAAGCGGTGGCAATGCGCGGATGATCAAGTCGAAGCTCCGCCATGTACGGCGCTCGCCTGTCTAGAAGAGACGTATAACAACAGCGTTAGCAAACAAGATCATTTTTATTGAGCTCACCGAGTCGAGGCGAGCGTGTCTCTGTCCTCGCTGTGCTCTCCCTTTTTTTTTCTACTCAGTTTTCGCCTGCACTCTGAAAGGTATTAGGGCTTATCTTGACGTCCGCGTTTTTGTTTCTTCTACCACAAGAATAGAATAGTTTATCGCATCAGTGTTTTTCTGATCTTTTCGTTGGCGTGTCTTCTCTTCTAATCTCTCTCTTTATTTTCCTCGTTTCGCATCTGTTTTCGTAACTGTTTTTTGTGGTTTCTTTTTTCTTTGTTTATGTAGCTGCAATTACTCTGCAAGGACGGCGAATATTGGCGCGCTTCACGTGGAAGAAAAACGAGGCCCTTCCTACATCCTTACTCACGTGTTGTAAAGGATGGCGGTTGACGTGCTTAATGTCTCTTTTATTTTCCGTTACGTTACTTTGTTGCCCCCTTTCCCATACCGCGGTGATTCTCGTCCATTTCTTCTCGTCTCCGCAGGATTTCGGCACATGGAAATTTTTAGTTGTTGTTTTCGATGGGGTCTGAATTCCTTCTCTCTCTGTGTTTTTCCGTTTTTTTTCTGCTCCTTCTTCCGTTGTCCTTGCTATTTTCCGTTGTTTCTTTATGTTGTTGCTGCTTTTTTTCCTAAACGCTTACTTTTGTATCTTTCTTGTGTTCTGTACTTTCTCTCTTGCCTTCTGCAACCTGCCCATTGACCGATGTCGTTCTTTGTATTTTTCTTTTTACCCTCTCTTCCTTCTCTCTGTGCACTCCACGACGCCCCTTCTGTGCAAAGGAAAGCGCAGAAGGGACGTTGTGGAGTAGGGATGGAAGCTGGAACCACTGCTCTACCGCCCGATCCGGGTTGTTGCTCACAAGCAATTCCGAAGTCTATGGCATTTCGAGGATCAGCAAACGCGCTCTGCGTGGCGGAACGAAAAGCGAGGCTGCTGAAGACCTCCGTCCTGTGTAGTGTCAAAACGGGCAGATGCCGGGCTAGAGAGGTGGGCGTATTTGTTTTCTTTTTGTGTTCTCCTTTTTTTTCGTTCTCTGTGGTTGGTTGTTCGTTCGGCTTTCCATTGTCTGCGAGCTTATCGCAATGCGTGTGCCGCAGTGACTGATCCGCTTCTTCCATGGCGCGTTGAGCAGCAACAGCGGCTGCGCTCAACTAAATATGAAGGTGTAAACTGTGGGCGTGGTTGTGAAGGGGGATGATGAAGAAAAACAAAACAAAACAAAAGGCATTCACAGAAGAGAAGGATGTCTGAGAACGTGTTTCGTTCTCGGGGAAAACTGGCAACCGACGGTGCAAAAAGGGAGAACAAGATATGTGTTAATTTGATTATTATCATTTTTTCCGGCCATTGTTTCTTTTTTTTTCCTCTACAAGTTAACACCGATGACGCGGCGAGAAAGCGGAATGCATCAAGTATTGACTTCAAAGGACGTGTTTGAATTTTCTGAAGACTCCTATTTTCCATTTTTCTCCTTGTGTTTTCGTCCACATCCCTGCGGTAGAGAAAGAGAGGGGGGAGGACCGAGTATATTACATTCTGGCTGCCCTGCTAGTAACATCGCCCGTCTAACTGGATGAGGAAAGAAGAGAAAATGAGGAACACACGGAGGCTTACTATAATTCGTGCCGTCCAACATCAAGTGAGCGTTTTAGTGAAGCTACCGTTGTTCCTCTTTTTTTTTTTTGGTTAGGTACGAAGTGCCTCCTGCTGTGATTCAAGTGTGCGTTGATTTGTTTTGTTTTGTGACAGCAAGCGGCTCTGCAGCGACGAGGGAAAGTAGCGAGGAAAGATTAAAAGAAAAGTGGCTACGTACCTTCAAAAGTACTATATATGTGTGTGTGTTCTTTTCATTGGTGCCTATTTTTTTCCCGACTCCGTTATGCAGCTTTCTTGTTTGATTGTTTGTTGTGCTCCTCTTCAGCTTCCTTGTTGACCCTTCAAGCGCACGTCTCGCTGGTGCGATTTTGTGGTCCTTTTTATTTTCCCTTTCGCTTTTTCCTCAATATTACGTCTTTGTACAGCATTCTTTTGTTGTTTACTTTGGAGGGCACCGGCCTCAGCTAAATTCCAACGGGGAGAGAAGGATATTCGTGGTGTTGGGGGAAACAGTTTGCATCCCTGAGCAGCTACTCGTATAAACTTCGTTTCCGCTTTTCGCGTTCTTTGTGTCATCTTGTCGCTTCCGTCTTGATTTCTCTTGTTTTAAATAACTATAGTGCTGTTTCTGTTTTAACGTGTCTGGTAGCTTCTTTTTTTTGTTGGCTGTTTTCTTGGTTCCCTCCGTGTCTTCTCTTCTGTTTCTTAACGGCTCGTGTTGCCGTTACTAGCGGTTTTTTGTTATTTAATATCTCTCTCGCTCTTCTCCTTTTGGGATTTCATCTGTGTTTTTCCGGCTCACGAATAAAGTATAAGAATAATAACAGTAACTTTTTTTGTAGTGCCTGGCCAACGCTTTTATTTTCCTCGTCTCGTACACAGAGGCACGCAGATACGCTCTCATGTCACGTCGCTCAGAGATACAGAGTTAATTTGGATGGTGTCTGCCGAAATGGTGTCTCGTTACTGCGTGGTTTTTCTTTTTTTTTCCCATCACAGTCATCGCAGTACGACTGCGCTTGTCCTAGCGTCTCTCCGTGGCATTTGGGTCTTTATTATGATCATCATCTTTCGTCCGCAGTTTCGCGCAAAGTGTTACATTTTCTTCCCTCCTTCCATCATCAAAAAAGAAAAGTCGTGTAAACGGCTGTTTTGTCTTTGCTGTTGTACACGCCGCACTCGTGAATTCGCGTCATTTTTTGTGGCCAACGAGGCATGCAGAAATTAGGAGTAACTAGTTCGTGGTGCCGAATACTATATATATATATATGCATACACATCTATATGGTACTGTGTGCTACATGACGGTGTAATGCACACAAACAGACGCATATCCGCGTACGAACACAAGTGATTTGCAACGGAGGCGCTACTTAAAGTGTTCGAGATGGCGCAAACCGTGCGAACTGTGGCAGTTTTATTACTACTTCAAGAGAAGCATTTACTGTTGATGGCAAAAAGGAGAACTTCTTTTTTCTTCAATATTCACCGATTCTTTTTTGATTATTTGTTCTTCTCTTTCACATGAGAGGTGGTCTGCGGTAGAGCAGTGTAGTTCTACATCCGCCTGCTTTCCTGTGTTTCGCGCCAAGTTCACTGAAGGCTGAACACGGAAGGCAGTCCGTTCGCACGACTTCACGCGCCTGCGACGGTCTCTCTTTGTTTATTTGTTTTCTTTTTCCCTTTTCTTCTCTCTGGTATATATTTCTTTAATGCTGTTATGTATGATGCTTTGTTTCTCTTGGGTTGAGCTACAGAAAAGGCATACAATCTACAAGAGAGTTTTCCCATTTCGTTTTTTCACCCCTCTCTCTATTCTTCAGTTGGGAAGCCCGTTTTAAAACCATTATTTTCCCGCCAAATACCAAATACGTAGCTTTTGTTTTGTCACATTAGCACACGGAGAGCAACGGTACGAAGGGTTGCTTGGAGTATGATACTGCTGTAATCTGTGAAGAGAGGCACGATAACCATTCAACTACAATACGTTCTTTTTTTTCTTGTTGTTGCTGAGGTTGTTCTCCTCTTCACACGTTACGGTTGTGATGGTGGGAAAGCGATGGTTCTGATCTCGACATCAAAAATGGATGTGCTCTTCACTTTTCTTTTATTTCCTTTTCTTTTTCTTTTTTACTCTATGCAATGGTCATTCGCATTCTGCGTCTTTCTGTCGCGCACCCCCTGATGGCCCCTGTTTGACACGTCCCTTCGCTCTCTCTCCCTCCCCCCCCCCCTCCGCCTTCGTCTTCTCTGCCCATTACAAATCCTGTGAGCTCCCGGGGTACCTCTTTTTCCCTTTTGCGGATGCTTTTTTTTTCCAGTGACGACGTTTTCGTGCGTTACTTGTTTGCTTGCTTTACCGGCAAGCTCAACGACTCTGTCTTTTCTCTCTTATTATTATTATTATTTGATCGTAAAAGAAGCATTACGTGTTTCCTTGCACCTGACAGTGAAAGATAATCGCGCCTGTGGTTAGGGCTTTGGAGGCTTTCCACGATCAGACTAGTCACGCCGTTTTTTGTTCTTTTGTTCTCCTTACTGCTGCTCATAAGATGATTTTGGCAATGGAAAGCTTTCTTTTCGTCTTTAATGTTGTGCAATCAACGCCAATAAAGGATATATATATAAAAACATGAACGCGTAAATAGACGTTTAGTAACGCTTAAATATGTCATTTTGGGGGGAATTATTTTTCTTCTCTCCCCTTTCGTCTCTCTCCTTTTTTTTGTCTTTTTATTTTACTTCTTTCGCTCGTAAATGGCTGTTATTGTCTTTTTGTTTTTATTTTGTCATTTCTCTGTAACCACTTGGAAATAAGAATGCTGGCTGTTTGACATACTTACGTTTTTTTTTTCTTTTGAGTCGTTTGGCGGCGACTGAAAGATGTTGTCGACGTGCTGTGATGTTTGTAATACGGCGGTACGCTGTCGAACCATGTTGTGTTTTAAACGAGGGTGATGGAAGAACAGAACTGGTCGTCTCACGGCAATTTCTTGTACAGCAGCTGCTTCTCTCTCTTTCTTTCGGGGCTTCTCTTTTTTTATCTAACCTTTGGTTCTGTTGTGTGGAAGGTGTTGAGCCGGCCTGAGGGCCGCAACCTCGCTGAGTGGCAACGGCTCTGCCTCTCTCTCTCTCTCTTTCGTTTTTTCATTTTTTATATATTTTTTTAATTGGCGTGTGTGCTCTCTGATGTGGAAGTAATGCTGTGGTGGGCTTACCGGAAGCTTGTATCACGTCAGCTCCTTCTCCATCTCGTTTCTGTGAAAGAACGAAAAAACAGTTCTGTTGTTTTTCGAACGTCTTGTAACTATATATATTATTATCTCTTTTCTTTTTCTTCTTTTTTTCGTTTGTTTTGTTGCAACGAGATCGACTGTGTTACTATTATCTTTAATAGTTTCTTCTCGTGGTTTTGGTTTGTCTGAGCAGCGACACATGTTTAAGAGGGTTCAACACCTTGCTCTTCTTTCCCACTCTATTTATTCTCTTTTGCGTTCTTGATTTTGTGTTCGTGTATATATATATATCTGGTCTTTCTTGGAGGACCTGCAAACTTCTTTCACCCACCTTTTGTTCCTTTTTTTTTTTTTGAGTGTGAGTGGGTTTCACGATGGGGGGCTCATTCGATGCGTACTTCTCCGCCGTTGCGCTAGTACTTGTTAACGCGCAAGTATCCGATTCTCGCATATTTGGACCGATACAGCGGGGAGGGGACGGGGGAGGGGGATGCATCGCCTATCGCGCCTAAACTACTTGCATTTCCGGTGGGTCTTCCTCTTTCCCCTTTCTATCCATCGACATCTACGGCAACAACAGAACAGCAAAAGTTATGCGACGCTGCACGCTGCAACGGCAGCGACGATTCACACTTTTGACCGCTCCTCACATTTCTTCAGCTTGTCTGGATGTTTTATTGTCTTATGTTCGTTTTCTTTTTTTCTCTTTTACTGCTCCATGGTGCTCGGTTTTTGTTTTTCTTTTCCTCGCGATCTGGATCACCGAAGCGTTTGTTTCGTGCTCTATCCACATAAAACACGTTATCTTCATTATTATCAAAACTTAAGAACACCGCGTCGGCATTCGATGCATTCGCCTTCAGCTGTGCTGCCTCTTCGTAAGCGCCAGTCCCCTTTGTTTTTTTGAAAAGTAGAGTGTTCTCAGAAATGTGCCGCATGGTGTCGCCATCACTTCTGACGCGAAGAACGCAGCGTTGAGGGCCATGCTTCTGTACCTCTTTTTATTCTTGTTTTTTTTTTGTGTTTGTGTGGATTAGAAAATAGTGAAACCGCATGTGTACCTTCTTTGATTTCTATTCGAACGTACCACATTTCGCGGCGGTTATGAAACCTCGGTTCGACACGTTGGAGGTTTCCTGTGACAAAGAGAACGCAGAAGGCCTTGTACTTATTGTGCTCCTCACCTCACTGTCGTTGTTCTCTGTTGCGGAGGAAAGCTTCAGCAAGAGCAAAACAAAAGAAAACAAAAAGAAGAATTGTGGGCACTCCTTAAAAACACGTTTTGGTCGTGTTCTCCCCCACCGATTTCAATTGTGTTCTTCTTTTAACCCTCCTTGCAAAGGTTTGCGCGTGTGTTCGTCTCTTTTTTTTTTCCTTTGTCAATGAAGGCGGCCATTTTGTTCTCTAAAAACGTGTTTTCTTTTATTATACTTCTTTTTGTTTTTGGTATGATTGAGGTTTTTTTTTTGGTGATTTCGCCTCTGCAGGTTTTTCCTTTTCTGTTTGCGGTGTCTGATAAACCTTTGTTTCTTCTCTTTGTTGTTTTTTTGTTTGTTTCCGACGACGTGAGCACCGAATTTTTTTTTGCCTAACAAAATCAAATGAGCCTCTTGTTGTGGTTGCCGTTGTGCTATATATAAACGGCTTTTATTTTTCCTTTTTTCTCTTTCTCTTTCTCTATTTGTACTTCCCTCCCCCTCCTCCCGCGAGAATCGTTTTGACAACTTTTCTTCTTTGTTATTATTAAAATGACTTACAAGATGCGCAGCCGGGTTTTTCTTTGTTTGTTTGTTATTCCTCTTTTCTTTTGTTGCTTCGTAGTTTCGATTTTTTCTTGTTTTTGTCGTAATCCTTTCTCTCTCTCTCTCTTTTCGTGTTTATTTTTTTTGCTTCCGCGAGTTTTATTTCCGTGCTCGGAATGTGTGGGGCTACAACTCTTCTCTTTCGCGAACCTCGTTCTTTTTTTCTTTTTCTCTTGCAACATAAAATGAAGGGAAAGGCGCAGGTAGCACTTCATCGACGAACTGTTCAGTTTTTTCTTCTTCTTCTCTGCCCGCCCCCCCACCCCTTCCCTTTGCACGCAGACGAAACCCGTGTTCCTTTCTCTCTCTCTACGTATATTTGTTCTCGTTGGTGTTGGCGCACGCAGCGGGTGTGTGTGTGTGAGGTGTAACGCACACACCTTTAACGTGAGAATGCACGGTCACAGCACTTTTCGTGATGGCTTTGAAGGGGTTGTTGTGATGGCAATCGAAGAGAGGTCGAAACAGAAAAGTCCGTCTCTCCCTCTTTTAAAAAAGGAAAGAAATCAAATGTAGCAAGGAAACCCAAACGCTGATTTAAATTATGAGAATAGTTTAAAGTCGTCATTCACTTGCGCTTGACATCTGGAGAAGGCTTCTCATTCAGATACAAACGTTTTGTTTTGCGCCTGTCGTTATTCTTCTAAATACTGATACTGTCGTGATGTATGGTTCTTTGTTCTTCTTCTTCTTCCGTGTTGGTTCGCTTTTCCTGATTCGTGATTACATTTAAGAATATATATATGTGGCACTGTCCTCCCCTTCTTTTGTTATTTAGTTTTTTTTTCTTTCGTCGGTGCGCATTTCTTTCTTTTCTTTGTTTTTTGTTCCTGTTTTCTTTTTCTATACGTTTTTCCTTCTGTCTTTTACGTGTTTCTGGTTACGATCAAAAGCAAGACGAATAACAACATGAAGCAAATCCATTTCTGTGGCGTTCTCCACGTGCGGGAGTTTTCCTCCGGTCCCATCGGTACGGCGTAACCCCGCCTATCGAGCAGGGGAAAAAAAAGCCGCCGAAACCTGAAGGTGGAAAGAGTGTTTTTTTGACTATCTCTAGAGATACTCTCACAGAATTCTTGTTCTCGTTGTTCCAGGTAACCAGCTTTGCGTGTGGGCAAATGGAGATCATCGCCCTGATTTGAGCTGGTGTAAGAATGGGCAGCGACACAGGGTTTACCGCCCACAACGACTTTAACTTCTTTCTTCACTCAATTCTTTTTCTTGCCGTGCAACTCCTACGCATCTACGTTCACGTACCGACCCCGTACATGTGTGCTCTCTCTCCCTCTCTTCGTGCTGCTTGTGCCGTCGCAGTGCGTCGCTCCACAGAAAAAAAAAGATAAGCGCTTCACGAAGCCAGTGTACGCATTCATTCCCTCCACACGTCTCTCGAGGATACAACAGACAAAAAAAGGAATCCTTGAGACTTCTCAAATAGTTTAATTTCGTAGTTCACCTGGCCACAGTGTGAACGGCGAGGATCGCATCAGCAAAAAGGGAAAAAGAAAAAGTCACGATTGCACTTCACGATTGGCAGTGTCGTTTTGCAGCACAACGTTGTTGTTTTTTTCTGCTCTCTTTTTCTCTTCTTCCATCGTGTGTGTGCGTGTGTGTGCGTGTGAGCAGTTTCTCCTCCCCGTAGTCGTTTTCCTTTCCCGCGTGTTCTCTTCGGTGAAAGCGGCGTGGGGGAAAAGAAATAAAAACACTTACAAAAGTAACCCAAAGGCGGACTGTAGCTGGACGGTGTGTTGCGGCCACTCTTCTCTACTTTCGCATATCTTCCCACAAAACTGGCCTTCTTATTGATTTTTTTTTCCTCCGTCTTTGGATCATCCGGCCCATTCAGACCGCGGATTATCTTATCATCTATTTATTGTTCGTTTCTCGGCTTCTTGACAGTGTTGTCGTGCAGCTGAGATCGTCAACCATTCAAAAGTTGTTTTCTCTTTCATTGGTGTTGTCTTTTTTTTTCCGATAGTTCGGTTCTCTTTGAAAGCAAAAGACTCACTTCTTTGCGTCTCTTTTACACCACCAGGTTCTGCATCTCTTCCTTCTCATCCTTCTTGCCGGTTCCATCCACTGTCCACTCGGATCCATGGGTGGAAGAGGGGGAATAGCAGAAGATCAAGAAGTGTATTTTACTAATTTTGGAGACCACCAAAAAAAAAACGCCATCTCTTTCCTGTTTTGCTTGTTAAAAGGTCTAGTCTCTCTCTCTCTCTCTTTCGTTTTTTCTCTGTTTTTTCATTGGTGCGTGGCGGTGCCGTGCAACCCACAAGACAACTTAGTGGTTCACTTCCTCCGTGTGTTTGTTTTCTGAGTGTGTTTTATTTTACCATTTCCTTTTTGGTGTTAACGGAGCTCAAAATCGAACCTTTTTTAGAAGACAGAAAAAAACGTTTGAAGGACGAAAACCATCAAAAGACGCTTTTGTTGTTGTTCTTCCTCTCTCCTCTCTCCTCTCTCCTTCCTTTTTCGACTTCTTCTTCGTTGTTTTCCTCTTCTGCTTCGTTTGCGCCGTTCTTTAAAAGTACTCAACCGCTGCAATTCTTTTTTGCTGTTTCTGCGAAGAAAACACAGAAGTTGTTGACCTCTGTTTCGGGGTATCGTGTCTGTTGGCGTTCGCACGAGCGTTTGTTCTCTGTGGCAGCAAGGGGCGCCGTATTGGTACGGCGCAGCAGTCACCCTTTTTCTTTTTCTCTACTTGCTTCGCTTGGTAACTGAGTGCCTCTTCCGACGAAGGCATCCGGCCGTTTTTCCCACATCGGCGCCGCAGTCAGCTTCACGCGCGCATCACGCAGTGATGTCGCTCCAAAACTTGTTTGTGGCGAAGCTGCCACGCAACATCACCGACGCCGACCTGATGAACATCTTTTCCGAGTTTCATCCGTCAAGCGCGAAGATAATGCTGGACGCGTCCACCGGCAAAAGCAAAGGCTTTGGCTTCGTCCTGTTCGACGAGGAAGGCAGCGGCGAGAGGGCCTTCAAGATGTTGAACCGCAAGATGACGCGGGCGTGCGGGCACAACTTCACGCTCGTCATCTACCCCTCGAACCACAACGGCAAGATCTTCACGGAGGAAACCAACGCACTGTACATCCGCAACATCCCGATGACGGTGGGCCAAGACCGCGTGGAACGCTTTCTGCGGACCTTTGGCAACCTCACCTACTTCGCCATGCGCGAGGATCACTACGGGAGTCCGGTGTGGGTCATCTACGCCGAGTACGAGACCGTCGAGGAGGCCAAAAACGCCCTCGCGAAGCTGCACGGCAACAACACCTACTTCCACGGCTCCGCGCCGATTCTGGCGAAGTTTGAGGACAGCGACGACGCCAAGAAAGAGCGCCGCCGTCGCCGCGAAGGAGCGGCGGGCCACGTGCCGAGCAGCGGGTGTATCTTCCCGCCCCCGCGCGACCACCACGACGGCGCCTCCTCGCAAAACACGAACCCCAGCGCGACGTTGGGCAGCGAGGCGGGCTCCATCCCGCACAGCCACGGCCACGGGCTTGGGAGCGGCAAGCTCAGCCTGCTCGATACAGCGAGCCCCCATCAGGCCTCGCCGGGTGGTGGGGCGGCCATGCCCAGCCACCGACGGACCCCGTCGCCGCCGTCGTACGTGGCCTCCGTCGGCGACGTGCCAACGGCGCCGACCGCCTTCTCCATGCCCCAGCAGCTCCTGCAGCCGACCCCGGGCTACTGCTACACCCTCGCCGACAGCGGGCAGCAGATCTTCATCCCAGCCTCGTCCTTCAGCCCGCCGATCGCGTCCTATAACTACTCGCCCGTCGCGCAGTCGGCGCCGCCGGTGCCGCAGCTGGGTGCGATGCCCGCCAACCCAAAGGCGGCCTTCTCCCTGTTAAACCCGGAGTCGAACAACGCCGTGGTGCTCGGGGAGGGCGGACAGCAGTACGTCGTCGCCCCCGATGCGATCAACCTAAACCGCGATAAACTGTCCACGCCGAGCGGGTTGCAGACGACACTGCTGTCCGCCTCGTCGCCCAAGAGCCTGTCGCCTGCGGTGAGCAACAACGTGTCGTACATGGGCGCCAGCGGTAACGCGTTTCCCGCCTCGTCCTTGTCGGCGCCACAGAGCTTCTTCCCGCCCACCAACGGGAATGCCTCGTCACCGAGTTTCTTGGTCACGCAGACGTCGCGCAACTCGAGCGGGTCTCCGATGGTGTTTGTGCCGTACAACGCGTCGTAGCGGATGAACCGCGTTGATGTGTGTGTCTGCGTGTCTGCGCAACAGTGGATCCACCTTTTTCTTTTGTAATTTTGGTAGGTTGTCCACGTTCATTTTGGGAAAAGGAAAATAAAGAATATTTTGGAGCCTCTCTGAGCTCCACACCAAAAGCAACGCAAAGAGGGTAGGAAGAGAATATATGCTTTTTCTTTTGTTATTACGGTGGCGGTCGCGAAAGTTGTGACGCCTCTGTTGTTTTGTGTGTTTTTTGTCGCTGTTGTTTTCCTCGACGCGTCAGCAGCACGGACACGGCGCTAGCGATTAAATTTAATAGTCTCTGCTTTTCTCTGGTGACGTTGAAGGTTAGCTTCTCACCTTTAGCGCTCACGAACGGATCTTACCTTTGCATCCTGGCAAGCTTCTCCTGGACACCAAAAGACTTGGACCGGAGAGAACAGAGGAACAACACTGCGAAGAAGCTGTTCTAGTCCGTAGCGATGTAACTGGGCGACTTTCTGACTCTTTTTTAATTAGTGGTTGAGGTTGTTTTCGTGTGATCTACTGTACTGCTTTCTGCCCTTAATTGGCTTAATAATCGTCTTACTCGAAAAACGCACAGGCGTGTCTTTTACTGTTTCTCTTGCTTCTTCTTCTTTTTTACGTCTTTCCCTCTCCCCGTTTTGGCGTTGTTGGTATCACCGTTGTTGTTCTGCGGTGTTCCACACTTCTTCACGTGAAGTATAGGAACACCTCATCGGTGATTGTCCGTATTTTGTCGAGTAATTTTTTTTTTCGTATTGCTCCTCCTGCGTATTACGCATGAAGGCCTGTACCGTTGCTGCAGCTCTTCGTCGCATAGGAAGTGTTTGTGGTCTTGTCCATTCCCACGCACCTTTATTCACACGCCCACATTTATATTGGTAGGCTTGCGGACGCTTCTTATTTTAAGGTCTTCTTTTTTTTTTGTCGTTGTTGACAGAGAGACAAAGGGATCGCTTCAGTTAGCCAACGAGCCGGATAAGCGACCTTTCTGGACGCGAAAAGAAAAGAAAAATTAACAAGTACCGATGTGTAACTCGGCTTCTCGTGTGTACCCGCTTCCTTCTCTTTCGAATCTAAAAAAAAAAACGCCCGTTACTACTCTTTTTTTGATGTCGTTGTTTTGTTTTTAATAACGGTAGCGCGCGGAAGCGAAGATGGCGCACAGTCCTCCGGTTCTGAGTGCAGTAAGGACCCACAAAATGCCTTTACCGGCAACCTTTAGGTAGCAATAACAAAGTGTGATAGCAGCCAAAGTTGCAGCAGGGTAGAAACACTTACACCTTACATTGAATTCGCGCGTCTTTCACAGTAAGAGGAACATCTGATAACAACAAGAGTTTTTGCTTTGTCTGCTGATCTGGCTTTGTGGTTCTTCGCGGATGTACTGCGTGTGTGTGTTTGGCTTCCTCCCTCACAAGGGGCATCCTTTTCTGTTTTGATGACCCCCACACATACACGCATATTGAGTAGCATTCTTTTATTGCTGCTGCTGGTATTCCTTTGTTTTCTCCTTATTTACAGTTGACAGCTGTAGACACTACACTGAATTATCAACAGTTTGGCCATCTTCTTCTCCCTCTACATATATGTTGTTCCGCCAAAACGTTCTATTCGTTTTCTTTTAGTGTGTCTGACCAGCTAGTGGGTAACGCGTTGTTTCTTTTCTTTCTTTTGAAGTTCTTTCTGGCATTTCCTGTTTTTCGTCCTTTTTTTGTATTCTGTTGGGTATTATTAGTCCTTCATCTAGCTGTAAAAGAACTGCGATATACACTCAACAACGAAAACTTGAGTTCGACATGCAGTCGTCGTAGTAGCAACGTTTCTTCTTTTATTCGTTTCTCCTCCATCTTGTTTTTTCCCCTATTTCTTTGGGAGACTGGTCTGCTGTTAAATTTTATTGATTGATTGATCGTTTTCTCTCTTTTTTTTTGGTCATGTGGATGCCGCCGGACAGCGTGGTGCTTGTTGCCGTTTCCTTTTTGTTTCTCCGTGCTTGCATCGCTCCGATAGGTGCTCTTGTTTTAGTTTTTTTTTTACTACGAAATATTCCTTATTTGTGACATTGACTGTTACTGTTCTTTATGTTCTTCAGCTTTTTTTTTGCCTTTTTTCTGACCCCGCGCGTCACACGCGCTCAGGAAGAGAAGTACGCTTCCCTTAATCTTCGAGGAGTTTAAAGTTTGTTGAGCATAATATCCCCGGGGTAAGGACTCGTTACGCACGAACACACAACCAACGCGGGAGGCAAATCACAATTGATTCCTCACAATCGTTTGATAGCCGTGACCGAACAACAAAAAGGCCGCCGCGACTTGGCAACTATTGTTGTTGGTTTTCCGAGACGTTGTAAGCGAAAGAGTGTCGAACTCTGTCGCGGTGGTGTCGCCTTCAAGCGTTGGCGTTTTGTTGTCTTTCACGTTCCTTTTTCTTCTCTGACGGATTGAAAGTAGAAGTCCCTTTTGAGGCTCTCTTTCACTCATTCTGAGGTTTGCCAGCTTTCTCTCCCTATATATATATATATATATATATATATATATATATATGTGTGGGTGTGGGTGTTTTGGACTCTTTTTTTTCTCCCCACCCCCCGCCTATTCAGCCAGTCGCTTACGCAGGGGTTTAATGAAAAGTCGTCTTGGTGGTGCTGGTGGGGTATTCCGTGGTGTTTAAAGAATACGTTTATCAATGTGCCTGTCTGTGTCTGTGTGTGTCCTCGATCACCATTCTTTTTTCTTCCTTTCTTTCATTCCTTCAGGTCGCATGTTTGTATTCTGGGTTGTGTGCTGTTGTTGTTGTTGTTGTTTTCTGTTGTCGTCGTGGCTCTCTCTCTGCTCTGCATCTCCTCCTTCTTCCGTGTTTTCACGTAAACTCACCACGTCCCTCCCCCACGAATGCACCATCTCTCATGACCCCACACGGAGCTGCGTCCTGAGTTGTTCTGTTTTTTCCTCTTAATATTCGTTTCTCTTAACAAGGTGACTTGTTTTTTTTTTCATCACACATTTTCCTGTCTTGTTGTTTTATTTTTGTTTCTAAACGTTTGAATTATATTAGTATGGGCGTGTGTTTCTTTTTCACATTGAAGGAAACATGCTTCCACGAAGGTGAGGTAAAACATGGACGGTAATTTTAGTTTTTCTTTTAGGCTTACTTGTTATTCAGAAGCTTTGAAAAGGTAAAAAAAAAGAAGTTACATACAGACGAAACTCCGCAGCACAAGAAAGGTGGCATGGAGAGCCACAGGGCTACCAAACAACGCTTTCCCGAGGCGCCAACAACAAAATTACTGAAGGTGAAAAGCGCGCTGGTCACGGGGGGGGGGGG